TTTTTTTTTTTTTTTTTTTTGACATTATAGGAAGTTACAGGGTTAGTGTTTATGGTGGCGCTGAACAACACGCCTGTTCGGCTCGACTGAAAATGCAATACGAGCTGCTACATGTATGTAGAAAGGGCGCCCAGATCATTGATAGAGACCAGCATAGCGGTGTGGAAGATCTCAAACGATTCAAGGCGTTGTCTTCTACACCACTTTCTCTCCATGCTCTGTCTCGCTTTAACGGCTGGCTAGGATGCAGCGCGTAGCGACGGGTATTTTGGTGCGTATCTGGGGACACAAGCAGTGGGTAAGCGAAACGTCTCAGAACATGCCCGCAACAAGGGCCTGGCATCTACCAATTGTCAGTCATGACTTCAGGCAGCGAAGAATATAAAGGCTCAGAGGTCGACTTGATGTCTCCTGATGCTGCCTCCATTGAACCTTTTTGAGAAACTGTCTTTCAGGCAAAACCATCGCAGCATTATGGTAGCGGACGCCAAATATACGAGCAAGAGTGCTCTAGTAGCGATTCTTGCGACTTCGGTGTATGGAGTGGACGCAGCTTGTAGATGTGTAAGTTCTAAGCTTCCTTGACAATGTACATATGGCAATTGCACCTGGAAAAGTCTCTAACATGTCAAGGTCTGTATAGCTACCTGGTGATCCTTGCTGGCCTACTGATACAGCTTGGGCGTCTTTGAACAGCACCGTCTCCGGAAAGCTAATCAAAAACGTCCCAGTCGCGGCTCCGTGCTATCCTGGCCCCCATCACGACGCCGCGGCTTGTGCTGTCATTGAGACGAACTGGTCAGATTCGGTATTTCAATCACAATATCCCACCGGCTATGATTTCCCACATGAATGGACTTGTAACCTTCCGGGGCGAAACTCTTCGACGTGCTCTCTGGGAGATTACCCTGTGTACAGCATCAATGCTACTACGCCCGCCGCCATCAGCGCAGGGCTGAAGTTCGCAGCCCAATATAATCTTCGGGTTACGGTCAAGCAGAGTGGGCACGACTTCTTGGGCCGCTCCGCTGGAACCGGAAGTCTTGAGATCTGGACTCGGTACCTTAGAGATGATCCTCTTCAATCGCCGTTAGTATTTGCTAAAGCTTATACCCCGGCGGAATCATGTGCCGCTGTCCAGGAAGGCGGCGCCGCATACTGGGGCGGTAGCGCAGTGCGTATTGGCGGTGCTTTCACATGGGACGACGTCTATCCAGTCGCCCATGAAAACGGCGTTGTGGTCGTGGGTGGAACTTGCAACTCTGTTGGGATCATTGGTGGCTATCTCCAAGGCGGCGGACACGGAGCAGCCATGCATGAGTACGGCCTTGGGACAGACCAGGTGCTCGAGTACAACGTCATTCTGGCGAACGGGTCCACAGTATTGGCCAGTCCGTGTTCTCACCCAGACCTATTTCAAGCTCTGCGCGGAGGAGGGCCTGGCACGTACGGGGTTGTCACCAGCGCAACTGTTCGCACATATCCAGACACACCAATGACTGGTATTGTGCTGCTTATCACGCCACAAGAGGGGAACGATGACTTGGACACGTACCTTGATGCTGTCACCACGTGGTATCAGCAAACACCGCATCTCTTGGATGGTGGCGTGCAGGGATATGCCGCGTGGGTGGCATGGGATGGACAGTCGTCTCTAGCACCACCCTCTCGGATGCTCGAAATGATTACGGGCGTCTTCAACCAAACTATCGAGCAAGTGCAGAGCACTATGGAACCAGTGATGGCTCAACTCTTGCCGTTCAACTCCCGGGGACTTAATGTCTCCATCCAATATCTCTCTTTCCCGGACTACTTCAGCTATACAGCGGTTTTGCAGCATAACTCAATGGAGGTCGGAGGGGGCATCATCATGTCGTCTCGGTTCTACGAGGCAAAACATCTCGCCAATGCGACGTCTGTACGGCAAATGGTGATGACCACAGCTGGCCTGCCGGGCCAGAACACATCGGTCATCGTTGACATTACCGGGGGTGGCGCCGTCAAGAATGACTGGCCGCTCACGGGTGTCAATCCTGCCTACCGCCGAGCGCTGCTGACGAACATTGTGGGACGCAACTGGGACAGCAGGACGCCATATGCAGATATAGCCGAAGCCCGGGAGGACGTCACTCGTAACAAAGGCAGGGCGCAAGAGGATCTTGCTCCTGATACCGGCTCATACATGAATGAAGGCAATTACCTTGATCCTAATTACCTGACCAACTTCTACGGCGATGCTCGACCTACGCTTGAGGCTGCCAAGAAGAAGTACGATCCCGAGAACTTGTTCTACTGTCCGACTTGCATCGGCTCACAAAACTGGTTGCAAGAGCCAGATGGCCGTTTATGTACAGTTTAAGACATGGGTTGCTGCACACCAAGTCTATATAACGGCTCCCTTACTTGATGCTTTCCATGCATCTTGCCACGCCACGAGGAGGAAGCAGTATGAAGGTATTACGTTCCTGGCGAAAGATGTCCTCCGGTGGAGACAGTCGAAAGAAAAGAAACGCGACATATAGGAAAGAGAAGAAGCAGTTCCTGCGTTCATTTGATCAAAGGAGCTGTTCTTCATGTACTACATCGGAGAGGTACATTATATACGAAGACGCATCTCTACGAGAGATCATGGCCTTGCAATCGGAAAGGGCAGCTATATAGCATATAGCTTGCTGCTGCCTGCGTCTGACTCACGCGCCCTCTCCTGAAACGTCATGTCAATACTGACCGTCTTCTTGATCCCCATAATCTGCTCTTGGCTACCTTCACTCTTGTAGCTTGTTTCGAGGTCATCGATGGCAACTTCAAAGTCGTCGCGCCTCTTCGACCGGGTGGATTGACTGTTCCAGTTGTTCGATCGTGGACACGCGCCATGAACACCATCGCTCAATTCGTATGAGGGGTCGTGCTTCGAGGTGCCGAAGAGGAAGGGAATAAATCGAGCCAGTGGCATCCTCAAAGATGGCGTGCATGCGCAGATAACACCGACCGTTGACTCTACCTGGGTCCATATGACAGATGTCCCAGTAGCCCAGGTGAAGTCTAAGATGAAGGTAGCATTGAAGTTAAGGCTGATCAGACGCTCGATACTGGTGATAGTCACGCTTGAAGAAGCGTTAGAAGAGAGAGATAGACAGTAATATGGAACACTCACAATGCTCCAAGAACAAACACTGCTAGAATGCTGATCTTGGCCCGACGGTTCATTTGCAGCTTCAGGATCACAGGTATTGGCAAGACGAGTACCAAAACGTCCATGAGAGTGTTCCATCCTGACTGGCCATACCAGAAGGCCTTAATGTTGATGCTGGAACTGCGTTAGAGACAACCACGTTCAAATAGCACACGATATGACTAACCATGTACCGGGTATAGTCTTGTCCCACGAATACTTGACCGGAGAACATTGGAAAATGGTTGTGAAGCTAAGGGCCACCAGACCAGCTGCTATTTGGATGATAATCGTCCAGCAGATTATCCGGAATTTCCTTTGGGGGAAGATGTCGAGATAGAGAAAGAGGAATGACAGCTTCGTTATGGCGACAGTGTTCTTCACAAAGCACTGGAATATGAAAAAGTATAGTAGCGAGTAGTATCGCTCTTCTGCGGTGAGAAAAGGGGCATGATGCCCAAAGCCCCATCTAACAATGGCTGAGTACTTCCTTTAGCAGTGATACGACACCAGCACTGCTCAACAGAATAGTACTTACCAACCGAAATACAAGACACTTGGATGATGTTAAAGATCTGATTTTTAGTTAGCGAGTTACCAGAGCACCAGCCGTGATCTCAGCCCTTTACCAGACATATGACAACGCAAACATCTGCCTTGTTTAACGTGCCTCCGCTATTCTTGATGCACCGCCACCATACACGAAATCCCACGATACATATGGCAACGGCAAGCAGAGGGATGTTCACATAGAGGAAGGCGTAGCCGTTCTTTGTATCTGGGCCGTTTGGTACACTGGCGGCGGTTGCTGTCATGATGCTTATTGTGGTGACTTATAAAGGAGATAGTATGGAAGAAATGTAGTCGTAAAGAGTGGAGTCCAGGTTAGAGGCGGGCAATTTCGATCCAGATGCTGCTACTTTGCAGAACCTGTCATTCTCCTTCGCTCTTGGGGCAAGGATTGGATGATTCAATCGCACTCGCAGCAGTTGATCTGACAAAGCCCACTATCTATAAAGAATCGACGGCGTTGGACAGCGAGGCATTGCTCTCCCGCTAAGCTCATCCTTGATCCCAGTTTCACTAGATGATGGACCAAGCTTCGACGGAATTCGTAGCTGTCCCAGCCTCAAGGGTCTGCCGTAGCACTGGCCCAGAGATATTACCACTATGACAATAGCCATGTCAATGGCGGAGATCAGAGGCAATTTAATTTAAAACACCCAGTAAGCCATGCGATTGACTTTGTAGCTGCAATGAATTTGCATATTCTGATGAAATGATATACACAACACGGTTTATAATTATGTACTTTTGGCCGGCGAAAACCGCTGCTGAGAGGACACCGCTCGTAACGTACATAAGGTATGATTAGTCTTCTCTTTTCTGAAAAAACGGCCAACGCCACGCAAGGAGCATTTCCGGATTTCTCAGCAAGCACCTAATCAGATGTCATCGGTAAACAAAGCATACGGCTAGGTCCTTTACAACACTGCAGCCTTGCGATGACTCCACATCTAACCATATGAAGCATGCTGTCTCTGATGCAAACAGGGGACTGAGTTGACATACCCACGGACGGACATTATCCAGTCCGGTAGCTGAAACATACCCCGGGGGTGCATAATTCCTCCTGTCTGTCCGTTGCCCTAGTTGCGGAAAAGGGGCTGCACGATGCAATAGTCCAGCTAGCTGTCATAAGTGGCTTGAAGGGTCTCAGGCCGATATGTGACAAGTCGCGACTACTCAGCGTCAATTCATCTGGTGGCTGGAAAGCTCTACCCAATGTGTAACTTGTTAGTAGTGCAGTACACCAAATAGACTTCCAGCTCACTGAATGTGGCTGGCGCAGGAAAGATTGATTGGACCTTGAGGTCTCTACGCTGAGCACCCACTGTCACATGGCCCTCTTTACGCCGCCAAAACAAGCCCTACCCCGTACTTTGCAACGAATACTAGAGGCCGTGGAACATGGTGTTCCATCGTTGTGCCACTGAAGATGTGAGGACAAAGTAGTTCGAGCATGTGGGAGTGTCCGCCAGCAAAAGAGATCTCTGCATCTTGTTGTCAAGTGTTCGACTATATGCAGCGCAACTCCAATATAACCTCATCGTGATCCCCTTGTTTCTTATTGAAAGCACTTTCGAGTGTAAGCAAAGCTTGCAGTGTGTAAGCATAACTTCTCATGAATTGGCAACTTTAGAAGGTGTGTATCTACGGAGTACATGCTGTGAGGTTTCACGTACTGTACTTCGTGAGACGTTTGCCTTGAACCTCGGGTGAAACTTCTCTTGGGAGGTCTCAAACAAGTATGCAGGCCACAAAGCTCGTCATATATTGCACACCACCATCAGCTGCACAAAACCCCCAATGACAAGCTTGGTAGGGCCTGATCTGGAATGGTAATGGCATGGAGGTGAGAGGCTAAGCCATGCAGATGCAATACGGCTGGGGAAAATGTGCCTTGCTTTGGCTACAAGGAAAACGCCAAAGTCCGTTCCTTACTACTGCAGACGCGTGTTCAGACCAAACCGCCATGGGAGGCGTGTAGACCTAGTAGTACGTACTACCTGTCCAACCGGCCGCACGGGTGTTTGTAGGGATACCACTGGATGCAACATGCTCTTGCTCTCGACTTGCTGCACTCTTGCCGCCCAATCACACTTCTTTCGGATGACCTTATTTTTGCACTGCTATTATACATAGTGGTAGTAACTCGTACAAGCGGCAAGGCCGGCAAGCTCCCGGCGAAAAGTGAACCAAGCAGTTTTACAAAGGAGTCTGGCCGTAGCGTAGGGGGGCTTACTCCGAACCTTGCTTGCATCCTGCACTGGAGATGTTGGTTGTTGGGACCAACTGCTTTCTATGCTACATTGGTCCACCTGCAAGTACAGCAGGCTTCGTGCCTAGTTTGCTTTTCGTGGAGGGATACCCCTCTACAGAAGAAGTAGTAAGGTTACATGGGACAAATTTTCCTACTGCAGCACGGCTATGCATACTCCGTAGTGTGATGCTATACTACCTCCTATTCATCCCAACTGAATAACAACAGAATGCTATGTATGTATTCCGTACCTACTTCGTACTTTCTGCCACAACGTGAAAGGCCGGTAGGTAGCAAGGTGGTGGGTAATCCATGCTGTTGTCTCGACGCCGTGCTCCACTCGCGGATGCAAGTTGACAGACCCAGAATACACCAGGGAGGGGGCCCTACCAGGGTCCATGTGCCTGGAGCCTCGGCCGAGAACCTTAAAGGACACTCTATGTAAGACCCGTTGGGAGCCATTCGGGGGCTCTTGATTTGTTAGAGACACGCCGTGATGGCGCCGCCATCGAGCTAAAAAGACCGTTGTCGCGCCTCGCAACTTAAACTTCTTTTGTAGCGCTACAGATTCCCCCACAACGCGCGCGGCAGATTTCTCCCGGCCGTGGATTCACGGGCCGCGTCCACCGGAAACCCCATCCGCTTGTGAGAATACAAGGGGAGGTCCCCCATGAGCCCCGGCATAGTGTCCACATCCGCGACGCAAGCGTGACATTCTGGGCGGGCTGCAGCTGAACAAGCGAGCCTCGATGTAATTGGGATGGAGAGAGGTTCGGCAATGGGGTTTGCCGCGTGGATGTGGACGGGTCTCGCTCAACACACAGTGCGCCATGCCAGCCAGCCTGCCCGCCTCCCTGCCTATGTATCTACCCGTGGTTTGGGGAGATGAAGAGAAGCAACATACGGAGCACTAACACAAGTACGTAGCAGTGTTATCAGTTGGTTTTACTGCTGTTACGAGGGGCTGGGTTCTTGGGCTTGACCCTTCTTTAGGCAGCGCACATCTTGATTCTTTACTTCAATTCCTCATCTACAACTGCACACCCTGTCGAGACGCGGCAGGAGTGTGTTCCCAATCAAACATCTACCAACTCACACGGGACACAGTCATGGAGCCCGACGCAGAGGCCGCAGCAGAGAAGCCTTTGGGCTTAGTCTCAATGACACCCTCCGACACAACGAACGTCGATGCGACTGAGACCGTCTCCAGCGCCGAGTATCGCAAGCTTATTTGGAAACTCGACGTGCATCTTCTACCGCCGCTCTTTGTACTGTGGTTTATCTCATTGATTGACCGCGTCAACATTGGCACGGCGAGGATCCAGGGTTTGGAGAATGATCTTGACATGAACCCTCTGTCCAACCAATTCAACATTGCGACTGGTAAGCGTTGTGACTCTTTCCGAACGTCGCTTTGGGTTGTACACTGACTCCAGACTTTCCAGTCGTCGTCTTCATTGGCCTCATGCTTGCAGAGGTTCGTCTTGAACTCAACAATCCGGACCAGTCCGTTTGTATGTGTATCGTTATACTTATAAGCGAGTTCAGGTTCCAAGTAACTGGCTAGTCAAACGATTCACACCGGCAACCGTGCTCTGCGGAGAGTGCATAATTCTCGGTAAGGAACACGAGCTGGCTCTGATTAACGAGGTGCTCACATCGGGCAGGGATCTTCACCATCGCTCAAGGCCTGCTTAACAACTTCGCCGGCCTTGTTGCCATACGCCTCGTCATTGGCATTTTGGAAGCGGGACTGATTCCTGGTTCCATCTTCTTGTTGTCGGCGTATTACCCGCGATATGAGCTGCAATGGCGAGTGAGCATGCTGCATGTTGGCAACGCACTCTCTAATGCAGTCGGTGGCCTGCTTGCCTATGCTGTGGCCAGCATTCATTCCTCCAACGGATGGCATGGATGGAGATGGATCTTCGTCATTGAGGGCACAATAACCATTGCCCTTACCCTCTTATGCTGGCCTTTCATGAACAACTGGCCAGACACGGCAAAGTGGCTTAAGCCTACAGAGAAAGCCATCTTGGAGGAGCGGATTAGAGTTGACGGCATCATCGGCCGTATGGATGTTCTGGACCGCAGGGCAATCATTCGATGCCTCACAGATTGGAAAATCTATCTTAGGTAAGGCTGCACATGGAATTGTATAACCCATGTTCATGCGGACTCTGTACTAATATCAGCTCCAGTGCCTTCATTATCATCGGCGTCATCTCCAGTGTATACTCATGCACCCTCTTCGCTCCGACCATCGTCTCGGTTCTCAAGCCAGGATCTTCCGCCAAAAAAATACAGTCCCTCGTGATTCCCATCTTTGTTGCAGCATCGGCCACGACACTGGGATGCGCATATATCTCAGACAAATTAAAGCACCGCGCGGGCGTGGCGTTGGCAGGTTGCTTCATTGCCATCATTGGCTACATCGTCATTCTTAATCAAGAGCGTGTCTCGGTTAATGCACGATACGGCGCTTTATATCTCATTGCCTCCGGCTCTTTTGCAGCCCTGCCTGGAGCTTGGGTCCTGCTGTTGAATAATGTTTCAGGGTCTTACAAGACGGCCTTTGCTATGGGAATGGAGATCGGCTTGGGCAACGGCGGCGGCTTCGTCGCGTCGTTTTCTTTCCAATCCAAGGCCGCCCCGTTCTATTGGACGGGATTCAGAACGACGTTCTCACTCATGTGTATGGCCATGGGACTTATCTGCCTCTATTCGACTGGACTTTGGTATGAAAATAAGCAAAAGCGTTTGGGGAAGCGAGACTATCTTCTGGAAGAAGAGGGTGATAATTTGGGAGACGCCCATCCCCAGTTTATCTATACTTATTAGCGATTCAACCTTTGGAACACGGTCGACTGTGGCTTGACATGCACCTGGCTTCAGACGTCCTTTGCTTTGATAATTGCTCTTCATATACGTCCCGTAATCATGATCATGATTGGCATCTATGGGATCAAATACCGGTTTCGAGGCAGAGAACAACGACTCGTGGTATCATTGTCTCTGCTGGAAAGAAAAGGCAGTACTAGCGGTCAATTATTCTTGGCTCTTGACAGTCAAGTGACCACGGCCAACTGTGCCATCTGATTCATGGTCCGCCACGGCTAGTGTAGGTTAGGTATGCAGGGATCGGTTGGCCGGATGGGATCCTTCCCTGCGACCTAGATGATGCCGGAGAAGAAGAATGTAACACTATCTTTTCCAAGATTCGACCCATCTTACTCCCCGAAAGGCCGCTCAGGGGCAATTCCACTCTCTCGGGTGGCTCATCAGCACTTCAGCTGGCTCGGCAGAGTCATTGGCTGAGGAGAGGGCCTAGACTTTAAAACAGAAACCCCCTTGCCACCCGTAGCAGTCTTATCGCTCCTTGAAGTAATCGGTGCAACCTTTGGAGCCGCTTACTTCTGTCTACACATTAGACGAAGTGATCACACTCCCGTTTCTCTGTTATGTTTATCTGCAGGTACTGCGGCAAGGCCCTCCTTACTGCTTTCGACGCCTATACGAAGTGCTTGGACGGTATTACCAACAACAGAAGGTCTAGAATGCCGTAGTTTGACGCAATGAGTAATTCAAGGCCAAAAGGACAGTGCATTCGGGTGTTATAAGGGCCGCGGACGAGGCCGCAGTCGTACGACTCAGCGTAAAGTCAGTCTAATGCATCAAAATCCCAAACTAGCTTGGCTAGGCACCCGCAACAAGCAGAGTCTACGACGAGCAAAAGGATGTTGCTGAAATGAGTGTTATTCTGTCCATACAGGGGTGCGTATGATGAGATGATGAGGATGTCAGTCCGGGTCTCGCCCCGCCTCATAAATCCCTCGACGCTAGCATCGTACCATCCGCTGTGACCGGGACGGGGAACGTACTTCCCCGAAAGGAAGGCTTGGCCGTAGATAAACGAGACATGCATACTTAGTCCCGTAAACCAGCTCTTGAGGCGAGACTCTCCGCGAGCTTTCTTACAATCAGGAAACGCGGCCACTGGCAACCAAGCCACCTGCTCTGAGTCCCGAGCTTGCTACTTACCCTCTGAGTAAGATACCAGAAATATTTTGTTTCTCTCAGTGCCGTTCGAAGAAATATGGGCTCAGCACCAGACCGAGAGCCGATAGATGTAGCCATTGTTGGAGGAGGGATTGGTGGACTTGCCCTGGCCATCGGGTTGCAACAGCACGGCCATATCCGAGTCAAAATATACGAGGCTGCTTCCAAGTTCTCCGAGATTGGGGGTGAGTGCCAGCTTTGCTTGGTGCGAAGAGAGGTGATGAGGAGGCTGAGGCCCTGGTGCTTGTACACTTTGCTGAACCACCGAACTACCGAAGCACCGCAGCTGGAGTATTCTTTGGCGCCAATTCCATTCGGGCGATGAGTCTCATTCATCCCAGCGTCGGCGAGGCTTATGCCAAAATCTCGACAAGCGTGGGCTGGGAGTCAAAGAAGGATACATACTTCGACTTCATTCTTGCACACGAGCTGCATGGACTGCCTGCTGGGACCCCAATCATATCCCCCAAGCTGTCAGCGACGGAACGGCACAGCACGGCTCATCGCGCGCATTTTGTCGATGAGCTCATCAAACTCGTTCCCAGAGACATGGCCCAGTTTGGCAAGCGACTGATCGACATCTCTCGAGATGAAACCAGAGGGAAAACCATTCTGAGATTTGCCGATAGCACCACCGCTGAAGCCGACGCAGTTATTGGTTGCGACGGGATCAAATCAGTATGTAGGGAGTTTGTGTTAGGCAAAGACAATCCTCTCTCGCAGCCTGTATTCACGGGGAAGCATGCTTACCGTGGGCTCATACCCATGGACAAAGCCATTGCGGCAATAGGCGAAGAGAAGGCCCAGAATCGTTACATGTTCATCGGCAGAGGCGGGCACGTGTTGACCTTTCCTGTTGCGAACGGCAGTGTGATGAATGTTGTCGCCTTCAGTACGACGAAGAGCGGCACATGGGACGGAGAATGGGTAAAGCGAATGAAACGTGAGGACCTGGCAGCCGACTTTGAGGGCTTTGGAGAAGAGTGCCAAAAGATTTTTTCGGTAAATACGGTGTAATGATGACTGATAATGAAGTTTGCTGATTAGGAGATACTATAGTTGATGGAGAGTACCGATCACTGGGGCATTTTCGACCTGTCCCCCAATTTCCCGACATATCAATCCAGAGACCTTCGCCTCCTCCTTCTGGGCGACAGTGCGCACGCCTGTGCTCCTCATCAAGGTGCAGGCGCAGGTCAAGCGCTGGAAGATGCACATATTCTCTCCCACGTCCTTGGCGAGTGCCGTTCTCCGTCCGACCTCCTCGCTGCTTTCACTGCATACGAAACGGTGCGTATGCCGCGTGCTAAGTTTGTGCAATACCATGGAAGACGACAAGGAGAACTGCTGGACCTACAAAGACCTGACGTTGGTGACGACCTCGAGAAACTCAAAGCTGTTATTGACGTCCCAATCAGGGAGATCTGGAACTGCGACCTGGAGGCCGAGTTGGAGAGGGCGCTGGTAGTGATGAAGGCAGAGCTGCAAAGACCGGTGATCACTCCGCTACCAACAGCTTCGAGCAGTGTCTCACCGATGACGGCCGTCTGATGCGAAAAATCCGATACGTAGTTGGAAATTCTGCAAAGCACTTATACAATGCACCACACACTGCAAAATCGGTGGAAGCGGCTCCCAATTGATTCAGATGCTGTAATTAGTGTCTTCCGAGCCACCTGGATCTCGCTCGACCCTCTCTTATCCTGAAAGCAGCTTGCTGCCTTCTTCCCATGTCTTGCTTATCTTTTGTATATCTATCTCAGCATTTGGAGCCTCTATCTACGCAGGAAAATGTTGCCTTGCGCCAACCGTAACCACCTTCTTTATCAGGGCGCCAACTGCCAGGTGGCAAGTCACTGTGCAGGGGAATCTATCGCTTACTCCAACTTCTTCCAGAAATCTTCGATCAGTCCGGCAACCTCTGGCACCTTTTCTCTAACAACGGCATGCCCTGCCTGTGGAACTAACACAGTATTCTGCATGCCGATGCTGTGCAAATCATGCTCGTTGACTATGCCGTCCAGCTGTCCAAGGATGCAAAGATTCTTAATGCCCGTTTTCGTCGCCTTGGCGAATTCTTCATCATTGTCCAACACACCAGCATCTCTGAACAGGGCTACTACGCTCGCAACGTGGCCTTCATGGTGCTCCATTTGCCACTGACGAACTGCCTCAGCTACTACCTCGCCTCTTTCGACCCTTTCTTTCCAATCCGGCGGCACAACCAAGTCTCCTCCCTCCAGAAAATCCAGAATCCACGCCTTAGCCTGCACTTCTAAGCCTTCGCCACCTCGCAAGTAGCTTCTCTGCACTTCGTCAAATTGCCCCTGTCGAACGAAGCCAGCGGGCGCAACCAGAGTTAGGGATGCCACACGCTCTGGTCTGGCAGCGGCAAAACTCGCGGTCAGCGACCCTCCAAGGGAGAAGCCAACAAAGTGGGCGTCCTCCCAGCCAATGTGCACCATGACAGACTCAAGCAGGTCGTGAGCGAGGGCCGCATCGTGTGGGACGAATGGCGTGTCTGTGAGCCCGTGACCCCATAGGTCAACGAGTACGCATTTGGCACTCGGAAAACGCGCGGAGAGTGTGCTTGCCAACGGTTGCAGGCCAATTGCGCACGTCTGGATGCCGTGGACGAAGAGTACGCGAGTAACGGGGTTTGTGGCTTGTTCGGCAGTGATAGGTGACGTTGGAAGCGCATAGAACGCAATCCTGCCGTTCTTTGTCTGCAAAAAAGATGCTTGAGGCAACAGCTGCCCAAAGGCTGTGACAAAGGCTCTTTCAGATGGTGCGGATATTATGCGTGGTGTTTCCGAAGCTAAAGCTCCAGGTCGAGGGAGAACGATCAGTGGACCAGGCATTCTTGCGATATTTGGGCGGTGGGCCTGTGAATGGTACTGACAAGATACCGAAGCACAAGTCCTGAGATTGACTGGAAGAATTGAAGAGGCCTGAGGGGACGTTCGCAAAAGGACATGGAGTATTCTTAAGGCACTCAGCACCAAATTCCACGCGAAGCGAAAAGGCGACGCGATTCGAAAATTACAAAGCATTTCAATTTTACGTGCGGTGGGTTACGTAAATGTCCCTTCTTAGTGGGCTGCTACAATTGGCCGCTAAGCTACCGCTGGAAGCATGTTATCTTCATTTCTTGTGCATAATTTGTCCCTCGTGTCACACAGATGGAGTATAGGAAACTGAGCCACAGTTGGATCATATGAATCTCCCCAGCTATCACCATGCGATATCTATATATGCATATAACTATAGGCTTGGCATGTGCTCGTCAAGTTGAGATCAATGGCTATCCGTCGTCTCTTTACACCACGCGTTTTGTTGTCAGAGCAGGACGAGAGTGGCATCCATATATCGCTCCAAACGCCTAATCACAGCATATAGTTGTCTGCAGTAAAGGTTTTTGTAATAGTCTTTCCCCTTCGCCGGGTTGCAGATCGATTGTGACAGTGAGCCAATGGCAGGCAAACTTGCCAATAGCGGAGCCGATAATGATGCAAATGATGATATAGCCGTTGAAATACATGGCAAGAAGCATGATTATGTACGCCGCTCCAAAAGTGGCAGCATGAATGAGTGCTCGTATCAGTTGCTGCAGCGGAGTTGCTCGGAACATAGTCATCTCCGAGCAAGTGCTTGACCCTTGAGATCCTTCAATTGCGCGGTCGCGGGCCACGGCCGCTTGTCTGTGCCATTGCCGAACGACGGAGTTGTCGTATTCCTGGCCAATTCGTCGCATGAACTCGACGGAGACGACGAGTAGGACTATGCCGATGCATGAGGCAGCAAACATGCCTCTGTTCTGAATTCGCCATGATGAGGACAGGAAGCATGCGTCCACTGTGTACCAATTCCAGAGCATCTAGATGACCTGTTAGCAAACGAAGCACGGCCCTCGTGGAGAGAGAAGTATGAAGAGAGACCTGCCGATATCCTGCAGCTTCCTGAACCGCCGTCACCCGCGTTCATGTCCATGGTGAAGAGATTGTATCAAATGAGCTTCTTGTTGATCTGGTGGCGAGCTCTTGTAGACGGATGCACTTCAAGAAGTCTCTCCCGGAGCAGAGACGGCAAACACGAAGTCGCAGTCAAGGCCAAGACAAATGTCACCAATGCTGCCGCATTATCTGGGTAGAAGCCACTTGTATATAACCAGGGCGATGTGCCTGGTCAGTATGACCGAGGCAGCCAACCTGCGATCCTCAAAATCTCCCGCAAACTTGCTCATATGTCCTCACCTGCAGTAGTTCCCCACCCTCAAAGCTACGAAAAGAGCGAATCCCGTAGCTTTGTACCACTGATTTCAGTGTTGTTTGAGTATTCTATGCAACTAAGCGCCACTTCTCCAAGGTTTGGCTGGCAGAGCCCATTTTGATTGATATACCGGCCTCAAGAAGGGGCATCACCATCCCTGCCGACCTACCAAGTGGACAGCACGGCTCTAGCCCGGAAGACGACCTTAGAAATAATCTAGCTGGTCGACATGCTTATATCTAGTTCGTACTGCTGCTATATGGAGTACAAAAAAACATATCCGGTTCACCAATGCGCGGTAGCACAGTGATCTGGCCAAGCTCACACGCCCTTACTATCGAACAACCTAAAGCGCAAGGTCATGGCCGGCTTTCACTCCATACTGAGTGCTCGGCACATCCAAAACATGAGTGATGCCTCGCAGATCGAGCCTCACTGGGGCTATGCGGACCGTGCGCTGCCTTGCACCAACGACAAGGGCTCTTGCGAGTACTTGGATCTGGTCTACTCGGCTCATGACTTGAGCATGATCTATGCTGGCATCCTATGGGCGACCATTGGAGGCATATTGGTCCTTTGGACAGTGCACCGCAGACTCAGTTTACCTTCACATACTTTGGTTACACCGTCCAGGATTCAAAGAATCGACGTCTGCACGGTTCGGCCGCACTGCTAGAGCCGCCATCCAACGCTACCTCCTTCCGGAATCGATTCTCTCAGTCTTTGGCCGCGCTACTCGCTTACAAGTTGTCATTCTCCTCAGCCTCATTGGGAACATCATCATCTGGTCTTTCGTCGGCCTCGCCTATCGAACCTGGATCACACCTGTGAAGGGCCTTCCGGGCGTTCACAACACTCGAACTACGCTCGGTCCCTGGTCTGATCGCATTGGGGTACTGGCATTCGCACTCACTCCCTTGTCTGTGATGCTTGCCAATCGGGAGTCTCTTCTTTCGCTTCTTACTGGAGTGCCGTATCAAGGTTTCAACTTCTTACACCGATGGCTGGGATACGTTATCTTTGCTCAAGGCTCCCTTCACACGATCGGCTGGTGTATTATTGAGATCCGTTTGTATCAGCCCCAACCCGCTGTGGCACAGCAATTCGTTTCTGAAATCTATCTAGTATGGGGGATTGTTGCCATGGCAGTTCTCACCTTGCTCTTTCTCCTAAGCACCCCATGGGGGATTCGACTTACTGGATATGAGGCTTTCAGAAAACTGCATTATACCTTGGCCATGGTGTATGTCGGAGCGTGCTGGGGGCATTGGGAGAAGCTTGAATGCTTCATGATGCCGTCACTCATTTTCTGGCTCCTTGACCGTGGCTTGCGCCTTATCAGGACCGGGATCCTTCATTACCAGATTCTGCCATCAGGGGATGTGGGATTCCACACTTGCGCAGCAGAATTCACAATGTTTCCGGACACCGAAAACGGTGACGTATGTCGACTTAATCTCACAAACAACCAGGATCCTTGGAAAATTGGCCAGCATTACTTCTTGTGCTTCCCAGAAAGCAGCATTTGGCAATCGCACCCGTTCACCCCGTTCAATATTGCCCAGGTCCAGAATGGGCTGGTGAAGCACTCCTACATTATTCGAGCCAAGGGCGGAGAAACGAAAAATGTTGCTCAGATCTGTGCGAACAAGCTCGTGTCCACAGCCCATACGGGCGTGAGGACCATATCAGTGATTTTGACCGGCCCTTATGGAGTGAATGCTATGGAAGACTTTGAGCCGCACAGCAACGTCGTTTGTATCGCAGGTGGGACGGGAGTATCATTTACTTTACCTGTAATGCTCAGCCTCTCTCGGTCGAGAATTACCATGAAACGAAAGCTCAGGTTCATTTGGATCATCAGGAGGGAACGCGACATGAAATGGATTGAGGAGGAGCTGAGGGCTCTTCAGCAGGCGCCCGATATTACAACCCTAGACATCAGCATCTTTATCACCGGCGACGCAAGGACAAAGATTGAGCCGAGTGGCAAAGATGCAAAGGGACTGGGAAGCTATGTCAAAGAGGAAACGATTGTGGGATCCGCTGGAGTGTCATGCGGCAGCAACCGGAGCATATATCTGCATCGGACTGAGAAAGCGGATGGAAATCGGCGGCCGGATACCGCGAAGATGATTGGCGATTTTTTAGAGAACACAGTCTGTGGGCCAAGTGTCGTCGTTGCAAGCTGTCCGGGGGAGATGATTAGCGACATTCGCAGGGCTGTTGCGGGCTTCAACTCTCCGAGGAAGGTCTGGCATGAACAGCAGCGGTATGATGTAAGGTTGATATGTGAGGATCGCTTGGAGCTGTGACGGAACAGATTTCAGCCTGAAAACTGACACACAAATTCGATCACAAAATGACAAATAGACTGTTGAGATAGCAAGACCCCGTCGACATTTGGCTATTATGTTCTCTAACCTATGACGAGGAAGCCTCCTTGAACAGACATTGAAGGTCATGCCCCTCAAACGCCTTCGCGTCCTTTCGCCAGGCATATATGAGAACATCTCTCCCCTCCTTGACGATATCCATGCTCTGCTCTTGGGTTCCCCATCCGGGCGTGATTGACCCAAAACAAATCAGGTGAGCTCCGACATGAATCAAGACACGATAGGTAAAGTTAGCATCGGTCTTACCATAGCCTTCCGCGAAGCCACTGATGATCCATAGAGCGGCGTCTATATCCTTGTACAGTTTCAGCTGCCATAACTCGGCAATGAATTGTCCCAGATCTTCGGCACGCACGCCAAGTTGTGCCATTTCCCAATCAATTACCCTGACTGGAACTTGCTGGGCGTCGTCAAAAGCAGCGTTTGGAAGCAACACACTGGAGACGAACAAATTAGCTGCCACATTTCAACGGCGCTGTAGTAGCTTAAGAGATCTCTCGAGTTTGAACGTACTTTCCAGTCCAAAAATCACCATGAACAGCACTTAGCTTTCCCTCATCCGCCAGCTCATCTGTGGCCATGCTTACAATCTGCTGCAGGACGTCTTTGCACTCTTCCAGGAGAGATGGAAACATGCTCACTCTGCCTATTAGTTGATCATAGTTGATATACTTCTTGATGTTTCGCATGTCGGTATTCTTGGCCAGTAACTCGCGCAGATTCTGTTGTCCTGGCCTGTCACTCCAAGCATGGAATTCGTGTAGCCACCGGCCCAAGTCCCGCCCCAACTCAAGGCATTGTGGCTTCACCAGCTGGGATGTAGGAGCGTGGAAATGACTGAGCGCATAATCTTTGAGATTGACAGCATTAGTCAGGTACTCCTGGATTTGAGTGCTGGTCTCATGGTTGAAGTGATACAGCTTTGGAGTTCCAACTTCGAACTTGGATGATGCCACGGGAGGAAGGTGTGAGAGGATTCTCAGGCCCTCGTGTTCAATATACTGTGCATTAGAGCGTGACATCAGCGTTAAGCCCTCCAAGTGTGCTGGGGGAATGGGATAACTAACGCATCGAACCATTTGAAGCCTGAAATCCGGATGTTGGGCAACATATGCCTCACCATGCTTCAGCACAACTTCTGTGGAACCGTCTGGGAGAGGCTCCTGCAGCCTGGCACGGAATATAAAGTTTGCTGTACCTCCTGTGAGAGGTTCAAGCAATGAGACTGCATAGTCTGTGCCCTCCAATTCTCTTCGGACGGCGCCCTCAATCTCCTGTTGAGTCTTTCTTCCTAGCATGCTAGCACGTCTGGATGCAGGAGGCCGATTCTGCTTCTCCCAAAAATCGATAGTTGTGAGATTTTTGCTGTATATGCGTGGGCGGTAGCCTTGAGAATGCACCTATGGCAGGGGAAAGACAGGGATTTAAGTCTGTGAATTGGCGGTCCGATGGATGAGTTGCCCGGGCAATGGTTTTCTCCTCCAAGGCAACCACATTAAAACGAAGGCGTGCCTATCACGGTCAAGAGATGTAGACCTACCAAAGGCCGGGCTATCTGGGTATCTAAGGTACCAAGGTAGGCAAAGAACTTTAGGTAAAGACCAAGCAGCGTGGCTCACTCCAGCTGCTTCCCGGCGAGTGAGTCAGAGAGAGGGGGGCCCGCGCTCTGCAAATGGTTTCATTGACTCAACACCGAACCCAAACCACCCTAACCACATACGGTCGATAAATGGCAGTAACGCAGCTTCGATTATTGAGGGGAAACAAGATTCCAACGACGAGCAAGCGGTCCGGGTGTCATTTTTCGGCCGGCATGCCTATTTGCTGCGGTTTGCCAATGAGATTTGCCGACCAAGCTCCCCTGGAACCGGTCGATCTGATTAATATTGCTCCCGAGTCCGAAGTATTTCCACGCAAATTTCGTCAACTACCCGAGCCGGCTACCACGGAGCTGGAATTCACTCCTCAGTTTTGCTCAAACAATGGTCCTCAACCGAACTTAGTGCCATGATGGAACAAACTGCGGGCACAGACATGTCGCAGGAATAGTTGGATCTTCGCTCAGTGATTGTCATGACGGGTTCAAGTGAATTGTAGTCTAAGCGAAGATTGGATACGCAGCTCAACGCTTCTAGTGATACTGTGCGTGCTCTTATTCCAACCAGAAAGTCTTCATCGCTCTCGGTTCAACAGTCACCTTGAGATTGTTGCCGCTGATCTTGTACCGGCTTTGCAAGGTAACGTTGTGGCTGTTGTCGGTCAAGTACTCGCTCAACTTCCTCTTCTTGATCCCCTCCAGATCGATGCTTAGATCATAAGGAAAGTGAGCGGCGTTGATGACGGGGATGGCCACCGTTCCATTCTTGTTGAGATATGCTGTCACATAGACGTTTTCGACGTCGCTTATTGCATCGATGCGGACGGATCCCGGCCGGGCGAATCGGAAGTACTGCGCAAAAGCCCAAAGCCGAGCCGACACTTCGTAGCTGTCGCCATCAAGCCGGATGAGAGCATTGTCGCCGTTGCTGTTCTGTGCGCACCACCAGTGCGTGTACCCTGAGGTTTCACTGTTGACAAACGCATTGTGCATATATAACGCCCACTGAAGGCCCTCACTTTCGAAGTAGCATGATGTTAATACAATGCGACAATATTAACGGTGTTGATTGGAAGATACTCACGCAAGTTGGCCGCTGTAGTCCCAGGTGCTGTTCCACGGACCCGTACCCTGTATCGTCAGTGTAAGTAGAGGGAGGCAGGACATGTCCAGGATCACATCTTACGTCTGCCCATTCAGTCTGTATGTTTGGCTTTCCGCCAGCATTAAACGGGCGCTCTGGGTTGCTTTGGTAGTTGTGCCATGTCTGGGATCTCAGTCAGAACAGAACTCTATTGTGCAAATTTTGGTGTGAAAATAGATTGATGAACCAACCGCGATGTCAAAGAACTTCTCACCACCCGCCTGCTGGAGCTCGTAAAGAATGTTTCTCTCTTGACGTGCGCCAGTTGCATCGCAGCAGCTGACGTCTACCTTTGGGAAAGCCTTTTTAAGTGTAGGATAGAGGACTTCCAGAAAGTCCTTGGCCTGGTATCCGTCCGAGAGCATGCTCTCGTAGGTAAACGGGTTAAAGTCCGGCTCATTCCAAGCACCTAGAAGGGAGACGTCGATGCCCTCTTCCTTGTAAAATCGGACATATTGCACGAGATAGTCGGCGTATGCCTGGCGCCAATCGTGTTTGCAATTGGTGCCCCGTACACCGCAGATTTGCCCTCCTAGGTTCTCAGTCCCAACCGTCTTCATGCAGCCAGGAGCAGACCAGGCATCCGCGTATACGTAAAGATTCGGGTTGTATTTAAGAGCGGTTTTGGTGAGATTAAACTGACAGTTGTCACTGCCATCCCACACGTAATCGAACTTGCCTTGCGGTGTCGCGGGACAAGTTGGCAGAATGGTTGTTCCAGGGGACGACCCGATATCGTTCCGAACAATGGACAGGCCGCCAATGTTCTCATCGAAGAGAATTTGAGTAACCCTCTGCTGCTTCTCAGGGGATAGGCCAGAAGACCCAAATTGCTGACAAGCGATGCCAAAGGCGCCGGAGCAACCCCCTCCGATCATCGTTTGATAGGTCTGACGAGCATTGACCTTGATATTGGCCCTATATTGAGACTTGGTGTCGTATGACCATGCCGAGCTCTGACCCAGCAAGGCCAGGACAACGGAAATTGAAGATTTCATGCTGAGGATGAAATGGAGAGGAGATCCCTGTGGAGGTCGGTCGCTTGGGCTCTGTTTAACCAGCCCTTAGCTATAAGCCTCTCAACTCCCGAAGCCTCCATTATATATCAATTGCCCTCCGGAGCCCTCTTTCTTCCTTTGACTTCGTTGCGTTGGATATCATCACATTTATCCGGTCATCATTCTTTACCGACATCCGAGCCCATGTCACCAACAGTTGGAGATCGTTCATTTAGCCTTTTTATCCGCGGTGACGCTTCATTGCGGATTGCGAGACAGGGGTTTGGATCGGCGTAAAGCCAATCACGCAAGTTTGACTAAGGCATCCAACACGGCGACGTGCTATGTAATTGTATAAAGTTTGCCGCGGGCTGTTAAAAGGCTGTATGCATGGTTCGACCGGGTTGCAGATGCGGAAGGGTATTCAGTGAGATTCGCTTGGACTATCGGCAAGGAGCTGGTAGGCAATCTTCGCATTAAGTCTCGGATGATGATATCGCTCCAGTATTTGGTTTGGTGATAAGATGCACGAAGTCAACCTTCTGCTAAGAACAACAAGAAGATAACACCTACGCAACGTGTGTTGCAGGCACCTAGGAATATTGAGTCTTATTGAGCGAATGTGTTGGATGACGATCGACTGGTTATGAGCTATTGGGAAGCTTCACCCACATTATTGATACAAGAGTATAGCGGAATAATCTTTCAATGAGAAGATGCATGTTCATGAGTTTGATGGCGGCCGCTCAACCACCAACGTATTTATAGACTGGACGTGATGAGCTCCGGAGCCTGTGTCTGGAGATGGATTACTATGACTGGCGGCAGTCAAGAGCACGAAGTTTCTGATCCGTAAGCATTGAGACATTCCATCGGGACTTTGCACTGGAAACACCATTTCAACCAAATCTCCCATCACTCAACAGTCTCGATAAGAGACATGATGACGTCCAGCCATCTCCCAGCATTGTACTCCGTATAGTTCGTTCCTCCGTCCCGGCAATTCGGCAACGGCTTGCGCTATCGGGACTTTAACCGATGCACCCCACAAACATTGCGGGTTAAGACGTGTGGGGATGCCACACGTCTTGGTAATGGCAGGGGAATACTCCCCTGAATCATCAAGTCATGTGGTCATTAACGTTGCTTCGGTATTCCCTGGGCGTAGAATGTGACAGAGGTGAGCTGACGGTGTAGGCAAGGGATGAGGAGATCTCAAATATTCGGCGTCGGACATGCGGTTGCTATGCATTCCTGGTTGGGACGTGATGTTTCCCAATCACAGTAGATACGAAGTGTGAATATTGTCCCTGGCAAGTAAAGTTACATAAGCTGAGAGATGGTTGGGTATTGTCGGATCTGAATCATCTCCCGCATTCAGCTGATTGAGATCATTAGTCCTTTTCCCGCATGTGTCGGGCGAGAGCTCTTTTCGAATAGCTTTATCGCCGCCCGCCGAGAGGAATCGAGATACGAATGAGGTACACATCTCAAGGCGACTCACGAGCGAGCGTAGGGTGTACATCGATTGTTGAAGTCGTATAATCATACAATTCCAGAGCACGGTTCTTACATGAGGAAAATTTGGGGCCTCGGGAAAGTACCCTTGCAGAGTACTACCTTACACAACACAATAAGCTGCCGATAGGCAAGGCAATTACCACTCTGCTGCGAAGTGGTAGCAACCATGCCACCCACTCCCTCCCCCATGTCAGAGTGGTGGGCATTGAAGGTTATAGCAAACCCCAATGATTTGGTCAATGTAGGGAGCTTGTCGTATTCACAATGGTTGTTCCATTCAGATCGCTGTAGATTACTATAGTTCTGATGACACTCTTCACGCATGCACGGCTGAAACAGCTGCTGTACCGCTGTTTGAACTCACTTGTTCTCTCAGGTACGCAAATAATGCATGCGAATGTGTAGACTACATTACACACGCATATGTGCACCACATGCTTAGCGGTACTATCTGGCCTGGAGCATTGTGAAACCCCACAGCTAATCTTTAATCCTGACTAAACTGTACACCAATATCAATGTAGTAGAAATTGGGATCTCCTGTCGCCGGAGGGGTGAATGTTTTAATGGCCTGTTCATTTACAATCTGCTCACCCGTCGGGCTCGTTAGACGAATTCCAACCGGCAAGTTGAAAGGCCCTGCTCCCTGTGGAATAACCCAACTGCCATAGCGTTCTTGTGGGCGACTGCTTGTATAATTTGGATCATGGACCAAGGCAACCCAAGCGTCCGTATCTGCGCCCTTGATCTCGATCTTCGTTACTGAGCCGGGCCCATTGGTGTTGACTGCTGTGAGAGCAAAGTAATACGGCCCTCCGCCGTTTCGAAGCCAGATATAGGCGTTTCCCACCTTGGGGCAAGGAACTCTCCTGTATCGAGTTGGAATGACACCATTTGTCAGCGATCCATTGCCCTGCAAGCGGCCCATGGCGATGTCCGACAGGTCGAGATGAATGCTGTCAGCAGGAAGAGGACAGCCATATTTGAAGTCAATCTCTCCGCAGTGATCGGCGCCAGGACCACCTGACAGATGTTAGCCAGAGGTATTGGTAAGATGCGTCTACTGCACATGATGGATTGGGTTGTCTTACAGCACCACTTGGAGTTCGCGCTGCATGGGCAGCTGTCAACAATCTCGAGGGTAATTGGGTCTGTGTAACCGGCTTCACCCACAGCGTAGTCTGTTCCATCCGGTTTTGTCTGGATCAATTCGATGCACTCGCCGCAAGACAGATAGTTATCGAGTGCTCCTGGCAACGACGACCAGAACTGTCGCCCAGTCAGTAAGAAACGGACTAAAGGGTAGCTGCCTCCCAGATTATCCCACCTGTGTATAGTAATCACCATTTGGAGCTGCAAAGTTGCCGCGAAGAGTCGTGCCGGTAGGGTCTTTGCAAAGCAGGGGATAGGCTGTACAGAAAGCATCACACGTCGAGCCAAGCATGGGATCCGTCCAGTTGGCCGTAACACTGCCCTTTGTGCACAGACCGTACAGGCCAAAGCCACAAGCCCCGCCGCTCGTTAGACCAAAGTGGGTTGACCTCTGAGCATTCCAAAAGTTAGCACGACGCAATCGACGAAGGATAAGATAAGTCCTCCGGGGTCGATCATCTTACACTATAGTGCCAGCTCTCGTTGCTGGATACGTGATGGACCTCTGGATACATGGTCCCGGATTTGCAGTCCGCTGAGGGGGGCGTAGTGCAGGTATCGCAGCCTGAACATGTTTCGGATGTGTCATCATTGGCACAATATGATGGGCAGCAAACATTATCCACGAGAGTCCACGATCCGCAACTGGATGCGGCAATGCTGGGATAAGGAGACTGCGAATGAGGAGCCACAGTAGCTGTATCTGTCGTAGTATAGGTGGAAGCACCGCTGGTTGGTGAGCCGCCACCGGATGAGGAGCCGACGGATGAAGATGCCGACGACGTCCGTGAAACCAAGCTGGACGAAGTCGTTGTTCCACTTGGGGGGTTTCCACCCTGTATCATATCAGAAGGGAAAGTTGACGCCCGGATCGAAGCTCATACAGTTGACGCAAGACACTGGGAGTACCAGTCATTCACATAAGTGCACTGAGCGCCAGCAACGCAGCATGTTGCGCCGGGCCATCCAGTGCCTCCACATTGGTCACTAGGCCTGCGTTAGCAAGGACGTCAGATGGTCAGGCAGTATTTTCCTGATCTCGTTCACCATGCTTACAATAATGCTGCGCAGTTCTGCTGAACTGAGAACGAAAAGAGGTTTGCCAGAGCCACAAGGCTAAGTTTACGAACCATCCCGGGCACTACAACTAGTGGTTAAGGAAAGGCAAGCGATATCTCTCTTTCAGACGAACCATGAATACCATTAGTTCAATTACCTTAGCTTTATACAAGAGCAGTGGTCTGACCCTCCTTACATCTACTCCACAAAATTAACTGAAGTTGTCTTCTGTATGAGGTTTATGTTATTTAGGCTGAGTATCACAAAGGGCTGGGCTCGTGGATCGGATAAGCGGATGTCCCAATACAAGAAGCTGATTCTACAGCAGGTTCATTTCCACCACGGATTTAACGACCAAAGACTGCGGGACGTAACAACCGAGATGGATAGAGCTTAGCCATCAGGTGTCAAGTGAGTCGCACTGCATTTTGATGAGACTTGCGCAAAGGCTAAAAGTGGTGTGTAAATTGCCTACTTATAGGCTGCTTCAAACTGGCGGTAAATGCATAACAGAGCGTCCTGCTGATTATGTGCACAAGGCCTATACAGTATATCGGGCTTCCTTTTGCCGACTGTGCCAAGGTGGGCTTTCCTTGTATGTACCGCAGTCCTCACTCCCCAGTCAAGTGAATACGGACAAACATGGAATCTTTTCCGGCGCCTCCCCATGGAAAGAGCTGTTTTGCGGGAAATAGAAGAATGTAGCACGTTATATGAAATAGTGCCTCGCAAAGTTCTGCTCCTCCATGTTCCGCAATCAGCCGACCATTACAGGGTGATGGCAGTGTGATATTGAGGTACGTATTACAGTGCAACCCTGCGACTGACTAGTACTCAGATGGTACTTGCCAATGGAGAAGTATCAAGTGGTGAAGTGTAACCTGCAACATTACATATAAGTTCAGTCTTTCGGTGATTTTTGCCTTATATAACAACGGAATGCTTATGGAGCCACGCAATACAATTTCAGCTCGAAACTTCTCATATGTCACTCACGACACATCAGACGGACTGTGCTGGCAATGGCAGTCTTTGTGATTGTTTCTCTACCATATATGCTACATTTATAAGCAAAGATGCTCTTTGGTCAGTCTACCAATTTCCATTTATTGCTATAGTTCTGAACAGGAATTCGCTGTGCCTTCCCTACTGCGGTGGTTGTTCCTCCTGCTGCTGCCGCTGGTTGTAATAGTTGGCATACTGGTGGCCCGGATATGATTGCCGCGGCGGTTGCCACTGTGGCTGGGATTGTGCTGCCTGATGGTTATAACCACTGTAACGAGCTGTAATATTCCCATCGTATGCGGAATATCGCTTCGCGGCCTGATTCTGCCCCTCGCCGCTGTTGGGATTGCTATACAATTCCGCGTTGTGGTACTGTCCGTATTGCTGTGGTGCTCCTTGCTGTCTTGCATAGCCTCCATATTGCTCTGCTGGCTGAGATGGTAGAGCCGTTTGTGATAAGGATACATATGACGGCTGTGTTCTGATAGTTGGCTGGGCGCATTGGGACGCGCTGTTAGGGAACACTGTAGCTTGCAACACCGGAGTCTGGAACTGAGAGCCACCATCCACCCTCGGAGTATGTTGGGGTGCAGGTTTCCTCCTGATAATCTCTAGGGGTGCTGGGACAGCCATTTGAGCAGCGGCAGCCGCATGCAGGCTGAGAATGGATTCCCTTTTTGGGATAAACGAGGCAGCATCCTGAGTCGACCAGTCGGCTGCGGGTGAAAAGACAGAAGAGTTATGAGCGACTGGTGCAGGCGGTGGAGAGATTGAGGCCTGTGTATCAGAATAGGCGTAAGAGATCTCGGAGAATGTTGTTATACTGGCAGCTAGAGACGGAGAAGTCTCCGTGGCCGACGATGGTACTTCGACAATCTTTCCGGACAGAACTGTCACATCTTCCTCCATAATAGAGTGCTCCACAGGTTGCTGGGCTTCTGCAAGTTCATGGGAGCCTTCCAATTGAGCTGCGGAATCGGTCACGTCAGCTGTCTGCGGATCGGACGTCTGCGCATCAGCTGCCTCTGGATTCTTCGGCGTGTCATCGTCGTAGTTTAGGCCTTGCTTGCTCATGTTGGCTGTCCGAACAATGCCTTCCAAGGAAACGTCGCCAGAATCCACGGCTGTCTTGATGGCCCCGAGAAGCACGGTGACGCGTTCAATAAGCACGTTGAGGCACTCCCACTGTTCATTTGAGGAGCCTATGAAGTCAGAAGCCTCTTCACCGTCATCCTCGGATGGCTGTGTGACGGCAAAGGCTGTCTGAAGCGCATTCATGTCTCTTTTGCTGGAATGCATTATATCGGCCCCATTATCCAGCAGAAAGGTTACGGCTTCCACATCACCACGCGCAGCTGCCACAATCAGAGCCGTGTCGCCATCATTATCTGGGAGGTTAATATCCGCGCCTGCATTGAGTAGCAGCTGCAGTGACTCCTTGGGCAGATATGCGGCAGCGTTGATAAGAGGCGTCGAGTGGTCGTAGCCTCCAAAGACGTCCACACCTGCCTTCGCGTTGACCAGCATCTCCAAGATCCCAGCCTCTCCGCGCTGAGTCGCGGCAATAATTGGGGGGGAGTCCGTTCCAAGGCCGAGATTCGGATCGGCGCCCTTTTCCAGCAGTAAGGATACGATGTCGGATCTACTTGCTTCGCACGCTCCTTGAATAGCGGTGCCAGCTGGAAAGTTGTCGTTATGGGTGCAAGCGTTGACCTCAGCTCCACGATCGATGAGCTCCTGGACAATCTCGTAGTGTCCTTCAGCAGCAGCAGTTTGCAGCGCCCAGCCGTTAGGATCGTTGACATCAGCACCAGCATCAAGCAAGAGCTGAACCATTTCCATGATTCCGTCAAACGCAGCGGCCGTCAAGGCCGTGCCATACTCTTCGCCAGTCGCATTCGGGCTTGCGCCAAAGCTCTGCAGCAAAAGCCTCACAGTCGTCGTTTTCTCTCTATCAGTCGCATTGTAGAGGGCGTTGCTTATCGTCTCCTGCGTTATGGATCCGTTTGCATAGTCCCAAGCCAGCTGTAGCATTTTATCTTGCGGCTCGCTGCATGTTGCGACCTCGGTAAAGAGACCATTCACGTCCAAGCCTTGTCGATTGTCTAGAAGAGACTTCACAATGTCCCAGTTCCACTCTTCTACTGCCTCATCCAGGGCCGATTGAAACACGGATTCCTCGTGGCTGAAACTGAGCAATTTGTTGAATACTTCAATCCTTCCAGCAGCCGCAGCCGCGACCAATGCTTCGCTATAGTCGCCAGCGGGCAGCTTGTCGGCGTAGCTCTCAATCAGATACTCAAACATGGAGTAGTCAGCCAGCAAGGCGGCCAGTGCAAGAGGACACGGGATGCTTTCGTCCTCGGATTGAAATGTCAGAGAGACGTTGTGCTTGACGAGCAGTTCAATCGCCTCACGGCTTCCCGAAGAAATTGCTGCGTTAACGACCGGCCCAATGTCTTTTGCAACAGCATTGGGATCAGCGCCTCGCAACAGCAGCTTCTTCATGACTTGAATATGTCCATTAAATGCGGCCATGTGTAGCGGTGTCTGTTCGTGAATTTCTGCAGCGTCGTCGATGACAGCACCGCGGTTGAGCAGTTCCTCGACAATGTTGGGTCTGCCTAGATAGGCGGCAAAATGCAACTTGTACTGACTGTTAGTCGGTGTGAACAAAGTGGGCATGGATAATGATCCCGAGACTTACAGGAGTATTAATCAATGAGTCTCGCTCTCTGATCTCGGCCTCGTGGCCATTGCGAATGAGGGCTGCAACCAGCTGTCGGAAGCCAATCGCCGCAGCGACATGCAATCCATTCAGCGTCTTGTAGTCAAACCCTTCGAAAGTGGTCGTCGTACGCGCGTATTCAAACAACCACCGGCGCCGAATAGCCGAGTCTGGTTTCCAGAAGTCATCTTCGAGGCTCAAATCCTCGGCAATTTCGAGGGTGGCATTGCTGGCATGGTGCAGCCAATGCTTCACGGTATATGCCAAGGCTCTGTCTTTAACCATTTCTGCCTCGGGGTCGGCTTCTTCCTCTTCTTCGTTGCCGTTCTCATCGTACATTTCTTCACCTTCTGAGTACTCCTCTTCATCATCGCCGTCATTAGTTACCTGCTCTGAGGCACCATCGTCCTCGCCTTCTTGCTCAGCAGCCTCATAGTCTTGAACGTCCCCTCCTTCGGCTTTCCCAGCGCCCTCGGTCTCTGTCTCTTCAGGGACTGGATCCGGCATGGGAAAATCCAAAGTTTCTTTGATATGAGAGAAGCATCTGAGAGCTAGCACACCATGTTGCCATTTCAGTTCTTCCTTGGACAGTCCAAGGAGCTCCTTGGCATTCTCCCACAGATGAGTCTTCACAATGATGTTGACAAAACAAACAACAGAGTCTGGCCTGCTTGTTCGTTTCAAGTGCAGAAGAGGTTTGCACTGTTCAATCAGCTTGCGCAGCTCACCCTTTTCCTGATCACTGGATGACAGTCCTGCAAGCAGGCCGAGTTCAGACTCAGTTGGATCTTCATAAGTCAGAACAAGTGCACGCAGCATTTCCTTGATTTTCTCGACGTGAGCCTCGTTGAGCTGAAAGATCTGACGCCAAGAGTGATCCAGCAGTGTTTTTAGATCCTGGGGCATGTTTTCGAGAATTCTTCTCACGCCTAAATCACTCTCGGTGTTTGAAAGCTCCCCCAGCTGAATGCATGTGATGTCGATCCATTGAGTATTCTGTGCGCGTTTTCCTACCAGACTGCTGGCGAAGTATGCAAGGGCCTTATTGTACTGCTTCTGTTCGCCAATTGCAGAGATCATCTTCTTGGCGTGTTTGCGCAGCTCCAGCTGAACTTGGTTCTCATATCGGCTGTCCTCCAGATCAATGACGCGGACACCGTCGATTTTGAGCACCTTGTCAACGTTATGGGATTCCCTGCTGGTGATGAACCACCGTGTAGGGACACGTTTTGAGTCAGTGACGCGAAGTCCCTGGAGTTCACTGGCGATGAACCTCATCAGCTTGATGGTTGAATCCGACTCAGCGGGGAGGGCATGGAGATTGTTAAGCACGAAGTAGACCTTGCTGCCGATGAACTCATCCGCCAGCATGTCTTGGATAGATTGCCACATGTTTTCAACCGTTATCTGCGCCTGCTGAGTCCTGCTCGCATCGTCTTTGCCCTTCTTCTTGGTGAATATCTTTGCATAAGGTGCAAGCGTCTCTTGCTGGCTGATCAGCTGCCTGATTGCAGACTTCAAAACGTCTTCAGCCGTTGAGTAGTCCGCAGTGGCATCGCAGAAGAAATACACCAGCAGAATAGGGCCCTGTCCAGTATCGTTCTCCTCGTTCTCGCGTATTAGCTTTTCAATACCCTCGAGAGCAGCCATAGTAGCGTTGGTTTTGCCGCGCCCTTCACGACCACGCACGTACAGGCAATCTACCGCCTGAGAAGCCTGGGCCTTGTCGGCATCTCCGGATGATTGCAACCACTCCAGATACTCCGCTTCTTGTGGTATCCAGGATGAAGGGGTAAATGATTGCGACAATGCCTTTCTCTTCTTCTGTACTTGAGCACCGTCGAGAGCCTCCATGATGCCGCTAATCATGGCGCGATCAATATCTCTCACTGAGTTTAGCCGGTTTCTAACGGCCAATTGAGCGCCGTGGATAATTCTTTTCACTGGATCTCTGACCATTTGTGTCCATCGGTCATCCTTTGGGCCATCAAACTTCACGAGGTCGCGGTGGTTGCAGGCCAGTCCCAGTTCCTCGACGCCAGGAAGCGTTGCGGAGTCTCGACTGACGAATTCGGCATATTGCTTTGGTACCAGGGACTTGGTGAGCCCAAAAAGACTTGGGAGGCCGGCCATCTTGGAGAAATCCGTTGGATGTTCCTCCCAGAAGCAGAACAATTCGATCTTCGGGCTGATCTTCCCTGCTAGACGCATAAAATCATGCGTGAGCTGTCGTAGCTCTTCATCTCCCGGCTTCATCAACTCCAACAACTTGGACGAAAAAGCCACATCGACTTTCTCAGCGAAGTGTGCATACATTGCTGCGACAGCTGCGACGGGAGCGCCACCGAATGGAGTGCCGAAGAAGATACATGCCGTCGTTGCCTCAAACATGATAGGGAAAAGATCGCGGCGGGAATCTGCAAGCGTGATTGCTTTTGCAACAACTAAACCGCCCATGCTGTGTCCAATAAAGACAAGGGGCCTCCGTTGGCATTTCTGAAGCGCTGCAGTTAGTTTGGGGGCCGGCAGTTGGGGTTTGTCTGTTGGTATACCTCTCTCTTGCTCCTCAGCCCAACCAAGAGGCCCATCGCAATGTTGCCCATAAATTGTTTCACTTTGAGCTGGCCAGTCCATGCTGAGTCGTACATGTATAAGAGCAATCGGGCTCTGGGGAAGTCCCTCTGGAGGCCATCTGTATGTGTGGTCCAGTTAAAGTCGGTTTTGCTAGATTTCCAGCTGTCTTCCGGATTTGCGCCCAGCCCTGGGACAAACACAATGCTATATAACTTATTGTTAGAAAAGCTTGCTTCCATGTTGGAGATGACTAACTCGAGGTCAGGGACGACATTCGCCTTGTCAAGTGGATATAGCTCTTTGATCCCTTGCTGCACTACCTCATAGCCCTTCTGCTTCTTCGGTGCGGGTGCGTTAACGGTGGGATTAGGTCCTTTTCGCGTCCCTGATCGGTGGACAGTTGTCGACCGTCGCACGGTTGTTGATCGCTGTATGTCAAGAGACATTCTAGTGGCTCCCAGTCCAATCTATGGCATGTGCTCCAGCACCAAAACTCAGAATAGCTTTGGCAAGTTAACGATTGATAACCTGATGGAACTAGAGGGAGGAGGCGGCTCAAGCGAACTTGTATGGCTGCCATGCGGCTCTAGGCAGAAACGTGATGTTTTGGTTGAACACAGGCGCGGAAGGGCATCGGTTTCTATACTAGCTCTTCTATTCTTACCAATCACGAACAAGGGGTTGGTGGTTCTCCTCTGCATGGCCCCCAATCTGTTTCGTGCGGCTGAATCCTTTCAGAGTGAGCAGAGCCCCATCTCAGTGGAAATACTACTAGTAGTACTAGTACTACTAGAAGAAGTAAAGAGCTAGCGCGGGGATATCTGGCAACTGCTATTTTGAGAAAGTCGGTGTCTGTCCTATGTAACACATCCTTGCTCAGCTTGCTTCCGCTGAGATTATGCTGGAAGTTAGGCGCATTTCCAGTCGAACATAAGGTACATCTGCTTCGCCGTATGTCTATTCATTTCCGAAGAAATAAAGATGGTGACTCCTTACGTGTTGCCTTTTCAAGTCTGCTGACGCACCTTCAGTTCAAAACCATCGTAGCGGCTCACATCCTGGCCAGGGGCCATGCAAGTGAATCCATCGCGCTCGTCCTTCTCCGTCCCAGCCAGTCGCACAGCCAATGGCGCGTTAACAACACAGATTCAGCCCTAGAAGCGCCAGGATCCCGGTCAGGTCGTCGACTTCCAGGCGGGTTAGCCGAAATGAACAAGCTTTTATCGCAGCGTGGATCAATTCCTAACCTCTGGGTGGAGTGATGGCCTCGTACAAAAGAACAGGTTTTATTTCGCGACCGGGCGTTTCTTCTAGTACTTCGTACTTCAGCTTACCAAGTCCTACAATACCCTGCCATTGCTGCCATGGCTATCATGATAGAGAAATCTCCCCCATTTGCCGTTCAACTGCCTAGGCAAGTCGACGACGAAGCCACGAGAGGAGGGGGAGGCGCGATATGCTTGGACAGGATCTTGCCAGCAACCATTCGATCTAGAAGCGACGAAATACTCAACCCGATCAGCAACATGGAGGAGTTCTTGCGTCAGGAGCTTTTGGTGAGAAAGATCAATGCCGTGCAGGACTGGTTATGGGCCTGCGGTCGACCCATGCCTCCTCGCCCTCTTCATCACCAACTCGTGCTCTCCCGCGAGATCGTCGTTACTGAGAATCCGGAGCTGCATCTCATCTGGGGTCCCAAGGGCATTCACCTGAAGCCTCTGCCAGAGTATCTACTAGACATCGGATTCTGGAGACAGCACATTCTGCCCGACAGTCATCCACTACACGCCGAGGTAGAACAATGTGCCAGGGGGTTTCTATTCTCCTACTGCGCTCTCATTGCGCACTACAGCGACTTTCGCCTCGCACGTGAGAAGGGACTCTTGCCGGATATTGTATCTTGGGAGTACTGGAAGATATTGTCCAGTCAAGTCCTGGAGAATCACTGCTATTCTGCTGTCAATCCCCGCTACTGGTACGGCGAGCTGCGCCTAGGACGCTTGAACAAGATTTACCGGTTTCGAAAGGGCCACCTTTTGAGAGGCTATTCTCGAATCTCTGGCTACGCCATCTACGGAGACCTTATCCGCGACAACTTTGCGTCCCTGGTGACAGTGCTCGGCTACATTGCCATCGTCTTGACAGCAATGCAAGTCGGCCTCGCAACGGACAAGCTGGTCTCCAACAGTGCTTTCCAGGCTGCAAGCTACGGTCTCACCGTGTTTTCAATCATTGCGCCACTGATTTCGGCTGCCGCCATCATGTTTTTCGTCTCCCTGTGGGTTGTTGCCAATTGGCGTGCCACTACGGCCTTCGAGAAAAGGAGATTCGCGGAGATGGGAGTAGAACCATATTGGCGGGAGAAATATCAATGAAAAACCCTTACAATGCCATACATATAATCAACACCGTCAAGATAATTCGAGTGGCAACATAGTTAGCAGAGAATCAGTCCGTCTCTCGAAAGCCGTGCTTGCCAAGCTAGCGAGCATTCCAGCAAAGGTGAAATAACCGTATATATTGGAAGCCTCAGAAGTAGATACAGCAAAGTAAATCCTCCATCTAGTCCATAATGAGATGAACTCATCCATAAGCCAGCAGTACCTCAAGCTTTTGCCACAGTACCTTACAAGCACTGAGAGTAGTAGGGGTTCAGGACCTGGCAAGTGCTGCCACTCGCGCAGACGGTGGGGCCCGAGTATCCAATTCCACCGCACTGGCCATAGTGCGTCTGAGTAGGGCCGGGAGAGCTTCCAGTGGAGGTAGCCGGGCGGCGGGTGGTTGTGGTGCCGGGAGGGTTTCCGCCAGGAGGGTTTCCGCCGCTAGAGTTGCCGGTGCTGCCGATGGGGCCGAACTTGATGTTGGAGTATACGACCTTGGCGTTGGGAGAGTTGGACTCGAGCTGAGCAGGAACACCGGAGCTGGTGGAGCAGCTTCCACGCACGGCACCGGGGGTGGAGGAGGTCTCGTTCGTCGGGTAGGTAGAGTCCAGCCACAGCATGTTGGCGTAGTACTATCGTCTCTCAGTCAGTTCTGTCATTCTGTTGACAATGTGAATGTTATTCTTGAACTCACGTCATCCCACAGGCTCATGACCAGGACCATGCCACCGGAAGTAGCCTTCTTGAATTGAGTAAGGCCGCCCTTGTCCGAGAAAGAGGAGCCGCCAAACTCCGCCTCTTCAGCCGCGCAGTAGTCATCGTCGAGCGAGTTGCCAGAGTAATCACCGAGCTCGGCGTTGGGCTGCTGGAAAGTGACGCCATTCTGGACATAGTATCGGTTGATGGCACCCGAAGTCTCGAACTGAGTGACGACGGTCAACTTCTTGGTGGTGTCAAGCGTGAAGCTGGAGCCGGGGCCATAGAAGCTGGTGTTGCCCAAGCGATATGGGTTCCAATCGCAGCCATCAGGGTCGCAAGTACCGCCATATCGGTCACCCGAGTAGGTTCCACCGCAGGAGTCACCGTCGCAAATTTCCTGCCCGACGGTCGTGCAAGGATGAGGAGTAAGAGCCTCAGAGATGGAATTGGCCTCCCAGATATCCATCTCAGAGCAGCAGCTTCCATGTCCGCCAATGCCCGTGTTGGCATTGTTAGAGGACGGCTCCCAGCCCTCAACATTGGCCTGGCCGTTGATGAACTTGAGATCACGAGGGCACTGGCTGTCACAGTAGCCCGTGCCGTACTTGGCACCGGCAGTGTTGGTGGGATACTTGCTCACGCCACCATCCGCGTCCATGGACACGAAGTAAAGAGCTCCGTTCAAGCCACATCTTAAATAAGCTAGTCAGCTGAGAACTAATACGAGAATGGCATCAAGAGGTGTAGTTGGTCACTTACGGCAGCTGCGAAACATCAACATCGAAAGAGAACTCGTTGCCAAGCAGGGTGAATTCTTGATAGGTCGTGTCACTCGCCATCAAGTAGAGACGAGCGCCGACGTTCTTTTGCGCAGACTGAGTGACGAAGCCAATGGAGAGGCTGTCAGCGCTCGTGGTGACTCCGTACGTGGACGCGTAGGCAGCACCGTCCAAGCAGCAGTTCTTCGCGCAAGTCTCATTGTCAGGGCACAGGGTTGAGCTCCAAGTATTGCCGTCGTAGCAGTTCGTGCTGCTGTTGGTGGCGTGAGTCCAGCGCCAGTTCGCGTCGATGACCACGGAGCCTGTCTGTTGGGTGCAAGTGCCACCAGATGAGCATTTCTGCCATGTCAGAGGCGGGTGAGTTTCCGCCTGGAGGGTGCAGGCCGACTGAGCACGAGCAGTAGCCAAGAAGGCCGAGATGAGGGCCAACTTTTGATACATGATGCGCAGTCCGTAGTCGACTAGAATGCTATGCCCCAAAAGATGATGTACAAGTCTTCTGGAGGATCTGAGTTGATGAGTAGATGGGGAAAGGGAGAAGGGGACACGGCGTTTGGGCCATATATATATGTGATATTCTGCTCTTCACCTGTTCGCCGACTTCCGCTCAATGAGGCTATCTTTGGCGGCTATTATGCCTGCCCAAGCATCACATTATGTTCGACACAAATGCAGTGGCACCTAGAGCTTTGCCTACAGCATACGTTCAGCTCCTTGGCAAAAGCAGTGGTTCCCTCAATGCTACCACACCCAAAAATGCCCATATAACCAAACTGACCTGTAGACTTAAAGGCCCGAAGGCCCGAGATCTTAGGCAGATTCGACTATATTTTTTGCCTGTACAGGACGGAGTAACATTTAATTACAGACACCTGAGTAGAAGCGACAATCCATTGTTTTTCTATTGTCAGACAACTCCCTGCAAGGTTCTCTCAAACGCCTTCATCCAGAAACTCGCTTCTTGGCGTCTGCTTTCTGTTTATTTCTTACATGCTACGCCTTACAAAATCCTGAAGTAAACACTTGCCTCTTAGACTAAACAACAACAAGAGAACTTAGATGGGAGATCATCAGTTGAGGTTAGACCTGCGTGTAAGAGGGCAAACGTGGGGAAGTGGGGCTGTACTGTTGCTTCTGCAACCCTACAAGTCATTGGCAAATTACGGTACGTTTAGCCACTTAATTGTACAATTATTAGCCGCTGGTATATGACATCTTTAGGCATTAACTCATGTACTTTTAGCCATCCGTTTGTATTGTTTTGTGAGGTCGCACCGCGCGGTCAGAGTTTGCCGTGAGACTCTACATTCAGGGGGTTATCCTCGTATCATATCGAATTCACCCAACGTACTCTACCGTTGTGCCCTACGTGCAACTGTATATGGGGACGTCCCATTACTGTAGACTGAATCAAAGTCGTTGTATAAAATTAGGTTCGGGTCCGGGCCCCAACACGTCCAGTTGACCTAGCATGTAGCCCTACACACCGCGATAACTTCCACCAGGATGAATGGCAAAAGACGTAAAGGCTCAGTGGGAGTTAGGTAGTAGAGGCGAGAATTTGATCATTCAAGGGAATCCCAGAGGTCGCGGAAACAGGGGCGGGGTATGGAATACAATGTCTACTAGTGCCGAAGCGCAGCAACCCGCCCGACATTTAAAAAGTTCGAGCCACTCGCTGTATTGCCTATTTGATTCTGCCGCTCCATCGCTACTTAGGAATATCCGACTTACATGGAAAGAGCCGCATGTGACCACGACAAGGGGTTTCCCTTCAGGAGAACGGACGTGATTACATATTCACCACCTGTCTTCATGGATATCACCCAGCCTGATGTGTTTTCATTCTCAGGGTATTCAGCCGCCAAATGGAAGCTTCCCAACGCATTTCGCTTCTCCGGATTGGCCGACAGCTTCGGAGTATTTGGATAAGGCGCCTGGCATAGCGGAATAACCGACCCGCCAGCAAAATCACATAGACATACATTGTCAAGAGAACCACCGAATTGTAAGAAGGGCAATTGAACCTTGTGTTGGAGCGAGCAACTGCGAGGAGGCGATAAATATATAGTTGGGCCTCTTAGCCGATACGAACCTTTTAAAGAGAGGCGGATGCGTTCAGGAAGTCATTCTGTGATGATTTGAGTCCCATACTGGTTTGAATGCCCATTCACATATTACGCACTTGGCACATCTGTCCGCTTTATAGCAATCGTTAAATCACAGTCTATGTCAGATTCAACTATTATCGCATCACTTTTAATGCGTACTCGTTCGGAAGAAAAAAAGATTAGGAGAAAACAAAACACTTGGTCAAAAAGGTATCCCGAGAAAAGCCAATGCGTGATTTCATTAAGGTAGGCAGCTACAAATGCGACGGTTTACATCTTAGTCTACCAGCAAATCGAGTTGCAGCACGTGACCAGCCGATACATCGTACTGTAGATATCATGGCGTGTACGGATTACATATCTCGCCTTGCTCTACATACGCCACGTGCTGCCGTGCTGTTTCTGACCCTACATCATGCAGTTGGGCAGCCTTCAAGTCCAGACAGGAGTAAACTTCTTTCACATGTATGCAACAGCAGCAAAGCTCTTTGATTGGATGTTCCATGTGGATGGATGACGGAGATTCAGAGCTTGTCAAATTCGAGTTACAGTTACTACCCTACGAGATGGCTAATATACAACTGATATTATTACGATACCGAGAAGGCCCGCAAACATTGCACTACTGACGCACATGCAAAAAACGCAGGAAGCTTCATGTTGTAGGTTAACAGAGTAATATATTGTAGAAACATGTACAAAGCCGAACAAGTTTGCTGCATGGGTAACTGGGCACCTTCTCTGTGGAACAGATATACGACGGAAAATGCTGGCAGACGAGAGAAACTGTATCTTGAAAAGGGTGTTGGAAATTCTCCAACTTTACGCCCATATTCTGGGAAATGATTATTCATCTGATCAGAAGGCGGCTTTTTGTATACGCGAAATTATTGGATGACAAGCTACATGTATGTGGTGTGTGGGCAACCTAGTGCTGCTACGATCATTAGTTTATGCTTATCCCTAACCTGTCTTGCGATTTACCGAAACAGATTAGAGATAGAGGTCCAATAGCCTTTGTATACTTTCCCTTCAGGACAAATGTTGTCACCACTGTCTACCATGTCTCGGCTCTAAAGCTTTCTGGATACTGGTATCTTACCAACTACCCAGTACTGAGTAGGCCCACATTGATCTTTCTGTGCCCAAATACCAAGACACTGCGTATATGAGAGTATTCAGAGGAACATTGTTTAATTTTTGCCTATCAATGACAGGCACCGATTGGAAACTCCCAAGCCTCTACTACCCACTACAGATAAGGTTCGAAGAAGAAAAGTCCAGTTAGAGAAGAGAGAAGTAGTTTGGCTGCCAGTATACCGGCTTATACTGCGTCGAAAAGCCTTTGGCAATGACATATACAGTATTTTGCTCTCCGTACCATCACCTCGGAGGCAAGTGGTCGGAAGCGCCGACTTATTGTGACCTGCCGGATTAGAAAGGAGTATGTAAGCGGAAGCATATACCCCATCCATCTCAAACGGTCTGTGATTATAAATCGCGAAGCAGGCACATTTTCCTGTTCTGTACACGCCATTGTGATCTCATGAATGGCTACCTATAGATGAGCACAGAAGAGATGTCAGGACTTCACGGGAGATGCTCGGCCGAATCGCTGCAAACAAACCCGCGCAGGCACTATGGGGAGACCTGTCGGATTCCTTTGGTGTCTTCTATTATAGTACAACATCATAGCAGAAAGAGAGGCCTCTCCTCGGGTTCCCTTACACAGGGGACTTAGCGCATTGCGGAATTTGCCTACGCGAGCAGGCGACTACAATGTGAAGAGATTCTGGTTTCAACGCTACCATCTGCATTCGCCGCTTTCCATCCCATTGACGTGGAGACATCGGAATATCGGCATGGAGCCTGGTAGATACCTGAGCAAACTAGCCGGGATTTGCGCGAATCAGGAAGGTGATTAGTCTCCGATAGCTACTGAGATCAGGCAAGATCGCCAAGCCGTAAATCGGATAAAGAATGCTTAAACATTAGGTTGTCATGTAATAACCATAATGATCCGCAAGGCGGTTTGTGTCCCGAGCTTTTGTAGTAAACTCGTCGATCGAATTCTGTCTTCAGGCTTTCCAAATCCAGATCTCCTCATGCCAGTAGTACTCGAGAATACCTTCGATAGCCAGAAATTAGCAGTATAGACTTCCTGAAGTTGCGCGGCATCTCGGCACATCGATGCGGCCAGCAATTCCTCCGGTGGCACTCCCACTCACTTCCGATCCGAAGGTGTGGTAGCATGTATCGCCAAATTCAGTTTGTCTGCTGCGTGAAGAACTTATGTTGCAGCGAATCCCATGTTGAGCATTGCATTGGCCTCCTCATGGTGGCGTAAACGCATTGTTATCATGAACTTCGACAGGCGAAGACGGCTTAATCAGGAATCTGGCTGTCAACGCCAGCTCGGAGATGTCTTTCAAGAGGGAAGGTGTCTTGAAAATTCTGCGCGAGAGTCGTGGGTAATTGATATCATTGCTGCTTTCGAATTCGAGAGCTTGAAGCGAGAAATATCTCGATCGCCCACGTCGCTTCAATTATAAATATAGCCACTCTTCCTCTCAATCTCAGGAGCACATCTTGCATTACAACAAGAGACATCCGATCAAGCAAGCAATCCAGCAGACAAACTTTACTTCCTTGCCTCAAACTATCATCTCCATTGCCCATCATGATGTTCATCGCTGGCGTCGCCCTCTCCGCCCTTCTTTGCGCTGATGCTGTCCTGGCTGGCGTTGCCCAGGACCGAGGCCTTGCTGCTCGTCTTGCTCGCCGTGCTGGTCGCCGCTCGGCACCTTTCAGAAACGACACCAGCCACGCTACTGTTCAGTCCAACTGGGGTGGTGCCATTCTCGGGGGCTCTGGCTTTACTGCAGCTTCGGCTACTGTGAACGTGCCCAGGGGCGGTGGTGGCTCCAATGCTGCTGGATCTGCTTGGGTTGGCATTGACGGTGCCACATGCGACACTGCCATTCTGCAAACCGGTTTCGACTGGTACGGTGATGGCACCTACGATGCCTGGTACGAGTGGTACCCTGAGTTTGCTGGTGAGTTATTTCTCAAGACAACAAGACAACATGGGAAGATGAGTAGGCTGACAGTGAGTTCATTAGCCGATTTCTCGGGCATCGACATCAGCGAAGGCGACCAAATCGCCATGTCCGTTGTGGCCACATCTCTGACCGGCGGCTCTGCCACGCTTGAGAACCTGTCAACTGGCCAGAGGGTGACTCAAAACTTCAACCGCGTCACCGCTGGCTCTCTGTGCGAAACAAGCGCTGAGTTTATTATTGAGGACTTTGAGGAGTGCAGCTCGAATGGTAGCAACTGCCAGGCTGTGCCATTTGCCTCATTCAGCCCTGCCATCACCTTCAGCGACGCGACGGCTACTCGCAGCGGCCGAACTGTCTCTCTGAGCGGCGCTGAAATCAGCGAGGTTATTGTCAACAACCAGCAGTTGACCAGATGCTCCGTCTCTGGTAGCAGCACGCTGACCTGCTCTTACGCTTAGAGTGGAAAGCTGTGGCTGGTTCAGCCAAGGAGCTCCTTTATTGGCCGCTCTATCTGGTAGTTCCCCCAAAAAGCACAGCATATTTATTGTCTATCATAAACCGCGAGTATATATAGATATATAAATATATAAATTGTCTTTATGATTTTTCGAAGCTTTGTAATGAATGAAAGTCACTAGGGCCACGGCGGGGGCGTGATTGGGCAAAGGCTCGTGAAATAACTTTCGCCAGGATGGCAATTTAGAGAGCAAGGTCATTTCGCAATCCCGTCTTTCCCGTTGTAAAAGCACTCAATCATGGTTCTTGGGCCTTCGAATGACTGTACGCATTGAGCGAGGCTTTTTGCTACCACTTCTGGGTCGAAAATGATACCGTAACAGGTAGGGCATTCTATGACAACGATTCGAACCCCTCACAAAACGCCAGCAGCTTCATACGTGCAATGGTTCCTTTCGAAGATAATAACGTCCTTACCAAATTCCTTGTATGATGGACTTCTCTTACCGTTGCATCTTTCATCTATGGGCTTACTTGGTGGCTTGCATATGCCACATTGACGGCGATATAGACGAAGCACAACTGTTCCAAGGCGCCAGCTTAATACATATTCTCACATATCTCGCCACATGCGTCAGGCCATACTCTCACGTGGTAACAATTCAGAGAATTATTCTTCGAAACTTACCTGTCTATACCTGTACGGCTGCCGTGGGGGCTTTTTCGATGCAGGCATGGAGAAGATATGGGTAAATTAACGACAGATGGCACAACCCCAACCGGGCTATGCCCCTAGCTTGTGGGCGTCTCGAACGATGCTGTGCTGCCTTTTGGGCAACTCTGCTCAGCTTAAAAGTAACGGCTGCTTACAAGGGGGTTGTCAAACTCGCTTCTCTCTTCCGCAGTAGCCGACAAGCTTTCCGACCCCTTGTTGAAGACCTGTATGCTTAGGGAACCCATTTTGCAGTGTCATGTGGAGCTATGAGCGTTCTTAACAGATGCTACCATGATAGGAACAGCAAACCATGCCATATCGACCAGTGGCAAGAACCTACATGATAGCCAAACTACCTCGGCAAAATATGATGTCAATCGACGGCAGTTGTTTTGATAGCTTGTGGTATGTCTTCTCATCTCGCACGAAGCACTCCGTGTCTCAGCCACGGCTTATTATAAGCTTTCTGTTGCCCTTCCGGTATTTGTATTTTGCTCTTGGCACTCTTGCTGTTAAGGTTTCCACCTATCCAGTAGAACCTCCCGTGGTCAGCTATCGCTCCCATGAGGGGGTAGACTGACGTGTCCTGGGACTGAGAGTCAGCTCTCTGAGAGCGTGAATGACAGTGTTTATGTAGCACCTCTCGAGTCTATAAAGGGAGCGCTTGCCCCTGGATGATTCAAGGTATCCAGTAATCTATATAGGAATCACACACCAGCATACTCTCGATACTCTCTATTCCACACACTCTGCGGGAAATGGCTCAAACGGACGACTATGTACTTGGGCGGAGTTATTCTGAGGGCTTAAGGTATTTCAGATTCTTTTCCGCTCCTTTTTAACCCGATTCATTTACATATCGCCTTCATGTTTGTGCTAACCTCTTGCAGACTAGAAACTCAACATCTCTTGTTCAACATCCACAATGGCTCGACCATGAATACCAAGATACCCGTTACTCCCGAGAGTAAGGTTGCAGATATTGGCACTGGAACAGGGTAAGGTACTCCAGTCAAGTTTTCTAGCAATCAACTAACAATCTCCGTAGGGTGTGGCTCTTGGATATGGCTACCCAGGTACCCCCAACGGTACAGCTCGACGGTTTCGATATCTCAGACGAACAATTTCCTCACGAATCAAACGTGCCATCCAACGTTCATTTCAGAATTGCCGATGCTTTTTCCAAAGTCCCCGATGACTGTTTCGAGAAATATGACATTGTTCATATTCGATATTTTTGCTGTATAGTCAGGGGAGGTAATCCAGAGAAGATCGTTCAACATGCGTTGGATCTGTTAAGTAAGGTTCCATTGATGGTCAGATCATGAGTTTCACGGGCGCAGCAAGCTAATGTTCTGATTCATTCTACTTATAGAGCCCGGAGGTTACTTACAGTGGGATGACGGTGATCTTAGTCCCGAGGGGCTGTTCATCAAGGGGGCCGAAGCCGAGGCGTTTGCTACTTTTGCTCGCCAAGCAACTAGCGCTTTGAATTTTATCTTCTCGTATGTTGGTTACCTTTGGCATGAAGGGCTATTTGAGGTCGAGATACTAATCGTCTTTTGTATCTAGATGGGTAAGGGATCTCCCGAAGTACGCACAGACAGCCGGCTTGGAAGTATTGGACTTTAGAAGAGAAAAGTGGCCCAAGGCCTTGGTTCCGACGGCGACTAGAACCTTCATTCTGGGACATATTGCAGGCATCGGTGCCCTTTATACCATCGGCCACGAGTCTCTTCCCCCACGGGAACAAGCTGATGCACTGTTGGTGGATTTGATTGGCTCCATCAGGAAGGGCGGGGTGTATGTGCACACGCCAGTACATTTGCTTGCTCGAAAGCCCGCCTGATCATCACGCAGACTCTCACGTTGTATCGGTGGGGCCAGATCTTGATGTCTCCAGCTTCAGAGCTTATCCCATGTACCTACCAAAGTATATACATAAGGAATGAATACCTTACCTTAGGTATACAGTTACACGGCCAATACGGCATGTGTCTATTACCCACATCCAAAGAAAGTCTCCGGAAACATCAGGCAAGAAGTTCAATTCTATTGGCCTCACTGTATAGTATAGATAGTTTCGGGCGAGTATAAGCAATTAGCATGCCCCGTCCTCCGATAATAAGGTTCTTACTCGTAGCTAAGATATTATTCTCCCCCCGGCTGAGTTCCTATGCGAAGACTGGCATTTGGAATTTGCTGTGTCATCATTCTACAGTGCAATGTCTACCTGGGCTCTGAGACCCACTCCTATGGCATGTTTACTTGCTAGCAAATGGCCAAAATATCTCCCAGCATTCTGTCAAAATCCACCCATGGCTTTGAGGCGACATATCTCTGCTATTCATAGGGCTGACATCATCCTTCAAACAAGCCAAAAGCCTCTACCTCCAGTCTGGGGTGATTACGGTACCAGACTAACTCATCGGACTTCGAACAATTTGCTACACTGCGTCGAATACGCCTTGCAATAAGCCATGTAATGTCGAGGTCGATGGGACGTTCGCCGAGCCCCGGCTGCTAAACCTGGCTTGCCTGGCTCACGAGTGCCTCCTCTGCGGTGTCATCCAGCTCGTGTACCATCAAGACCTGATGGCCATTTGTCAAGCGGAGCTTGTCGTGCACTGCAAACTGCTAGTCTGGGCCTTTCGATCGAAAAGTTCATAACCATCCGCGCGCTTTTGAATGCCTTGGGAGACATTGCCGAGCCTCTCAGCCTCTATACGTGGGTAGATAGAAAGATGCTCCCATCAGAATCATCTGCGGCAAGCCCCACACATATCAGCCCAACATAGAGTCACGTTTCTTCGTTTCTCATGGCTTGCCACTGAAGATGACCATGAGCACGGCAATGTGTATGACACCTTGTAGAGATGTTCAAGACATCCTGGCTTTAAAGATGGTGCTCGACAGTATTCCGTGCTGTTGCAGGTAGAAGCTGCTGAATGAGCCCTGCATTTGGTAGCTGATGAGATACCAATTGCGACACACTAGCATCTTTGGATAGCAACTCTCATATGAATCAAGAAGTAAGATTGATGGCGAAAAGAAGTCGAAAAGAGTAGAATCAGGAGTTTGCTATGCGAGGTATGATATTCTGCCTCCTTCGCTGCTCTCATCATTTGATGCCCTCTTGAACGGCATCCACGTCCCACGGCCCATCCCAAATTACCCTTTTTCGATTCATCACCATGCCCTTTTGATCAACTTCGACTCCCTCGTCGTTCAGAATCTTTATCTTCAGACTCAACTTGCTGCCAGGATGCTGGACGTGTGAAATCTTGGGCCCTCGAGGCTTGCTTTGGTGTGCATCTCCCTGAACAAGCCCATCCTTTGACCTTTGGAAGCTTTTTCTATCAATGCTCTCACCGTCAAAACCCGTTATGAAGCCGGTGCTTCCCACGCATCTGTGACAGGGCACTTCGGGAGCGAAGGGGTTATTGCGCAGGGCATTGCCTACAGCTCGAGGCGAGGTCTTGAGTACGCGAGCGATGGCGCCGTAGGTAGTGACACGACCTCTGGGAATCTGAAGTAACAGTGCGTAGACCTTTTCCTGGAACTGCGTGACTGGTGGACTTGTTGTGGCTGACATGTTGAGTCCAGATTCTGTTCTGTTGCACCTCTCTAAGCACCTTGCGATACCGTATCTTGACGCGTGCGCCTCCCTTCTTTATTCACGAGCTCCGGCTAGCTATTAATACTCGCCGAACATAAAATTGGCTCATACAGGGGCATGACCCTTGCTCTCCGACTAACACCGATGTATCTGGGCACCGTGCTGGAATTCACGGTCAACTCGACGCGTTATTTCAACTTTTCGAGTTGATTCCTCAACTTCTTACCGCGTTGCGGTTAGTTGGCTGGAGTGACTAAGCATACGGGTATGCGAGTCGTGATCTGATGCTTGCTTCGGCCTTCAGCCTACCTAATAGGTATTTTAACTCAATATCACTTCTACTGTTCGGGAAACAATAAATAAATGGCCATCCTTTCTGACGGCACCAGAACAGAACTTCTATAGCAACTTTCTACAGCGCTTGAGAACTGGTGATCAAATGCGCAAAGGACTTCGTAATTCTCTGCCCTCTCTGTGAGGCGGGGGCACTAACAACCGTATCTAGAAATTAAAGAAACACATATGGTTCAAGAGCAACTGGTTGAACAACTGAATAACACAACTTTCTCTGATGACAATGATAATTCCGGTAATCTGAAAGCAAATTTGAGTTACTTTGGATTGTTTGTTTTTTCTTCAATGAAATGTTCCCGATAGCGCCGTCGTGGAAAAAGGACTTCATGCGTAGTAGGGTAACACAACTTTGGGTTCTCGCCCCGCGACAAGTACACACAGTGCCAAGATTAACGACTCTACTCATTCACTGAGAAGAACCGGAAATCCAAATGACAAATCGGGCTGACGGTATACCATGCTTTATTTCCGTTAAGGTGAAGCGAAATCTGACAAATTTACTTCCGTATACGTGGAACTTCTTGTCCATACCTCGGTCATTTTCACGTGCCCAGCTGAGGCGCCTTGCATCATGATGTGACCGATTTGCCTAGTTTAGGTACTACCACAGCTAATAGTTACCACGTAGTAGTAGTAATCAATATTCCAATCATTACCCACCAATTCCTTCATTGCGTTAGCTTGAAGCTGCTGTCAGCTTGAGACCCAATTGTGTCTTGCTTAATTAATGCAGTCTTTCAGTACTCCGTATCCCCCGCTATGTCCACTCCCCATAAGTCCATGAGTGGCAGATATTCTCTGACGCTCGAACTGAAAAACCTTCACCATAGACGCCCCATGCTGCTGTTAAGATGGGAAAGCCGGGATGCCTGTCGCGTGTTGCAATACCTTAGCCCAAATTTGGCATAAGGATTGCACGAACAGCCAGAGCTATCACCTACAGAATACCACGCCTCTACTCGGTTCCAGAGACACCTACCTATAGCCAGCCTGCTACGCGCTTCAGCGACGAGATCTGCGATTATATGCCCGTAACAAATGGCTGGTAGACTTGGACATTCGCCTGTAAACTTAACCGTCATATGCCGCCTCAACCATGGACACCGGCGAATTTGTATTCATCCAAGAGATGGGCACTGGTCCGCACAAGCCGGTGACCAAATCCCTCATTAGAATGCACGTCATGGATAGAGTCGTGATGCGGAGGCGAGCTCCCGAGAGAAACCATAGCGACAGCCGGATCAATGCTATAGGAAACAAACAACGGCGAGTCAACTACATGTGTCCAGCTTGCTCAACTACACTTTGACCATTAACAAGGTGTCTAGTGATCGGATTGCACAACCTGAACGCCGTACAAGCCACGATGAGCTGCGACCTCTGGCAGGAATAGACGAAATGCTTCGCCTGTCGGGCCTCTTCGTACAGTTGACTACACAAATGCGATTCCTGTTGCATCATTGTAAGACGGCCAAGGACACTAAATCCCCCAACATTCAGCGCAAGCTAAGTGTTCGTAGTCTTGAATCACCGGTCGAAGACATTGTGTAGTGTTACGGCCGAGACTGGATGGCTTAAATATGCCCTTCAAGACGAGGCACTCTTCACTACGACTCTTTACCATTGGACGGCTATCAACTACAGCTTTCTACCCCAACAGCTCCAGTCTGAGCAGCATTTACTTCAACTCAAGGCTGCGGCGTTACGACTGCTGGCCTTGCATCTGCCGGTAGCCAGTAACGGAACCAACGGTGATGGTAAAATCGTTGACGACGCGGTGGTCGCTACCGTTGCATGCCTTGCAAATGTGAATGTAAGCCTCCACTCATTGATCTACCGTCTCGTACAGTGACCATTGACCTATTCAGCTCCTGCACGGCGATTCGGATGAAGCAGAAATCCACTTCCAAGCGCTGAGAGCCATGATTAGAAGCCGCAAAGGCGTACACCGGACCATGAGCCTTAAGGCCTGCCTGCTCGTATTGTCGGATGGTAAAGTTCCCCGAAAGCTCACCGGGATAAGGGATACTCAACTTGAGAGATAGGACAGACAGCTGTCACTCACAGCTATCGAACAAAGAACTCTCATTTGACGATGCTAGCCTATCTTCTGAGTTCGTTCATCCACAGCCCATTTGGCCAGATATACAAAGGTTACGCTTTGAGCCGCATAATTTACCAATGGTCGAGGAACTGCGGTCAATAGCTAGAGAACTGATGGTCAACCCCAGGGATGCTATGACGCCGGATGGTTGCGCCGCCCTTGGAGTCCGCCTCTTGGCATCGGATCGTTCGATGTTGAAATAAATCCATGTGGCAGATGGATCCAGCGTCTTGGCCCTTGTGGCTAGGGCCGCACTGATATATTCCCATGTGGTGCGATGAGAAGCATCTCGATGTTTTCGCATCGTGAAGACCTCAATCAATCAGTTGAAACAGCGGATTATCCTTGCCTTTACCTCCGAAGCAGACTTCTTCGCTAGTCACCCGGTATCCTTTGTTTGGCTTCTTCTGGTCGGTGTAGTTGCGTCAGGGAGGGGTGGCCTCCAAGGGATGTGGTTCAGGCTGTGCCTTGAGAAGGCTTGTGGGAGTAACAGTGGGCTTCCATGGGAAAAAGTCGAGGCAGCCATTGACGCCCCGAGCAACATATCTCCATTGCCGTTCTATTGGATGATTGACGAGATGTCATTGAACCTAAGCTGCATAAGATGCGCAATCTTGGGTTGATATCATCGACATTTTGTCAATCCTGAATCCCCACAGACGAGCGCATTGTAATTGAGCTGGCTGGGTTGGACAAGGAAGAAGATTGGAGCTTGTCTTCCCGAAGTCTCAAGAAGCTAGAACTTCTATCTTCGCTTGTGCTACCCGTCTGCGGGACCATTCCTCAGCTCAGTAGCTATGTCAATGCCGGTATTCTACCAAATCTCCTGCTCATTCTTCCATCTACTTCCTCCGTGATCCTTCGTAGACCTGCAATCGAACTCTTTCCAGAAACTGGTGGGGTCTTCTCCCCTTGCAAGTCCAACAATCAGCAAGGCAGAAAGGATACGACTAAAGAGTGGCTTAAACACACGTTATTATGCAAAATTTCGAATAATATCCCACACTCATCGGCGCGCAGTAGTCAAAGAAGGGGGAAATGGTGGGGTATATCGTCTCCGATCACACTCCACCAATGCCTCGATCTGGTAATATGTGCTGTCGTTTGCTAAGAGTCTACTCGGATTTCACACACTGTTTCCATCCTGGACACCATTGGTCTTACAGTAGAACGGTAGGGATTTATTCTCATCGTAGCCTCCTATGATGTTCGCCTGCTAATATTATGGTCGGCCCCTGGTGCACACTTAGCTCGTCTCCTGAAGAATAAAAGAGAACGGCAAGCCAACTTGAGTTCCTGAATTGCAACCAGTCCTATCATTTGTCCTCAAGTCACGGTTGCGAGCGCATGAGCAATGTCGACCATGTTTACAGTCCTCAAAGGCTCCCCCACCGGGAAGATTATTGAGAGCCAGACCACAACTCCGGCTCTGCTCAGTCATCAAGTTTTCATAAAGAACACTCATTCTGGAGTGTGTGATACTGATGCCCACTACCTTCACTCGGATATGGTGCTAGGCCATGAGTGAGTTGGAATTGTTCAAGCCGTAGGCGATGGAGTTAGCCTCGTCAAAGTGTAAGTGGTACTGTCCACCGGCCTCTTTCATTGCTTTTCCGCTTGCTCCCATGAGGCGTCATCTAATAATCAAGATACAGAGGCGACCGAGTCGGGATTGGATACGTCAAAGACGGATGCGGAAAATGTCAGTATTGCCTGTCGGGTTATACCTGGCACTGTGTCGAAGGCGTCCACGCATTCGGCCTCCCAGATTTCGACCCAGGGTCCTTCGCAACTCACAGCGTGTGGCTAGAAACACGGTTGGCAATCATTCCCGATGAGATCTCAAGTGTTGATGCTGGTCCATTCATGTGCGCTGGGTAGACTGTCTTCGTACCAATCCTAAGGCGGGGAAATCAACCCCTCTGATTGTGTTGGTATTGTTGGCATTGGCGGCCTGGGCCACCTTGCCATTCAATTTGCAGCTGCTTGGGGCTGCACCGTTGTCGTGTTCTCGAGGTCGGACAGCAAGAAACAGGAGGCTTTCAACTTCGGCGCCACCGAATTCTACAATACTTCGACTTTGAAGCCTGCTGATGTCTCACGTAAAATCGATCATCTGTTGGTAACCACCAGTGCTGTGCCAGATTGGCAGCTGTAACCTTTGGCGCGGCTGTAACCACAAAGGATTGCTGGCTTACACCTTGGCTAGATACACAGAGCTAATGGCACCGTTCGGCCACATCTACCCGCTCACCGTATCCCAGGGCAGCCTTGAGTTTCCCTACATGGGCATGATAGCAAAAGAGTTGTCAACCCACGGAAGCTGCTCGTCCACACCGGCCGAAGTTGAAATAATGCTGCAATTTGCAGTGAGACACAGCATCAAGCCTACAGTTGAGAGATTCCCAATGACTGTAGATGGAGTCACCAAGGCGTTTGAGAGGCTGGAGAATGGGAATCTGCGGTACCGAGGCGTACTCGAGCTTTGAGCGGAAACTCGTGTGTTTTTGCCAGCTCATACCACGGAGGCCCAAGCGAGCGCACACCAGTACACTGGAAATAGTACGAGGCACTTAAAAATGTCCATTGTGCAAATCGCCCTTTTGGGAGGACCCACAGTGAATGTCTGACTCACAAAGAGCTCTCGGAAGAACTGCTAAGCTCACCTCGACGTTTATGGAGTATGAGAGTATATGAGTAGTAGCACTAGTATCACCCTGGTTATTTTGAGGTCGGTGAGCGTCCTGCTCAAAGCAGAGCATCGCGCCGGGCCGCCCTCCAAGTGTCAACAGGGGTCCCAGAAGACCTGCTAGTCTCCGCACTCAAGGACTGTAATACGGGCCTGATGAGGCAATCCATGTTCTGGCAGATCCAGTAGACAACCTGTGGAGGCCGTCGAAAACCCTCTCGTGAGAAATTAGGATACAAGCCGGCGGGGTATCCAGCACGGGGCCCCAGACCATCTCCATACTCCGTAGTTCAGACACTCACGCTGGCGTGGGCCTGGAAACCTATCTCTTGACGTTGAGGTATTTCGGACTGAGCAGCATGTTACTGTTAACGCCGAGCCCACTCTACCCGTGGAGAACTGGAAACGTGATCAGAGTACACTTACAAAGGAGAACCGTCTCCCGCCGTCTTCTACTATCTGCCGTCAGCCCTGGTGGCTCTACACACTCTTCCGGCGCGAGTATTCTCCATATCTATTGTAAGAAGTAGTTTCTCCGGCAATGTAGTTTTTCCCCCAGTCTGGGAGTCTTATGGAGCACTAGATCTGGGAGCTTGTCCTGTCAACCCTTGCATGCGTCAAGTTATTCGGGCCGATGGCAAGAAACAGCTGGAAATGAATCTTCTTAAAATATGAATGCTTTCTGCCAGCCAAGAGAACAGGCTGAATGTTCAATGTTACTGGCGTGTGTTTGGCAGAGCCCAGAGATCTGCGAAGACAACATGGGGTTATTATCCCATCCTATGGGACTGTTATCCCAACCCATTGGCGTCTCCTCGATCATAAATTTGGTCATATCATTACCACTCCTCGCAGTTACCCTTGTGAGTGTTTCGCACCACCTTTCAAATTGCTCGGCTGTTGTACTGATAAGCATATGGCCATTGTAGGGCTTGGCTTACATTCTATGCGTCGCCATTTACAACCTCTTCTTCCATCCCCTCAGTGGATATCCTGGGCCATGGCTTTGGGCAGTTTCAGACATTCCGTACTCCCTTGTCTCTGTATCGGGTGATGCTCATAAACGAATGCTTCAAATACACATGCAATATGGCCCAGTGGTGCGTGTCGGCCCGAACACTGTGTTTTACAGCCACCCAGACGCTACCAAGGAGATTCGTGGTCACCGTAAAGGCAACAAGGCAGAACATCTGAAAGATCCCCATCTACACTCCGGCAACCAGAGCAACGTTATTGGTGCGAACCGCGCAAACCATGTTCGGTACAGACGAAGCTTAGCCTATGGCTTCTCGCACCAGGCCATGTTAGATCAAGAGCCGATCATCAATAAGTATATTGATACGCTACTGACGGAACTCAAAAAGCAAAGCACGAAGCATGAAAAGATTGACATTGTCCGGTGGTACAACTATACAACATTCGATATTATTGGCGATTTGGCTTTTGGCGAGCCCTTCTACTGCCTAGAGAAGTCAGATTTCCATCCGTGGGTGGCACTCATCTTCTCTGGTGTTAAAAATTTGTCGTTTATATCAGTCTGCTCGAAGCATGGGAAACTTGGAAAGATCTTAGCGAGGCTTCTGGTGCCCAAAGATCTACCCGCAAAAGGTAGGGAGCATCGCAGGCTATCGATCGAGAAGGTGCGCAGGAGACTTGATTCAGGGTCAAGCCGGCCGGATTTCATGACGGCGATGATGACAACGCGGGGGTCTTCAGAGGTAGTCACGCCGAAAGCAGCAAAATGTCTATAAAAGATATACCAGAGAAGCTAACGTTGCCCCCAGGAACTGACGTTCAATGAGTTGGTATCGAATTCCAGCTTGCTTATCGCGGCTGGTTCCGAGACGACGGCCACAGCCCTTTCGGCAGCAACTTACTATCTGGGACTCTATCCGGAAATCTTCGCGAAGCTGGCTGCCGAAGTGCGGTCTGCTTTCAGTTCGGAGAAAGCCATAAGCCTTACAAGCGTGCAACATCTGACTTATTTGCAAGCCGTGATTGATGAGGCGATGAGACTGTTTCCGTCGGCGCCAGGTACGCAGCCTCGCATCATTTCGCCTGGCGGTGACATGATTGTTGGCAAATACGTTCCTGAGGGTGTGAGTAATCCGAATAGTAATCCTTGATGAAATTTAGCGCCTTCAGACTTTTAACATAGTGATTAATAGACTGTGGTCGGCGTATGGCAGTGGGTAAATCATCACAATCCCGCATATTTCCACGATGCAGAGTCTTTTATCCCCGAACGCTGGCTTGGGGATACACGCTTTGAAAGTGATAAGAGAGATGCATTCATGCCATTCTCGGTTGGACCGCGAAACTGCATCGGCCGAAAGTAAGTAGAATTGGTATTGAAACGTTGGGTTGGGGAAGCTAATTATACCGGTAGCCTGGCGTATTTGGAGATGAGATTGATCCTCGCAAGAATGGTGTGGAATTTTGACATCAAACTTGCGGAAGAGAGTGTTGGATGGGACACGAGGAGTAAAGTCTACATGCTATGGGAGAAGGGGCCTATCTACGTGTACCTTACCCGGCGCGAGGGCGATTAAGCGGAGCCATAGATCGATCGTCTTATGTCTTACCATTAGCCAACACCGAGATCACGGATCCAGCGATACTCGTAGATGCATACAGTACTACAGATGGTCCGGAGTTCTGTATCCATAGTGGAATATTGATCTTCAGTGGAAACGCAGTGAGGAAAGGTAGGCGCTTGGCTGGAACATACTCCTATCAAGAACATCAAACTCGCCTGTGGCGTACCAACATAGACACGGGGCTGAGATACCGACACTGAGTGGTTTAAAGTACACCTTATAGTCATTGAACAGATTGAATGTCCGCTACAAAGTAGTCACAAGCGACCTACCGGGCTCCCCGGGGCTTTCTGCGCCTTCATACCTCTCATTACAAGGAAAAGTCATTCAGTTTTTCGGAGGTTGAATCCGGTCCAAGCTCCTCCTTCTCACTCTCGTCCAGCAGACCCAGTGCCTGTCGCCTTGTTGGCGCCTTGGGGTCGAAGAACGGCTTCTCGGCCAGCGATGTGACTCGCGTTCCGTGTCTCGGGTGTTTCCCAGCGTAGTCCCAGCTGGCATTGTGGATGGTGATTCTGCTCGCTTTGTAAGCTTCAATTTTCTGCGTAGTTCGAGATCATCGAACGGCCTGGTTGAGTAGATCTCACCGATTATCCCACAGAACCGACGTGCCTGGGGTCCACTTCCATCGGAGCTGGATGTCCACGTTTTTCTCATAAACGTCAAACAGGTAGTTGAGGATAAGGTCACTTTCTGCCTTATCAAAGCCAACGATGCGGTCGGTCATGGCTCGGTTGACCCAGAGGGCCTTCCATCCCGTGGCTGGATGAACTCGCACCAATGGGTGAGTACGTTCAACATATTTGGGTCCTGCTTCAGGATCGTTGCGGTCCAGGTACGGGTGGGCAGATCGATAGACGGCGTATTTGCCGTCGATAATCTTGCGGAAGTTGGGAGAAAGCTTTTCATAGGCTCCATATCCACTAGCCCAGAGGGTGTCTCCTCCCACTGGCGGTACCGTGTCATTGTGTAAGTGAGTAATGCCGGCAGGCTGATGCTCGTGTACAAGATCTGTATGCCAGCGGGATGCGCCTCCTGGATTCCGGAAGTTTGCTGGTCTCTCCGTAGCCTGGAGATCCGGCCAGATGACGGTCACACCAGCGACTCCGGGAACTTGCGGAACTTGAGGCTAGAGCCTCTATCAGTATGGCTATTATACGGAGGGTTCAAGCCTTTGGGGTGAAACTCACGTGAATCTCGATCTCCCCATACCATTCTCCCAGCTCCTTCTGCTGTTGGGGCGAAATATCCTGGTTTCTGAAAAATACAACGCTTCGCTCCGCAATTAACAGGGCCAGTTCGTCTCGTTGCTCAGGGGTGAGGTCTTTCAGCTGCAGCCCCTCGATCTCGGTCCCAATGTTGGCTGTCAGGTCCGTGACCTTGGTCGCAGCGGCAAACAGATTTTTCTTGGATTTGTCTGCCCTGGCTCCAGCATCGACATGTTTCCTGTCAGCACTTCGGATCTTGTAAACGTCCTGCAGGTATAGAGGCCTGGAAGGCCTGTATGGGTAGCCGTTGGACAGGTCAATGCCCGCCTTCAACAGTCGCTCTCGGGCCGGGGCGGGGATTGGTAGAGTATCCTTCTTGGGCTGCGCGACGTCAACAATGACGGGGTCGATAGGAGCGGGAGCCATTTTGCGCTCTTCTTTCTTTATCTTTCGTTGGTCTATCAACTTCCTTGACAAGCCAAATTGAAATGGCAAGATCAGCTACTTTCAAGGTTGAGTCAGAAAGAGGCCCTTTAAATAATGACTCCAGCTCGGGGGAACCCCAAGCTATGCAGTTGGATGGCATTGATATCATCTCATTTTTCGCATGAAGCGGGATTTGTAATGTAGGTCATCCATCGAGTTCATATCTGGCAGGCAAGTCTCGGAAAGATCTCAAAATCGCCCAACCCATCTCGATTATTGCGACATTGCTGTTTTAGAACTGAATCCATATGACTGGTCGTATTTCCCCGCAGAATAGACAAGTGTCATCTGCACAGATGCAGATCGAAAGCAAATATATACAATAAATGCCGTGATAGTGCTGCAAGTGCTATGCCATATAGCTAGCGGGTGTTGCCATGGATTGCTGAAAGGGGTGGTGGCGTGCTGATGTAACTCTATTGCAATATCACCAGCCATCCGCTGATGTGTGAGATACACAGCGCATAGCATTATCAGGGCGTTTGCTTCAGGACAGAGATATTGCTAGACCATCAATTGCCGGATCTTCCGGATGCTCTTTGCATGCAATTCTTATCTTCCCAATAATATTCCTAGCCGCCGTTGCAGCCAAAGAAAGTACTGGGACAGCAGAAAGAGCCAGATGTGCTCAACCACCCCTCCTAGCACGCCATGTGCATGATAAAGGATTCTCGGGATGAATGATATATGGCACGTAACAAATTTGAAAGAAATGAGAAGAGTTACAAGAAGTCACTGACACCAAGTGACAGAAGTGTTTCCTTGGGTAGGGTATTGCTTTGTTTCGACATGTCGCCTCCTGAGCCGATTCGAAGCTCTCTCAGCCACAACCCAGATAACAAATCATTGGGCTCTGTCAATGTTGACCGAACGGATACGAGTTCTTCTGAAGTCATCCAAACGAAAGTAGAGAGAAGATGGGTCTCTTACTTATGGGATACTCTGGATAAGTCGCCAGAGGAAAGACGATTCCTGTTCAAACTTGATGCCGTGCTTCTCACATTTGCTTCCCTGGGATATTTCATCAAGTATCTTGACCAGGTTAACATCAACAATGCTTTCGTCTCTGGCATGAAGGAAGACCTCAACTTGTTTGGCAATCAGCTCAACTATATGCAAACCTGTTGGACTGTGGGTTACGTTGTTGGGCAAATTCCAAGGTAAGGCAAAACATACCTGCTTTGACCAGCAAAGGCTTTGAATAACATTACTCTGCCATACAGCAATGCCCTCTTGACCCGAATTAGGCCATCCATTTGGATACCATCCTGCGAAGTCACATGGGCCGTGTTAACGATTCTCATGGTGAAATGCAACAATGCGCAGCAAATTTACGTCTTGCGATTCTTCATCGGACTCGCCGAAAGTACCTTTTACCCTGGGATGCAGTATATCATTGGATCATGGTACCGGAAAGACGAACTGGCCAAACGATCATGCATCTTCCACACTAGTGGTGCTATCGGATCCATGTTCTCTGGCTATCTCATGGCTGCAGTCTACCACCTCGGAGGGAGAGACGGTTTCAAAGGCTGGCAATGGCTCTTCATTATAAACACCGTCATTTCGCTTCCAATTGCCTTGGCTGGATACGTCATGATACCCGATGTTCCTGAGATCACGCGGGCGTGGTACTTCACGAAAGAGGACATTGCCCTCGCTCAGAAGAGAATGCAGCTCGAGGGTCGGGCAAACCGTGCTCCGTTTACCAAGGCAAAATTGAAGAAGATATTTTGCAGCTGGCATATCTACTTGCTGTCACTCCTATACATTTTCTTCAACAATGGGAATGGTGCCGCTTCCCAGCCTGCCTTTTCGCTGTGGCTCAAACAGCGAGGATACAGCGTCACCGACATCAACACATATCCTACCATCACTATAGCCATTACAGTTATCACCACCCTTGCATATGCATGGACTTCCGACTCCATATTCAGAGGAGAGCGATGGCCCCCAATCGTGTTTGCAGGTATCATTGGCATTATTGTCAATGTGAGCCTCACAGTTTGGAATATCCCTATCGGATGGAAGTGGGCCTGCTTCTTTCTGGCCGGCTTTGGTGGAGGTGTCAGTGGCCTAACTTTCGCCTGGGCTCATGAGATCTGCTCTGATGACAACGAAGAGCGAGCACTGGTGACGGGATCGATGAATCAAATGGCCTATGTCATACAAGCTTGGCTTCCGCTATTGATTTGGCAGCAAGTAGAGGCTCCTAACTATCCAAAGGGGTACTCAACCTCGATTGGAATCAACGTCGGAATGATTGTAATGTGTTTTTGGATTAAATATGCCCACAGACGGGAAAAAATGAGGAAACAGGTTCGGGGGGGCGATTCGGGATTATACGTAGCGAGCTAATTCATGTCATCTAAATTCAACAAGAACATTGTGCTCAACCAATCTTGTAACACAGGCAAATTCAACAGAGTCAACACAGTCATTAGAAAGAGGAAGATGTCAAGGCTGCTATTTGCTAGCTGTTATAGACAACCATGTCGCTAATGGGGAACAGATACGTCTATGGAAGCTTCAACCACAATTTCAACAAGTTTGGGTATTTAGGTGTGCCCAGTCCAGTCACTGGATCCCATCCTTCCACAGCGGTAAAGCCGCTCGTGCCGCAGTTCGGGTTTGATCCTTGCTTGATATCCGTAAGGGCGTCTGTGTTCGCATACAGTACCGGGTTGATGAATCCAACAGAGCCTTTGCCAATTTTGGCGCGCTCTTGGTTAATCAGAGTGATGACAGAGGCCCAAAGAGGTGCCGCCAGGCTTGTCCCGAACCAGTGGCCCTCCGTCCCGTTGTTGAACGCGCGGAAATTTGCGCCATTCGCCGAGATATCGGGAATGCCTCTGCCAGCACGGTTGTAGATGCCACCGTTCTCGCCGAGGTTGCTCGCATTGGCGTTGGCGACATAGTAAGGGTGGCCCGGATCGTGCTTGGCAAAGTACTTGCTGATTGCACCCTTCTGGTAGTCTGGTGCAGGGAAATAGTTTGAAAAGCCTCCTCCTGAAGCGAAAAGCTCGGCGCCGGGGCCGAGGTTTGTCTGCATAGCACCCTCCGCATCAAGCACGGTTGTGCCAGGCTCAAGTTGGGTCGCACCAACAGAGGTCAGGTATGGGCACGACACGGGGTTGCCAGGGTTGTAGATTGTCTGGTTCTGCCCTGAACCAGAGAGACAGCCGGTTGCAGTGTCGGATTCAGGTGGCATGGCAACTCCGAAATCGCCAGAAGAGACCAGAACCGTGGTGCCCTGAAGACCTAACTTGAGCCACTCATTGCACTGCCTCAGGAAATAATTCTTTGGGACATCAATCTCTCCCTCGCCATAGGAGATGGAAATGACCTTGTTTGGCTTGTAAGCACCGCAAAGAACCGTGCCGTTGTAGCCGCCTGGTCGGTTATCAGGATAAGACGGATCAATGCCCGGGCTGTCTCCCGTGATACCAAATGCTGTAGAGTGGCAGTAAGATCCATCCAGAGCATCTAGGAAATGGTTCAGGAAGCCCGAGTAATTGTTGGCGGTGGTATAAAGACGGTCATCCACTTGGTACAAAACCATGGTTTGGGGCCAGATTAATGTTTGAATGATTGTAATATCGATGTCCGACTCCCCCGTATTGAATTCGGAATTGGGCGCCACTGGAGCTTCACCGCCATCGATGGACAAGACCTTGGGGTGTGTGCCATTGGCAATCCAAGGCGCATATTTGTGGAAGTAAGAGTCGAGATCTCCCTGAGCAAATGTGTCGCCGCTCTCATACACTGCAGGCTCATTTCCGGCGACAGGGTGGTTGGTGTCTGGGATCTGATACAGCGCACGGTAACAGACGGCAGTGAAGTTGCGGGCGCAGTCCTGCAGATCGGCTGGCAGCTTGGGGGCAGTAGGGGGCTTCTTCACCAACGACAACAGATCGGGCGGCATCTGCTTCGGCCTCCAGCCCTTTCTATACCTGCGGGAGCTGGTGTCGGCACGCTCCTCTAAAGAACGCTTTATCATGGGTGGTGATAACTTGATGCCGGGCACGATGTAGTCGATGTGTTCCGAGAGATGCGCTGGCACATAATATTCATCGCAGCCAATCTTGAGCTCGTTTCCCCGCTCATGTTCGTGATATTGTGTTTGGAACAAGTCCTCGACATGAGAAACAGGCAGGTCGATGGCAAGCCATCCTTTGTTCACATATTGGCGAATATCCGACGCGTTCACCCCAGACTCCACCAACCAAGAATGGACTGCGTCGAAGGTCTCACGCGTTGGGGCAAAGAGATCGTGAACTTCGTCCTGACTGAGATGCTTGCCAAAGCCTTCGGACGAAGGATCGGACACTTCCATCAGCTTCTCATAGCCAAGATGGATGTTGCTCTGCGCCAGACCGATCCTAAGCGGGATGATAGCATGCGGATTGAGGCGGCTACCGCGCTTCCATTGTCGATGGCTGTCGACATGGCCGGTGCCCGTCGGACTGCGTGTCTCGTGGAGGACATAGTTGCTGGACGGTAGACCGTGCACAGAAGAATCTGTGAATGCAATTCCCGCTGTGAGAACCAGCAACGCTTTGAGCGAATAGCCCATGATGCCGAGGACGTATGGACTACTGATTGGCAATAAGCTATGAAGAGCTACTCCAGTAGCTTGGCAGCGGTCAAGCTTTCTTGGCCTGATCGCAATGCTTTTATAGTCCGTCACCTTGATCACCACGGTTCCTGCGATCTCTGAACCCCAGGTAGTATCATGTCGCCGGCTGCTCGTGCGTATCTCCATCGTATGCCTGTTATACAAGGATCCTCATGCTAGTATCACTCCGCATTCTTGCTTCTCTAATCACAACTTCGCATGCCGAATATCCGACCTGTGTCCAGGAACCTGAGAACCTTGTCTGACACGAGCGCTGACCGACGGCACGTTCATTGTGCCAGACCTGCCTTCAGCATTGAAGCAGCCACTCATTGGGCATGTCCCGCTACCGCTAACAAAGGTTCGAACAGCTTTAGGCAGGTCTCGGTTGAGTGATTGACGTTGATCTTATGGCGTCGGGAGGCACTGCTGCATGCAGTAAGCTTGTAAGCCCCGATCTTCAATTTCATTCCCCTGTTAATATCGTGCGGTTTGCTGGTGGGTGATGGGTTACCCGCCACTCCCGGCATTGACCGGATAGATATCTCCGTCTTTCAGTTCAAAAGGTCCTGCGACTCCCCGCTTCGCACCTTAGCTGGCAGTTGCTCTATGTTACCCAAACGCGGCTTTGATGGGAACATATCTCGAACTTATACACACATTACATGATTGGCGCATTAACCCCAAGGACCGTGAGATGAATACTGGTACGGCCGTCGGAGGATCCTTTGTCGGTGTTGCGGCACAAAACATTATTCTCCTTTTGGAGATTTACTGTCAGCACCACTCATTTGTATCACACGTAAGTGAGTGTCTGCTAACACGACAGGGGACTCTGGCTTCGCACGCGGTCTTCGAATCCAACAGAAGTCTACCACATAATCTTTTTTTGTCCTGCATTAATCATGATAGTCATGGAATTGGGGTGTAAGGCTTGTCAATTTGAGAAGTATTACCACCTGAGTTAGATCATTCGAGCGCGGTCTTACTCGTCTTACTACTTCCTAGATACATGCATCTGCGGTTGAGGCCACCTGGCTAACGAATCGGACTGCCTCCAGCATCAACGAACACCTGCTCCAAAATTTCAACAGGCTGCATAACACTGTCATGGTCAGTGCCGGGAACAGTGAATGAGTCGAAATCCAACACATCCTCGAATGAATTGCCTTTCCATCCACAGATTTCTTCAATGTACTTCTGGCCGCTTGCACCAATCATGATATCGCTTTCGGCGAAGTATGCCCTCACTTTGAGCCTCATGCTGTCTTGCCAATTGGGGTTCATCTGACGTCTCTGTCTCTCAGTGCTCACAAGGGATTTTACGAAGGCGCCGTAGTCATCGCAAGCTTCCCATGACCATCCTTTGCCCTTTCTTAAGCATTGAAGCGCCTCACTATTGGCACCCACAGTGTTCTCGTCAAATATCTTCTTAGTGAGTATCGTTGACAGTTCCATTTGCAGATCTCGTGGAAAGTCGTATTCGTCTGCTAGCTTTTGCCTATTTCTTTCTAGGGCTGTAAGCTCCTGGGCGTTGTTAATGCCCATCGAGGTGGAGAACAAGCTGGTGGCTTTGTTGAGCAAGGTTCCACTGGTCGTTATTACGGGGGCGGCGTCGACTGCGAAGAATCGCGGAATGCGGTGCCATACATTGAAGGCTGGCGTTGGGATATATTGAAGTATTTGCATTGACGTAATTTTCGAGTGGGCAGGATCAGTCCATGGGCCTGCAACGTTGCAAAACTTGTCAGTACCTGATGGAAGAATGTACAGCCGTTGAATCTGCGTACCCATGAACGCAACAAAAGGTCGTTCGGGATGTAGCAAGTTTCGATGGTGATGCAATGAGTTGAGCAGATATAGCATCCCAGCAGAATGCGCAACCAGGGCAACGTGCGAAATGTCCAGGTGAGCTAATAACCGGGGAACAATTTGAATCCACGTTGGAATTCGCCGAGAAAGAGGCACATCTGTTGAGAACCCCATGCCAGGGCTAAAAGGACGAGGAAGAGAGTGCATAAGCATCAGCACATGCTTGAACTTGCAATTGAGGAAACGTGGGGTCGAATGGAAAACACATCTTTACCGGTCAATCACCAAGACTCGCACTCCGTATTTCCGCGCAACAGGGTCGAGTACAGCGCCGATGTATCTCGATCCAAACATGCCGGGGATGAAGAGTACGGTCGGGGTGCTGCGACCTGCGGTCGCACTGTCTGGCTTGAAGCCCACGTCTGCAAAGCTGACGGTGATGGCATCCTGATTTTCACCTTCGGGCAGGGTGAACTTTTGGGTGAAGCGAGGATCGGAGATGTAACTGAGCGCCTGATCGCGCGCCGAAGCAGTACCAGAGCTCATAGTCAATAGCAAAATTGATATAATGATATGCAAGGGAGGAGAGGAAATGCAACTGCTGGCTTATTACGAAGGTAACTATAAGCACCAGGTAGAGGCCTCCCAAAATAGCTGAGAGCCGAATGAAACGCTTCGGCTACCTCTGCCGACGACGCGAAGCTCGGCTATGATCTGTCGATATGTTCAGCGAATCATGTTTGAACCGTAGCCTAGCGTGTCACGACAATATCTGCTTAGTCCCAGAGAGTTGTATATCCGCTGCGTAAACGAATGGGCACCTTGAGGAAACGTGAGGTTCATGTGACAAATCTCCGAGCTACGATGTTTTTACATAGGATTTTCACGTCTTTGAAACCATGGAAACCATAGAATGGAATCTGGACTCCTGGATGCATACTGCTAGTTAAGCCTCTCACAATCTTGATTAGGCATACGAAAGCTTTGAAGCCATGAAGCGTGGCCGTTTTTTCCGACAACCGAAACCATCGTTCTACAGTATTAAATACCGGGGTAACGGGTAACCAAACAACCCTGCTGAGTCAGGTCAACCTGATTTCACTTTGTGATGCCCAGCATGATATCGACGGGGTTCTCTTTTTTTTTTCTTTTTTTTTTTTTTTTCTTTTCCCTCACTCTCTTTTCTCACGACAGTGTCCGATACCTTATACACAGGTACTTTCAGCCGCTGCCGAAAATCACCGGCTAAATGACCAGGGCCTAGCTTCTTCGACAAATATAAACAGGATAATAATGCCGTAAAATACATGGATCATGACGCTTTCCTCGTTCAAAGGCTCGATTAACAAATTGTCCTGTAAATCCTCTTCCACAAGGGCCAGGCTCGTCGCAGCTCTTTCTCTTCTGTTGAGTCGGGCTGAACCCTGGAATAGATTCTTCCGGTGTCGAGATCCATGGACTCAGTATTAACCAATTGTGTCCTGAACCAGATCTTGTGTCCCACATAGAAAATAATAACAATCGGGACAGCCAGCACGTTCAGGAAGAAGTTCCTCGCTGTGATCTCAGGCCCGTCAGCTTCTGGGTCAAGCGGAACCGGAGAGACGGCCATCCAAAACTGAGAGGCCAGAACCAGAATATTCCCAATTAATCCAATCCAAGAACCGAGAACGCCAACTTGTGACACGAACGGCAGTTGGTTCAGTGTGTGCCCTGCTGCTGCCCAAGCTTTGCGAAACCGAATATGGCAGAGGCAAATGCTGCCCCAAGTGAACAAGCTGGACAACCCAGAAATGGCCATGAGCCAATCGAAAATGTCTGAGTGAGACTTGACATTGACAAGGTATGCCAAAAGTCCAAGAACAGAGGCGAGACCAAGTGCAGTCAGTGGTCGTCCTTTGCGATCTACGTAGGAGAAGATTCTGGGCGCGTGAGACTGCTCGGCCAAAGAAGCCAGCGTTCTAGAAGACCCAAACACGGAAGAGTTGCCCACACTCAATACCGCAATCATGATGACGATGTTCATGACACTCGGTAAGATTGTTGAGCCTGCGCTTTCCACGGCGATGACAAAGGGGCTGGCGGTGGCATCAACAGAACTGCGGCCCCTAAGAAGACGCGGCTCGTTGTAGGGGACCAAGAGTGTCACCAGCAGGAGCGATACGACGTAAAAAATGGCAATTCTCCAAAATACTTGCTTGATGGCACTTGGGACAGACTTCTTCGGGTTGGCAGTTTCGGCCGCAGCAAGTCCGAGCATTTCGGTGCCCGCAAAAGAAAAGGAAGACGTCGCCAGAACACTGCAGAAGCCTTTGAAGCCGTTGTTCGTTGGGCCCGGATTGACCCAGAACTGGCCGCCAACGTAACCGGCTGTCGGCGGTCCGCCGATATTGATTACGATGCCAAGAAGTCTGCGTTATTTGGCTTAAGGTTAGCCGGGCAAAGCTTCAAGCGGCGCCTAGGGGTGGTGCCAAGAGAGCAAATAAGTCTTACATGAAGCCAACAATGGCAGCGACTTTCACTATGGAGAAAACGAACTCTGCTTCTCCATAACCCTTGATTCCCATTAGGTTTATGGCGATAATTGCGAAGAGGAAGATGGTGATGAAAATGGCGGGGTTCAGCGAAGCATTCCAGTACTGTATCGCCAGAGCTCCGGCGATAATCTCGAGCGGTAGAACGACGAGCCATTGCAAGGCGTAACTAACTGAAGATTTAGCAACAAGACCAGTGTTATACCCCGACTGGAGGAATAGGAATGTAGCATATAATGCACATTTGGCTTGGTTATACGTACTTCCAGCCCATGGCGAAACCCCACGACGGGTCCAGAAATCGGCTCGAAAACGCGGAAAACGAACCAGCAACGGGAAATGCTGTTACCAGTTCACCCATGCTTTGCATGGTGCAGAATTGTAAAACCCCGGTTGCAATGTACGCGAGCAAAAGTGAAGCCGGGCCGCCTTGATACAGGGCGAGGCCTGATGCTACGAACAAACCGGTCCCTAAGTTGCCGTGTTAGAAGAATTGCGTGGTCCATTGCCTTTCTGTTTTAGATAGCATCGAAGATGATTCTCATACCGACTGAGCCTCCAATGGCGATCATCTGAAGATGGCGACCTTTAAGATCTCGTGCGAGTGCAGAATTGGCCGTCCGCACATTGGCCGCACGCAGGTCGTAGAAGCGAGCACCTCCTTGGCCCATATCAGGAGCATCATCGTTAATATGATAGCCATGGTTTCCACTCATGGGAAGCCCTCCGGGCACTCGACGGAAGCTGTCCACAAACCTGCGGCCCATAGACTTGTTGTGAGAGGTTCTGGGCCGTGGATTGGCGGTGATGGAATACGACGACGCATTTCCAAATTGGCTTGTCGGTTTACCACCCGACGACAGATCGCTCATTTCAACGACCTCGAAGTCGCGAGTATATGTAATGCCATTTTTTATGGATTTTGGCTTTTCCGGCTCCTCGAATGCCATACTTGGCTGCAGTGATGATTCAACGCCTGTCTACACTCGACATGCAAGGAGACTTTTTGATCTGGTGGCTTCGGAGAATAAGGTATGCATGTGGTTGTCTTCATATGCATATGGCAAGTATGGAAGGGCTGCGGAAGGCCATTAGAAGGCAGTTCGGCGGAAGGGTCACTTTGTACGGTTTAGGACTCTTTCAGCGCCGAAACCTCATTTCCATTTCAGGTCCATTCCGGCACTCGGCCACCTCGAAAATGATAAGCTTGTTCCGGTCACGACATAGTACTACGCGAAAACAGCGCCCTCTCTTCTGCATATTGATGGTGCCATGCATCACATCATTGAAGAGTTTCAGGCACGCCAATAGCCCAGTTCTACCTGAGCCGAGGTCTTGACGCTATTTTAGCAAGCGCTACGGGGTAGATAAGGGTAGTGCATAGTTCATGACAGGAACGGGTTTGAAGCTGTCCCGGGGTGTCGTGGGCTGTATGTGGAGAGCCTGGGCTCCGCAAACCTGGGGTTAAGAGATAACGATGTTGATCTGACAGGGGTTTTGTTCAGCTGAAATCTGACTAGCAGTAGTAGTAGCAGAATCAAAAAGTCGTTTAATACAAGGGGGCCTTAGTTGTTGCCTCTCAGTGGATGGAATGGACCAGCGTGCTACGCATTAGGAGTGGCTTACTCTTTCATAACCGGATGCAAGAGAAAGCCAAGAGGTTCACGAACTACAGACCGTCGGTTCGCTCTTCTCCTCCCTTCAACTGGGTTAACTGAAACTGACAAGTAAAAAAAGGGGTCATGAGGGTGTGGTCACTGGAGCTACCGATCGGTCGGTTAACCATTGTGGCTGAAGACTTCGAGGTTGCTGAAGATCTTTAGGCGCTAAGAACAGTAAGAACGCAGAGTGGCTCAGTGCTTTCATTGACAGCTATGTAGTATCTATCTGCGTTTGAGACTAGTCATTCCGGCAGGCACCGCGCGTTCTGGCGATCGAGGAGTCTCGAGACTAAAAATCGGGGCAGCCTTCGAAGATCCGCGGTCTGCCTGGATGAGCGAGTCATGACTCTGCGTAGGACTAACTGCGCTGCCACTGGACGATTGAGGGCGGAAAGCCCCATTGTTCGATAGGGAATCAGCTGCGGTATCGGCCTGTTTGCGGTCTCCCCAACCCTCGACGTCCGATTTGGCCCGGTCCTCATCTTCAGCTCGATGCCAGCCGCTTGTTGTAGTCCCCTGGCCTTGAGGATGGGAGGCTGTATTACCGCTGCTGTGGTAATTTGGCCGAAATTTGATCTTCCTCGCTCCGCTGTCCCTCAAGAAAGAGCCAAGAGCAACCAGATTTGCTACTGCAGTTGCTGCGAGCAGTTCAACAGATGCCCACATTGATCGAACGATTTGGTCCCCATGCTCTTTGATCGTTTCAGGTATTCTGTAGATAGTGATACCCACAGTCAGAAAGCCAAAGCAGAACAGCATCGACAGCAAGACCTTGCGTCGTGTAGCGATGCGAGTTGAAATGATGATCGGGATTGGGAAGACGATGAGCATGACATCGAGGACTGCGCTGGAGATTCCCATTGTGAGAAGCTGTGCCACGCCTTGGCGACACTGTGGTCCTGGATCGGGAACGAGTTGCCAGTAATGAGATATTGGTCGACATTCCGCGAGGTCGCTCACTATGATGGCCACAAATGACGCTGCAAGGAGGCTCCTGAGGATATTGATGAGTATTTTGTAGACCTTTTTTGACGAAGCACCTGCTAGTCGGTTGAGAAACTCGAGCGTGGTGAATTTGAGTGTCCATAGCCTGTGATTGATTAGCTTCCACTGCAAAGTGTTGCAATTAGCATGAAGTGGTAAAGATCTTCGGGCATGACCAACGTGGCAGCATGGAATATCCTCCCAGCAAGCACAACCTTGCTGGCAATGGTTCTCTGATGAACCTCCTCGGGCGAGAGCTCGAGTCCAGAAAGCTCAATATTGTTCGTTCCGTATAACAGCACGACGTGGGTGCACCCAATGCGGAGGTACAATGGCAACAATGCCAATGCTGTGATCCTGTCCTCGACGAAGAGCTTTTCTACTCGAATATACCGCCCAGAAAGGCGAAGCAGAATGAGACAGGTGCAAAAGAGCGTTGTCCACCAAGCCACGAGCAATGTCGGTTTTGCATCGCTGAATGGCCGTTCTGGCGGTGCCGATGAGTAGAGAGCCATGGTGGAAAAGCTACATGCAGAGCACTGAAAGAAAGTATGCCATTGTCATTATATCTTGACAGCGCAAGTCCTTAATCAACAAGAAGATGTGGTGAAATGTAACCGAGTCTAATTTTCTAAGGTTGCCAATAGTAGAGCAATATAGCACGCTGGTTCACCCGACGTGCATGTACACATTTCTCTCACGCATATCGCTCAGACATGTAAGCCATGCGAGCCGTGAACTGATAACGAAAATAACCTGCCAGGGTCATCGCGTCGAGGCACCTCCCTTGGCAGCTATGGTGTGACCACTGTCAACAACTAATTCAGACCAGCTTGAGCGATAGAATCGTCTTCTAATCGGCTAACTTCTTTTTATCGCAACTGGCTCTGGCAGCCAAGGGGGCCGTGGCGTTTGGTGGGATGATGGCTCGGAAATTGCTGCTGGTGCCTGGCCAAGCATCTTGCCCCTTCTTATCCAGCCCACGATACTTTAGCGCTGCAACCTAAATAAACTGACGGCCCCGGACCTAAGAGAGGAACTAGTGGGTGCTAAACTACTGCATATGCAGGCGTTTGGATAAAGGCTGTGGAATATGGACGGAGGATTACGGAGAGATTCTAGGCGACATTTAGAACATCGAGGCCCCTTGACACTGCTCGCGATGGTGGCAATGCTTTACCGTTCCAGTAATAACGGTGGCTCATTAGCTCAGCTCCTCGCATCAAGCAGTATGGTAGTTGTCAGATAATAGCGCATAACATCAGGCTTCCAACTATATTCGGCACCAAGAGAGCCACTTAACATGTGCCTTATTCCTCACCTTTCCAAGAGGCGGCACACAACCAGTGAAATAATGATGATACGCACCAAAAACCGTCTACTTAACTTTGAATTTGAGCATAATCTGTATGTTCAAGAAGTTAGATGAAGATGAAGTTACAAAGCCAAATGTCGACTCGTCTTCATTTCACAAGATATTGCTATAAAGCACTCCCCTTCCACGTGGTACTTTCGCGAGACGACGAAATACATCACATTCATCTATGGAGAGTCAACTCAACGAGTCATGGGGAGTATTCAGCCCTGACACAGCATCAGTAGCCGAGGCGAGTGCATGACATCCAAGCCACCTACCCCTGTCTTCGACCGTTCTATTGAGGAGCTACTCTAACATAAGCATGCAGAAAGAGCTGAAACTTCCAGTCCGGCCATTTCACTTTGACCACGTCGCAATGGTGCATCCTGCTCGTTCTATAATACTACTTTCTGAATTCGGTGGAGTCTCCTACATCCCTCCAATGACCATCAACATCTTACCAAACTCTATTACAACTGTCTAGTTGATTGTGCAGATAATCTTGCCCATGATCTGATTCGTCTCCATCAACTTGTGCGCTTCAACGACTTCTTCCCATGGCAGAACTCTCTCAATGAACACTTTGAAGTCCCCAGTCAAGAACTTGGGAAGGGCTTCCGATACGAAAGTGTCCCTGAGCTTCCGCTGGAACTCTTCATCTCGGCTTCTCAAAGTTGAGCCTTCGTATCTAATTCGCTTGAACGCAAGCAGCCCCATGTCGAACTCCTTGTCGAAGATGAATCCGCTCATCAATCCAACGAGGACAACTCTTGCATCTTTTGCCGCAATCTTCAAGTTTCCGGCGAAGACATCGGGGCCAATCAGGTCGGCGATTATGTCAACGCCTTTGCCACCGGTTGCCTTGATCACCTGGTCAACCCAATCGGGATCGGTCGTGTTGAAAGCTGCAGTGGCTCCCAAAGTATCGACAATGAAGTCACACTTTTCTTGAGATCGTGCCGTTGCGTAAACAGCCGAAGCACCAGCTCCAAGCGCAAACTGAATGCCGCTGATGGAAACGCCAGAAGCTCCAGCGTGCCAGAGGATCGATTTGCCAGGGGTAAATTCCCCAATTGTATACATCACTTTTGTTGCCGTGAGCCACGTCTACGTCTCGTGTCAGTCGTCATATGATCGGATTGAAAAGGGATATCCCGTTGGACTCACCTCGGGAATTCCTGCAGCTTCCTCCCAGGATAATTGAGATGGCTTGTGGATCAGCATATGAGTCGAGACAGCGACGTATTCGGCGTATGCTCCTGGATGATTGGGCTTCCTTAGCGAATATTCTCTTCCAGCTTCTCTCCGTGATTGGGTCTCCGCATATCTGCGTAACAGAAAGGCATCTTACCTCCATATGCTAAAGCAAAGACTTCATCGCCAATCTTGAAGGACGGCTCACTATTCTCCCCTAGCTCCTCGATGATACCGGAAAACTCCAAGCCCAAGATATTCGGAGCCCATGGTGGAACAGGATATTCGCCATCACGCTGCATAACATCCGCGCGGTTGATGCCGAAGGCCTTGACTCGGACCAGTGCCTGGCCCTCTTTGAGCACAGGCCTGGGGACATCAGTGATGTAGAGGGACTCCGCAGGTCCTGACGTGTCCCGAATATCTATTGCGAGAAGCGTAAGTATAGCATCAAGCTAGCTTGTACACTTGAAACTTACCAACAGCACGCATTGTGTTAGGCATAGCGTATGTATTTCCAATTAATGAATCTCAACTGATTGAGGTTGGCTGAATGCTCTCAAGGATTATCGAATGCCATCACCACGTCATAACTGACTACTTATATACTCGTGCGAGTCGTCAATTTCTCGGCATTCGCGATCGTAGATTGATAATCATGGCTACGAAGCAATACGTGCTGTGAGGCATCTGAAACAACATCTAGTATCGGTTGGTCGCTTGGGAAGTGGCAATCCAGCTGGCTCATCGCAAACACCTTGCTTGAATATTATTAATGTCGAAAAACGATATGTTCCCTATCATAGGATTTCGAATAGTTTTTAACTAGGTAATGACGGAAAGCAGTTTCTGGGTAAAGCTAATGCGACCGCTCACTGGATTGTGTCTGACGAGTCTTTCCTAGTCCGAGCAGCCGAGCCTCCGACAAGAAATGTCCGAGCGACCGAAGCTTGCAACTTTGCTTAGCAATTTCACTTCAAATTACTCAGGAAGAATCAAGCGAGGCAATTGTCAATCAGACCTATGAAGAACTTGATGCTTCGAGCACAATTTGAAGTCCTTCGTAGCCGAGTGTAGGTACAGTAGCGTGATAGATCAATGCCTGCATTGTACCGTTTCTCACCAGCGCCAAGTTGAGTACAACGTACCTAGACGAAGATCCCCTGTAGTATTGCTCAAAAGGCCTCCTTCATATGTGCCCTCTAAAACCGCGTATGTGAATGCACCGTGACTGAATTTTGTCTTACTCTAGTCGATATCCCGCGTTAGGTAATGCCATAGATTGGTAATCACTGCTGCATAGTTGGTGTTGATTGATGGTTTCCCAAGCGTTGGAGAAGTTGGAGGAAAGGAAAGAAAGAAAAAGCATCAACTAGCAAGTATTCACTTTACGGGATTAACCGCCTTTGGACAATCCTATGGCTTTTATTATAGTGTTCTTATAAGGCTACGGTCAGTATTGCAGTATTGCGGCTATGGCGTTATAAATCCCTTGGCATCTATCTATATACTCTGGTAACATCACAAATGGCCAGATCGCGCCCTTGCAGCCTGGATCACTATGAAAGTATTAAGTATGAAAACTAGTTGTTTTCTTAGCTTCCACATGATATAAATCATGTCTTCGAGCAATGCAAAAATAAAGGAGGGAAATTTCTGTAGCAGATGATCCCAGCGACGTCCCTGGAAGTTGACCAAAATGCTGCCAAATTCGGTCATATGACTACCTACGCAAAGACGCATAGCACGCACCGCATCATTATCAGCAGCAGCCATCAGCGCCATCAGCAGCATCAGCAGCATCAGCAGCGGAATAAGCAGCGGCATCAGCAGCAGCATCAAGAAGCGGCCATCAGAAGCAGCGGCATTAGCAGCGGCATTAGCAGCGGCATCAGCAGCAGCCATCAGAAGCAGCTGCATCAGCATTATCATCTATCACGTTATCAATAGCTTTTGCGGCGGCCAAGCAGCATCAGCCATCATCATCTATAGTAGCCCTGGCCGCAGCCAAACTCTCCGCGCAGCAGCTTCGCTTGGGCCCCTATGAACGCCTCTAGCGGGCATCGAACTGGTTTCCGGACCGTGGCGGGCAAACCCGTCATTTCTCCTCAAAAGTCGACCGACTTGTTACCCCTCACCTTCAACCCGAGGACAAGTCTCCTCAAATACGGACCATCCTACGAGTCTCGGCAGCATCCTTATTTTTACCCATTTGTGCAAGTCATTCGATAGTCGCTGAAAACCATTGGCATCATGGGCCCCTTCAAGCCTCTGCACATTCTGGCCTTTGGCGCCACCGGCAACATTGGAAAACACATCGTCAACCAGCTCATTCGAGCCAACCCCCCGTTTCCCAAAATTTCGATCTTCACCTCTGCAAACACAGTCTCTAATAAGCCCGAACTCTTGGCCAGATGGAAAGATGCAGGCATATCGGTAATCGTGGGTGATATCACCAGCTCAGCAGACGTGAAGAATGCGTATCAAGGTGTCGATACCGCCATCAGCTGCCTTGGCCGAGGGGCTCTTGAGCTTCAATTTCAGCTCATCAAATTGGCGGATGAGTCGGATTCCGTCCGATGGTTTTTCCCGTCGGAATACGGGACAGATCCGGACCACGACCCCAGCAGTGCTCACGAGAAACCTCACCAGTTGAAGCGAAGAGTGCGCAAGTTATTCGCGGAGGAAGTGAAAAATCTGAAGCCGACGTTTCTTGTCGTGGGACCATACATTGAGATGTGGGTTGATGGTGGTGCACTGAAGGATGCCTTTGGCGGGATTGATGTTGAGAAGAAGGAGGCAACTCTGCTTGGAGATGGAGAGCAGCCTATTGGCTTTACGGCCATGGACGAGTCAGTGGCATACCCCGGATTTCTTGCTTGGTGCCTTGAACTAACAGTGACACTCCTCAACAGCGTGGGCAAAGCGATGGTAGCGGCACTAAAGCGGCCCGAAGTCTCATTTGGCAAGATTCTTAAGATTGCTTCGTTCACAAAGTCAGCGAAACAGGTCCTGGCCGAATTTGAGAAGCAGCTCGGCCAAGAATTCAACGTCAAGTACATCCCGCTAGATGATGCGAAGAGCCTCGAGAAGAAGTATTGGGACGAGGGCAATCCAGCGGCAGTTGTCGGAACGCTGCGCAGGATCTGGGCCACTGGAGGAGCAGTTTATGATAAGCTGGATAATGAAGATCTTGGATTGCATCCGGATCAGCTGCAATCTTTAGAGGTTGCGGTGCGAAACCATCTTGATAAAGTCCCCTTTTGAGAGATGTTTGACAACAGGGTAGTCGATGAGGTAAACCTCGGTATGTCAAGTATATATCTGGCCTGTGGTGACGGAAAGGAGCGGAAGAATTCCCAGTTTACTGGCCATGAAGTAATTTCCAAGTAACGAGAGGTATCTATGTATTATCAACACAGTATACGCGCCCGAATTCATCTCGTCATAACTGATGCTTTGCTCTGAGAAGCTCACATAGAGTCTGTAACCAAAGAATATGTACATACTTGTATGAGGGCTGATCCACCACTCGAGTTGTTGAGATACGCTAACCCATATAGGCAGGACGAAGTCTCTGCCCCGGCCAGGATACCTCAAATTGCGCGAAGCTGGCGTTCAATCTCAGGTACTGCCAGGATATAACATACTTGATCTCGTGGTATGGTTCAGTATGAGACAAATGATTCACTCCCTTACCTATTTGCCTACCTAGGTATGTATCTTGCCTAGGTAGCACAAGACCCTTCCTTGGGCGCTCAAACCCATCATTAAAAAGAGAACGACTTGATGGAGAGAATCCAGATGAAAGGCAATGTAACTTCAAAGTCTCCTGGGACTTTTCCTATCAGGATTTTTCGTAGAATTCCATTCTGAGTGTCGACACCCTATCGCGCAATCTCGATTGAGAAATATCTGGTTAGAATATACGGAATAGCGAGTCTCTATACTAATACATGCAGCACCTGGGCCTCGGAGAGACATTTGTTTTACCCACAATCAAAAATTCGCCCGTGCGACTGTCACCGTTTAAACTGAAACAATCAATCTTCTTTCTCCTCTTTTTGAGCCCCATTCCACCAGCGATAGATGCCCTTGCACCAGACCCAAGTCTCGATGGTGCCGAAAATGCTCAGAACGGCAATGACGAAGATCTTCACATTCCTGCTCATACCCGGGCCCTCGAAGCTAAACGAGGGGAGTTCATCATTGTTGAGCGGCTTGCTGCGAAGAGAGGCATAATTTGCAAAGTTCCGAACAGAGTTGCGATGGCGGGCGATGGCTTGATAGCTTTGAGGCTGTCGCTGAGGGTTGTAGGCAATGGAAGTCGAGATATTGCGCATCATGATTAAGCTGTCCGTTTGAAGGGCCGAAGCCATGTTTGCTGTTGTAAGTGCCCGCCTCATTGTTGAGGATTACTTTCTTGGCGTAATATGCACACAGGGACAGAAGAGAGTTTGTTTGAGGAAATAATGGGAATGGAAAGAAAAGCAAGAACTTGATGCTGTGATAGAAGAGATGGTCCATGATAAATAGGGAGGTTACTGGCGCTGACCAAACTGCCACCCCTTGCGAGTTTATTGAGTTACGTACTTGCAAATGAAGTCTCGGCTTGTTCCACCATCAGTAGACACTGTGCGGAGTACATCCGCCCTGGCGAAGTGGTATCTGTGAGTGCATAGGTAGTTCAGAAAGATGCGAGATCATTACTCTGACTATCCATTGGGGCAACAAATGCTATTAGATAAGGTACGGCGAATGACATGTGCTCTTTGGACTTTATGAACTCTGCCGAGCTTGGCACGGCCCCGTGATTTCGCAGTCGAATTCCGGATGCTGCGCCCTAAGCTCTTCGGTCCCGAAAATGCATTTCCGACTAAAACTCGGAGCCCGGGTAAGTGGTGAATCCCGCCGGCACCCGGTTTGGCGCTCAGTTGATGAATTTTGGCTCCGAAAAATGGTGAGGATATTTGCCCGTGAACCTACCTAGAAAAGTATATATAAGGATGGTTTTACTCGACTTTCCAGTACCTTATGAAGCATCTCTCTAGCCGCACTTCCATTCACTTGGGCTGCCTTTTGTTCGAAACTTCCCAACCAACGCCCACAATGACTCCGAGTATTGCCATCATTGGTGCTGGCCCCTGTGGCTTGACCTTAGCCCGCCTCCTGGAGTGCAAAGGCATCGAGTACGTTGTGTATGAGCGTGATGAATCCGACGTCTCAAATCGAAGAGGGGGCAGCCTGGATATTCACGCAGAGACTGGACAACGTGCCCTGAAAGAAGCAGGTCTCTTTGACGAGTTCAAGAAACATGCGAGATACGATGACGCCGTCTTTACACTTGCCAACCAGAAGGGTGAGAGAGTCTTTCAGGCTGGTCAAGACCGTGATGCGCCGGAAATCGACCGCGTTATGCTAAGGCAGATTCTATTGAACTCGATCCCTAACGACAGAATTCGATGGAACCACGCTCTCAGAAGTATAACATTGGACGAAGATGGCCATCGTATTCTCCAGTTCTCGGATGGGAATTCAACTTCTGGGTTTAAACTCGTTATTGGTGCAGATGGCGCTTGGAGCAAAGTGCGGCCTTCGGTAAGACTATTTTGCTTGGTTTTCCTGTTGACATTGGACGTATAATTTCAGGCACTAATAGCAACATGCAGATCACGCAGGCCAGGCCGCAATACTCGGGGAACCATTATATAGAGTCAAGAATAAACTCGAACAGCCCTTATTATCCGACAATGGTCTCAAGAGTAGGCGCAGGCACGTTGATGTGCTTGGGTTCCTCAAAGGAGATCGTCACTCAACGACAGGGCGATGGATCTTACCGAATCTACTTGGGAGTTACTGTGCCCGAAGACTTTGTGCGAGGCGGGACTGTCGATCTGACGGATACTGAATCTACTCGGCGCCTATTCCTCTCTTCGCAATTCTTTGGCGACTGGGCAGATGATCTCAAAGACTTGATTCGGTACTCGGATGACTTCCGCAGTTGGCCTCTTTACTTCATGGATCCCGAAGCGGTCGGTTGGAAGTCTGTCCCCGGCATGACATTGGCTGGAGACGCGGCGCACCTCGCGACTCCGAACGGCGAAGGTGTAAACTGTGCCATGCAGGATGCGCTTGTACTTGCCTCCAAAATTGCAACATATGGTGCGGAGGACTTGTGTCGCGCTGTCGCAGAATATGAGGAGGACATGTTTCGTCGGGGAGCAGAACATATAAGGGACGGGCTAAAGATGGCGGCCATTATTCGACATGAAGATGGTCCTGCTGCAATGATTTCCTTTTTCCATTCTGCAATGGCCAGTGCACAAGCCTAGGTTTCATGAGAGAAGGCTTCCAGGATAAGTGGCTGAATATTGGCCCAAAGATTGGGAGGAACAGAGTAGATAGATCACTGCGTTCGCGAGTAGCTATACATAGATATAGTATGTAGAATAGCTTTTTTCTGACTAGGTAAGAAATGATATCTAATCCATAAGGTATTCAACAGATCGAAAGAAAAAACCGTCCCGTCTGCGTTTTTTGCCTGTATGTGATAGGCAGCGGCGTTTCCTTTCGCCCTCTTCTGGTATGTGCTGGGGCTTACTTTGTCATTTGTGCATCCTACATCGCTCTGACCCTAACCTACGAGGTCATCGTACCGTTCTATAGCCCGTACCTTTTCGGATGCGACGTCCCTTCGTCAAGTGTTGCTATACCAGGCCCCGTATAACGTGACGTATCATCATATCCATTGATGTCAATTCGAAATCCTTTCAGCAATTCTGTGCCACCAGTAAAATACAAGGGTCAAGCGATCAGTCTCGTGCCCCGATAGTTATGAGCCAGTCCGCTAGATGGCCCAGGCCCTTAGCCAGATGTGAAGGGCTGGATGTCGGCGTAAGCTCCCGCAAAGTGTAAGAGAGGGACCTGAAAGTTGAACTTTATGATCTTCTGCATCAGAGGCTAGTATATTCCGGGGCAGCCAATCAAGCATGGCGGTTTGCAATGATGCCTAGAGCTATAGCCGTGATTTAGGGTGATTTGCGCATTCCGGGCTTTACACTTTGACTCCAGCCATAAGGATGGATGCCGAGGTGATCGAGGTCCAGGCAAGTGAAGCATTGAGAGTCGTGTTCTCAAGAGTAAAGAGAGCGACAGAGCGACTGGCTATCACTTCATTCACATTAATGCCCATCTCGATGTCTTCGCCATAGCTTACCTATGAGCTTGAGATTGGCCGCGCGAAGTACGTACGCCAGTTCTACCAAATCTCTTGATCTCCATTGCTTCCATATACGGCAATACGTACGATGCGTAATTTGCTCTCAATTCTACCCCACGTTTTTACCCCAGGGATGCCTCGTCGGTTCCCGGCAACTGGTCTCATGCGGCTAAAAGGGAAAATGCCGACCATATCCATATTCAGGGGGGCAGGCGGGTTCTCTCTTCTCTTCGGCAATGATAGGAATGCCATTGCCGGGAATACGACTGTCCCTAGCCCCTCAATTGACAGCCGTCGGATGCGTGCATCTTCCCCAGTGGTATTGGCATTTGACGTCCTTGAAGCCTGGCACACAGGCCTCTTTCAGCATGCATTGCCATGAACTACTGTTTGAGAACAGCTACGTGAAGAAGATGAAAGCACATTGCTACCTTTGAGACTTTCGTTGGGTCACGACTGGTGTCGAATGCTTGCTAACGAAAAAACTCCGAAGGTGCAAATCGCAACCAAAAACACCAACCACACGGCATTAGAATTCCAGTTATTACCGATCTTTGGACACCCATTGGTTCGGAGTATAAATGTCTGGGCGGCGTCAGTAATAGCTCATAAGTCACTTAACAGCGGCTTCACTAGTAAACGGGCGAGACAGGATATGTGGTTCACCGAACAGACACCTTGTCGCAGGACCCAACTATTTACCAGGGAATGATAGTCGCTGCTTGAATTGATCATATTTCTGGGATGATTTCTCCTCGACTTCTCCACACAAGACCCTGCGTACCCCGCGTCTCCTTTCTTTAAATACTACCCCGGAATCTGGGGAAGATTCAGATCACAGGCTCCAAAGATCCCCTGCATCGGAGTCCGAGTCATCGAAGTTGTCCTTTTCTGAAGCCTAAACACGATTAACCCAGCCATAACTACACAACAGATATCAAGATGGTGTACCTAGGCTTGAGAGGCAAAAAACTTCTCGCTGGAATTACAATTTCCAGTGGTCTGGGTTTTGTTCTCTTTGGTATGGAATCGCCTCAACTTATTCGCCAAACACCCGGCGACGGCTGCATCCTGCTGTAAGGCTAATACTGCATCTCGATAGGCTATGACAATGGTGTTATTGGCGGTCTTCTTACCGCTCCAGATTTTGAGTCGACGTTCAATCTCGACGCTACGCTTCAAGGAGTGGTCACCTCGTTATTCGAGCTTGGGTGTTTCTTCGGGTCTCTAGTCACGGCAGCTGCAGGTGGCCGACTGGGCCGTCGAACACTCGCACACTTCGGAACCCTCGCCATTACTATTGGTGCTCTTCTCCAAGCCTCCAGTTTCTCTGTTGGCCAGTTGATGGCCGGCCGCATCGTTGCTGGCATTGGGCTCGGTCTCATATCAAGCAACATTGCCATCTGGCAGTCCGAAACAGCCCCGGCAAAAGTGCGTGGCACTCTAGTTGCGTGCTCCCTCAGTTTCCTCATTGTCGGCCAGCTTCTGGCGAACTTGATCGACTATGGCATGAATAGCTACTCTGGCCCTGTCACATGGCGATTCCCAATTGCTTTCCAGGCGGCTGTGGCGCTTCTAATGAGCGCACTCTTATTTTTCATGCCAGAATGTAAAGTCTTACGTCTTCCTGCGAGATTGCTATCGAAGAAGCTGACTGTTCCTGACTACAGCTCCTCGATATCTCATGATGAAAGATCGTATTGAAGAAACTGCCTCCGTTCTCCAAGCCCTCAAAGACACCACTGACAGAGGAGTTGTGACTGCTGAGATCGCAGAGATCAAGGAAGCCCTTTTGCTCGAACTCAACGCCCAGAAGAGCTGGTCCGATCTTTTCAAAAGCGGCAAGGTTAAGTCGCGCCGTCGAGTCATCATTGCCTGCGTCGTCAACTTGATGCAAGATCTTAGTGGAAGCACTCCGATAGCTTATTACACCACTTTTATGTAAGTCAAGCCTTGTTCAAGTATCTTCCAAACATGACTAATGCAAGTTCAAAAATCTCTCAGATTCCAGAATTCCGTTGGCTTCTCCCGACATTTGTCTTTGCTCATGTCTATCTTTCTGCAGTTGTGGTTCCTCCTGGCATCAACCCTCACTTGGTGGCTCATTGAGCGTGTAGGGCGTCGAAGATTGTTCATGCTCTCCGCTTGCTGTATGGGCATGGTGATGGCGGTTGTTGCTGCAATGCTTGCCGTTAATACTCATACTTCTGGTATCGTGGCCGTGGTCATGATCTTCGCATATCAGGCATTTTTTACGTGGGGGTTCATGGGTGGTGTCTGGGTAGGTGAAGCCTGGATTCTGAAAATCTTGCCTTCAAGATATCAATGGGCTAACAGTGATTTGATGCAGGCCTATGGGCCGGAGATCCTGCCGCTCGAGTATCGATCGAAAGGCATGGGCCTCGCCACTGCCACACTTTGGCTTTTCTCTTTTGTCATGGTGGAGATTGTCCCATCAAGCATAGCCAACATTGGATGGAAAACGTACATCATCTTCGCCGTTTTCAACTTCTCCTTCATCCCCATCATCTACCTATTCTTTCCTGAGACCAAGGGACTTAGCCTAGAGCTGGTGGATCTCGCTTTCATGGACGATACCATGTCCCCAGTCAAGCGTGCCACGGAACTGCACAAGATGATGGCTTCAGGCGAAGAGTTAACGCTCAGAACTGAAATTGGAGCGAAAACTATTGATTTTGTGCATGTAGAAGGAAAGTCTGCATAAGTCGTTGTCGAAGGAGGGCCTCCCGGGGCTACGAGAGTAACAGTTCTGTAGAAACCGCACAAATCAAAGAGTAACCTTGTGTTGACCCAGGTCGAAATCAGCGATTATGTACTTGTACTAGTCTCAACACTGCTCATTGTTTCGTGATGAGTCAAAGCATAAATAGTTGTTACAGACTCTGTTGCGGCTCTACATAGGAAGACACGTGCTCCACTGATGGCTATGTAGTACATCACCAGTATCTTTAAACCGGAGTGCGCATTGGAACATGGGTCTTACAGCTTAAAATGCCGACGTCAAATTGAATGGAAAATTCCTCGGCATTGAGAGAGACAATCATCTCTTGATTTGGAGGATGTCGGCGCTAATCTGCATCTGCATAGGCTTGAGGCGATGTTACGTTCAATAACGAAGGATAAGGAAACGTCGTGTCTTTTCCATGGCCACATTTAGTCAATGCTTGATAGGTACATTGATTCGACTATAACTCGAGAGACCACTTTGGCTAGGCCATAAAGACTCGAACGCTACCGTGATCCGAGTCCAATCGTAGCCGTCATGTTTTGCATCCCCATTAGAGACACTGCAGATCGACGGAAAAGTAACTTGACGAAAAAGCAAGTCAATAGCGCTCAATTGTTCCGTCGGGACAATATGCATAGTGACATTCAGGCAATCTAGATGGTTTACCCCGGATCTTCGCCAGCCCCACGTCCTTCTCCTTCCGGTTGCCAATATGGCCTCGATTTTGTATATAATGGTGGAAGTGATCGTCCAGCCTATGGCTTTTGCTGTTCTATATGTTACATGACCTGTAGTTGCTACAGGGGCAAAGCCGCCGAAATGTTCCCTTTGGTGATGCTCGGCATTTTGGCCGAAGCTCTGACCGTTGCTGCATCACCAGCTCGGCAAGAAGACCTCTCAACCTACGTGAATCCCTTCATTGGCACGGCGGGTCCCGATGGAACTGGCGCAAATTCTGGTGATACATTCCCCGGTGTCTCTGTGCCTTTTGGGGTCGTGAAGATTGGCCCAGACACTACGGAGATGAACCCAAGCACAAATGCCTTTGCTGGATACACGCCTGATGGAAATGGTACCTATACATCTGTATACTTCTCCCGTTTAACGATCAAGCTGACGGATGAGATTGGTAGTCACTGCATTTACCTGTTTTCATGAGTGTGGCATTGGAGGGGCCTCAAAGTACGGCGTTGTCGGACACATGCCGCTCACAACTATCTCCGGTATCAATGTCCTTGACAATGCTACGTACCAGCAGCCTCGCTTGGCGATGGACAGAGCCTCTGTTGGCTACTACCGGTCTGATTTGGCCAACGGCGTAACGGTAGAGCTCACTGCCTCCAATCATGCGGGATTCATTCAGTACACGTATCCCAAGGACACTGAGCGTATCGTCCTCTTCGATGTGTCGCATAACTTGCCATCTTTGGCCGAGTTTGTCAAGTCGCAATCATACAGCAATGGTCAGATTGAGGTCAAGAAGAAAGGCCAGAGAGTACAGGGCTGGGGGGTTTGGAGAGGCGGCTGGGGAGGCACTGGCATCAATTGGGGAGTCGGTGAGTAAACACCAGGCCAATAAATTTGTCCATCGTGCTCATCATGTTATTGCCAGGATCTGATTACAAGATCTACTTCTGCAACGACTTCGATTCCACCCCCTCAACCTGGCAATACTTTTCCGGGCCGTGGAATGCTCCAGACAACCCTCCTAGCCCTTCTACGCCAGTGACCTGGGGCAACGCATCTACAAATCCACATGGAGTCCAAGGCGGAGCCGATGGTGATGAAGCTGGCAATAGAGTTGGCGCCTTATTCACGTTTCCATCCAAGACAGCGGTTGTCAAGTCCAAGATTGGAGTCTCGTTCCTCTCCGTGGAGAAGGCCTGCTCGTTTCAGAGCGAGATCTCATCCTGGACACTGAACAAGACTGTCGAGGCAACCAAGAAGCTGTGGAATGAGGAGGTTTTCAGCAAAATCTCGATTCAAGAACCCGCCAAAAACGAGTCACGGTTGACCCTCTTTTACTCTGCGTTGTATCGCATGCACCAGATGCCGTCTGACAGGACGGGAGAGAATCCAGACTGGACTTCCAACGAACCATACTATGACGACTACTACACCCTTTGGGATACGTTTCGTTGTCTCAACAGCTTCTATCTTCTGGTGCAGCCCCAGCGAGGCATCGACATGATTCGTTCACTCATTGACATATGGAGGCACGTCGGCTTCATGCCAGACGGTCGCAGTGGCAATCACAATGGCAAAGTGCAAGGCGGTAGTAATGCTGACAATGTCTTGGCCGATGCGTATGTAAAGGGCTATACGGGGGGCATCAACTGGAAAGATGGCTACAAGGCTGTATGGACCGATGCAGAAGTCGTTCCGCCGCCTAACAATGACCCAGAAGATGCAACCTGTACGGATAATCAAGGTCGATGTGGACTTCCCGATTGGATCAAGCTCGGCTATGTGTCGACAACTTTCTCATCGAGTATTAGTCGCACGGTTGAATACTCCCTCAATGACTTCGCGGTGAGTCAAATAGCAAAGGGCATCGCGCCTCATGACTATCAGAAGTATTTGAACAGATCGAGGTAAGCAGATATCTCGAGCAAGAGGTTACATCAACGGCCTGTCCACTGACAAAGTGTTCGAAGCAACTGGAAAAATCTCTGGAATCCGGCGATCAACCAGTATGGCACGTCCGGGTTCCTCGGTCCTCGCAGCCCCGATGGAACGAAGATCACTATTGGTCCACAAAACACGTCTTTTACGACCGAAGGACTGCCTTGGGGTATACGACGAGTCCTTCTTTTCCCTCGGAAGATAACTGACGTAGTTTATAGAGTACACGTGGACCATACCATTTGACATGCAAGGGCTGATTGAACACATGGGCGGTATCGAAGCGACTGAAAAACGACTTGACCTCATGTTTGTCCCTAATCTCCGAACAGTGGACTTGGGGGTGGGAGTTGGATCAGGAACAACACTTTTCAATCCCGGTACGCATACAAGTCATTTTATCTGATTCCGGGACTAAGCACTCATATTTTTCTAGGCAATGAACCCAGCTTTGGCACTCCCTTCTTGTACAATTACTTGCCAGGTCGCCAATGGAAAGCCGTGAACCAGTCTCATATCAATATTGACGGGAATTACTTTACTGGAGCAAACGGTCTTCCTGGGAACAGTGACGCCGGCGCTATGGACAGCTGGATGCTATGGCAGATGCTGGGTCTGTACCCGGTGGTCACCCAGCCGGTGTATTTGATCCTCGCGCCGTGGTTTGAAGATATTTCTGTTTCCGTCGGCGGTTCACATACTTTGCGTATCAAGGCACAGGGACTGTCCAACGACAGCTTCTTTGTTCAGAGCTTGAAGGTGAACGGAAAGCCCTGGAACAAGAGCTGGCTGGAGCATAGCGACATTGCAAAGGGCGGGCTTTTGGAGTTTGTCCTGGGGCCTGAGCCCAAGGAGTGGGATACTGGGGATGTTCCACCAAGCCCAGGGCATCAGTAGTGTGTGTTAGCCTCCGTAGTAGTTACATGCACGATTCATAGCGACCTTCCAGACATGATCGGTGAAGCAATACTGCCAGTGGAGAGAGGTGGCAAGTTGAAGTCATCCATGATAGCTTACAGAGCCGTCAGTGGACGAGTCTTCAAGAGACGGTAGATCAGTTCGGGCTGTAGATCCTGACGCTACGTGTATCAAGACGGCCGTTTTTCGTTGAAGTGAAGTTTCCCTTCGCCCATGCTTAAGCATTATGCTTCTAGGAGACGAGTGCATGCGGCATCTATGATCTTCAACGCAGGCGACCATTTGTGAAGATGTAAAGTGGGGGAATAATCCGACAAATACGGCGCCATGTAGCAAGAAGATCGCGCGATGCCCAAATGTCCTCAAATGTCAATCAATGCTACTGATGTAGTGAGTCCAAAGAAGACATGTTCTGATTGTGTATACTAAGTGTTCGTCAATCAAGGGGCTAATTCGTACCCCTCAGTTCCCTCGTCTTCTCTCTTGATCAACGGCCGAAGAGTTTCGAACACAACGCCTTCCATCGCTCGCACATTCAAAGGCTGCATGGCCATATTCTTGTGATAGACCGCCAACGCCCTCTCTTTCCTCTCTGGGGGAAGTTTGTCGAAGACGCTTATAGGGGGGCCATAAACATTGCTAAACACATGGACACCGCAAGTTTTACAGAACGTTGATCCGGTGAACTTGCCTCCCGTGAGGTATTCAAAGACTCGATCTCGACCATAGATTGTCACGTTGTCTTTGGTCGGATAAATACCAATATAGGCCGTCTAGACAGAAACGATTGTTAGCGAAGCGCACCATCTGAATACTTTAAGGTATGAGCTCGATATTTGACCGACTTACTCTGACACATTTACTGCAGTTGTCTTCTTTCAGCTCTTCGTCCTCCGGTGGACCTAGCAGAGCGGCCCGAACATCACCACAATGACATGAAAACAGAGCTTTTTCGGGTGCCTCGCCAGGTTCACGCGATAGTGCTTCGATCGATCTGGTATCGCCTTCGGCCTCAATGACACTCAAAGCAGGTCTGCGGCATGCCTTAGTATGGTTTTTTTCGCAAAAGCTCTTATAGCAATGGACTCACTCAAGATTGAATGGGTTGACGTATGGTACTCGCAGAGTTCGGATATTAACCAAGAACTTGTCTTTCAAAAGCCCTGTGAGGTGCTCGCCTTCAACTCCACTGCCGCAGTAGCCACAAAACTACATCGCCCATGAGCACTCGATCAGATACCGACACCGTATCTAGGATGATTGAGGGAGAATCAAGTGTAGATGACCTACCCTATCTCTCATGGTAGACGTTCGATACTCCACAAGGCAGCCTTCATCTTTCACAACTGTAAACGAGCCCTCTGCCGGAATAAGCCACAAGTATCCCTTCTTCACGCAGAGGCTACAAGCGCAAGAGATTGCCGATACAATCTCTGGCGTTGAGACTTGGAAGCGATAACGGCCACAATGGCAGTTGCCATGATACACAACATTGTTCTCGGTAGACATGATGTCGGTGTCAGTCTGCGAACAATCCACGGTGAGTTCCTGTAAACGAAGACATTTCGAGAGGGGTAAATCGTGAGGTGTTAAGAGATTGGAGCTTAATTTTGCGACTAGGACACGATAGGAATCCAACGAGCAGTAAACTGATCCTTCGGGAACCCCTTAATAAGTAGGAGCGGGAACATGGCAGCCGGGGAACTATCCTGGCATTTCTCTAACATGATAACGAGTTCGCGATGATGAATCACCCCAAGAATGATAGCCCCGGAAGACTTGGAGTGGCGCGCTGGTGTTCATTCCCCCATGACTAAAGTGAGGGTGGGGGGTTGGCTTCTCCGCACAACGGAGCAATTCGCCTCGAGTCTCTATTTATCTTGATAAGTCCTCCAACTCAACCACAGCCGAGTTCTCTCATCAAATTCATCCGAGCGCATCGAATCTACCGTGTTATATGAGCTGCATGCCGGTATTCAGCCATGGCGACTGATATTCTTTTCGAATCACCAACCGTCATCACCGGCGATGAGTCCGCTGAGCCGTTTGTTGCCGACGTGTTGGTCTCGGGAGGCCTAATAGCCAAGATTGGGGCTCCGGGCTCAATAAACGTTCCCTCGACTGCTCGCCGGATCAGCGCAAAGGGTCATGTTCTTTCCCCGGGGTTCATCGACATGCACGCGCATTCCGATCTCTACCTTCTCACACATCCAGAGCATGAAGCAAAAATAACCCAAGGGTGCACGGTAGGATGATTCCCACAGGAGCTGGATGGTGTAACCCCCCAACCCTGATTGCCCCCACGGAGAGGGACGGAGCTCCGATGCTTCCATTGTGACCGGGACCCATTTTATGGGATCTATTCTCGGTGCTCCCTTTGCAAAGGCGTTGAAGATGCGAGTCATCAGTGTTTGAAGCCTGTGCTGATTCTGATTCAATACGACAGACTGAGGTTGTTGGTCAAGATGGCATCTCTTACTCACCAATCCGCAACCTCGACCAACTGAGAGCTATTCGAGAGCAAATTGCTGGCTGGAACGGCAATCCGACTGATGAGGAGTGTCGTACAACACTCAACGGCGTCGGCATGTTCGAATGGAAAACTGTGGGCGAGTACCTGGACTGCTTGGAGCGGAACAAAACAGCGACAAATGTCGCCACGCTGGTGCCGCAGGGCAATCTGAGGTTACTCGCATGTGGTCCGTATGATACGCCTGCATCACCCGAGGAGATTCAGGATCAAATCCAGCTCTTACGAGACGCAATGGCCCAGGGCGCCGTCGGCATGTCCAGGTAGCTATCATTTTACGCACCATGGGAGATGAGGAGGCACCCCTTCTGACTGTCATTAGTGGTCTCACTTATACCCCGGGCATGTACGCCTCAACGTCTGAGCTGGCTTCACTCTGCGAAGCACTAGCGAAGGAGTTCCCGGGAGCTTTTTACGCGCCACACCACCGCAGCTATGGATTCCAGGCCATTGAAAGCTACGCTGAGATGCTGGGACTGGGCGAGTCAACAGGCTGTCCCATCCGTACGTCTCCCTCGTTCTCTTGCTGCTTAGATGAGCGAAAGTGCTCAAGCTGATTGACTTAGACCTTACGCACGCAACTCTCAACTTTTCGGAGAACAAAGGCAAAGCTCCGGTCCTGATATCCATGATCGACAAGTCCCTCGAAAAAGGGATCGACGTAACGCTCGACACGTACCCCTATCTCCCCGGTTGCACAACTCTCGCTGCTCTTCTACCCAGTTGGGCGTCATCGGGCGGCCCGTCAGAAACGCTCAAGCGGCTAGAAGACGTAGAAACCAGAGATAAGATCCGCGAAGCCGTTGAAGTGACTGGGTGCGATGGCGGCCACGGAATTCCGACAAACTGGGAAGAGATCCAGGTCGGAGCCACCAGCGAGCCGTCTCTGGCATCTTATTCCGGGCGCAGAGTGGCCGAGATTGCCCAGTCGCTAGGAAAGCCGGCGATCGAAGTGTTCTTTGAGCTGTTGCAGAAGGACAAGCTCGCGACGAGCATCATCATGCATGTTGGTAACGAAGAGAATGTGCAGCAGATTATGCAGCATCGCGTGCACATGGCGGGCAGCGATGCAATTCTGCATGGCAAGACGCTTCACCCGCGAGCATACGGAACGTTTCCTCGGTATCTTGGTGAGTCTTATACATTCTTTTGCCTAATACTTCATTCGGTACGTATTCAAGCTAAATGTTGTGCGGTAGGCCATTACTCGCGTGATCTGTCTCTTATCCCCCTCCCCGCCATGATCGCCCATCTCACCTCTCGTCCAGCCAAGCGACTCTCTGTGTACCCTTTCCGGGGCCTTATAGCTGAAGGTTCGGCTGCTGACCTGGTGCTTTTCGATCCGGAGGCTGTCAAAGACATGGCAACGTACGAAGAGCCCAAGCTTCCAAGCCGGGGCATCAGATACGTCCTGGTGAACGGTCATGTGGCACTGGAAGAGGGTAAGATGACCGGCGCACGAGGAGGTAAGACGCTGAGAAGAGGCAAAGACGGAAAGGTAAAGGCCAGAGACGAGTGAATGCTACAGTAGGGTATCTGAAGACGATTACATGAACATAGGGGAACGGTGTAACATGGTTCATAAAGTGTGGAACACTCGATTCTTGGCGCATGTCGTTTCATCGAGTTAGTTACATACGAGTACATCTGCAGCTCGCTTATGAGACGTGAAATCTAAAACTAAGATCTTGTAGGGGCTGTCCAATCGTCAGCCTCAGCGGCTTTCATCGTGCGGGTTTCAGACGAGTTCATCGAATATCATACGGCGCACGAGCCACGCATCGTCATCTGCATCTCGATCCCAAATTCTACCTCCGAACTGACCACCGCCACTCCATCCTTGCAGTCTATTCACTCACTCTCATCTACTGCCGTGTAGGATCCACGATGGAGCTCACGCAAACTCCCCGTCCTGTCTAGCCCTCGATACCGTTGATTTCCCCCCCAAGTAATAATCCCAACGGACATCAGAAACTCCATCCGCTCCGCTTGAGGGCCTTTTGTCATGCTCGATCTCCTTCCTTGGGTTTAGGGCTCTCGACTGGTCCCGTCCTAGTTCATAGTCCCGTCACTTTTAGCTGGTTTTTGAGGAGAAACTTGCCAAGCTCCATGTTGGTCGGCAGTCACACACGTTGCAAGCCAGCCGCTAGGTATATCTACGGGTCACTTGATTGGCTGACAAGTTTGCACGGGCTGTCACGAAATAGAGCCCAAAAGCCGTGTTTGTTGGTTCTCAAGTGCTGTCTGGTATCTCCTCCGTAAGGCTGATTAAGTCGCCCCCCCGCGTGGCGGTTCTCAGCACAACGGATTGAACTGCAACATTGAGGGGAGCTATTTTTATCCATCGTTGTTCCTGATTCCGTACTAAATGAGTATAGACCGTGATTCGGGACCGAAGCGTTTCAACGAGTCGGTCATGGCGAAGCTGGGAAGCGAGTCGCTACAATCGTTCCTATTGTCAAGCTTAAAGCACCTCGCTTTACCTAGTTAGTTTTCGATTTTCATTATAAATACCAGCATCTTTGTCAATTTGCTCTCATCTGAACCCCATGCCCTTTGTGGATTCGACCCGAACATAGTGAGCAGGCGATCTTATCCTTCACATTAGCCATCTACGCCAGTCAGCACTATCCGACTCGCGAGTCTAAGATCTCATCAAGCTTCTTGCCGCTACTGGCGTATGTGGAAATTTACAACTACGAGCAAGAGGAGACTGGAAAGCAATTCTTCCGCTGAAAGCCGGGTTTGCGGTCCGTTGCCCGCGAAACGCACCGATCTGCTTCCAGTATCAAGATCTTGATAAGCTGATATCACGCCAGCGGAACGCAACTCCCAGAGATATTGGCACAATACCTGAAGATACCCTTTTCTTTACTTAAGTCATAGCATTTGGTTACTCTTCCTCTCGGCCTTGTTCAAGTAACTTCGTCACCATGCCTTCTTCATCTCTCCCCTTCCGCCGACGCGATCCAGTTGCAGAGGCAACTCAAGCTCTCAGCTTCGACGACATCATGTTTCCCAAGATCTACGAAGAAGCCTGGGGTGCTTCCAATGGAAACATCGCAGATGATCGATCCGAGTTTGATCGGGCGCGCATCTTCCTCTTGCGCATGGCCAACATGACGCCGGACCCCAAGATCATCGACGAGTTGCGTACCATTGTCGCAAACCCACAGAACAAAACCATACAAGCTCTCGCTATGGCCATCCAGCACAGGATATTCGGGGACTCGCATGGCTCGTTTGCTACAACGCCGCTGATGCAGGCTGTGCGTTTCATGCTGATCAAGGCCCGCGTGCCAGAACTCATTCTGTCGGACAGAACAAGGTCTGTTGTCGACTTCTTCTTTGATCCGACGCTGGAGAGGAACCTCAATGCTCCACCCACAGGAGACGTATCCGTCTACAAGTATCCAGCAGGGAGGCTGAAGGTTGCCATTGTAGGGGGCGGTCCCACGGCTCTGGCATCCGCCATCGCGATTGCAGAGAAAGGCGCCGGCAGTGTCGAGGTTCATATGTACGAAAAGCGCTGGGTTCAAAAAGTTCTTCCCAACGGCAGCGTCATCGTCGCTTACCCTCCTTCTGCCAAACGAAGAGACCAAGTCGTCACTCTACAAGACTCAGTCACACGACTCCTCAGCAAGCCGTCGTTCCAAGCCCTCTTCGCCGGCAGACCAGAACGGGTGTGGCCTGGCTCAGCCAACATTCAGATCCGAAAAGTCGAAGATCGGTTCCTCAAGCGCGTGCAAGACCCAGAGTTCCAAGGGCTTATATATCTGCACTGTGAGGGAGTCACGAGAGAGGACCTCGCCAAGGTCGGCGACTTTCATGTCCTTCTTGGAGCTGATGGTGCTGCCTCCTGGGTGCGACAATCGTATTTCCAGGGTTATGAGAATGAGCGTGGGAGAAGCTATGCGCTAGGCTTGGCATTTGATCGACCTACGGGTTTGCCGTGGTCACAGCCTCTCAACGTCTTCTTGACACTCGGACAAACCCGATACCTGTTGAATGCGAGCGATCACGATGGCCGAGGATACCTGAACATGCAGCTCACTGAGGAGGAATGGCATAAGATGGTGTCAGTCGACGGTCAGCCCGTTCATTTTGGTAGGCCTGGATGCTTCAGAAAGCCGGACGGGAGTGTTCCCGAAGGCTTTGAACCGAGCCAGATCTTCGCACCATCCGAAGACAGGGGCAGTCCCCTTTGGGTGTCAATCTCGGATGGTCTCAAGCTGTTTGGGTTTAAGGAAGAGGAAGTCATCAATGTGGTGCGCATCCCCATTGTCGTCCAAGCGGTAAGAGAAGGCGTGCAGATGCTCCCACCACAAGACTCCATCAACGTCAAGCGGCCCCATGCCCTCGTTGCGGTAGCCGGCGATGCAGCAATGACGGTGCATTTCTGGCCCGGGCGCGGACTCAACAGCGGCATCAAGGCCGGCCTGGCTCTGGGAGATGAGCTCGTGCACGCCCTGAACAACGGCAAGTTCATCGGCATGCCCATCGACGCGCTCAAAGAATACAACGACTTCATTCTCAAGCTTCAAGGCAGAGAACACGACAAGCGAAGCATCCCTATCCTCAACCAGTCCGGCTCCCCCGAGATGCTCGGCTGGCTCCTGCAAAAAGCCAACAGCGTGCCTGACCAAGTGGCCATCGAATGGCTCATAGGCGCCATGACCCAAATCGCAGATCGGCTGCAGCGGAGAGACGACTGGGCGTACGATTTTGTCGAAAATGTCGAGCCTCAACTGCGCATTGTGCTGCGGCAGCTCGATGCAGTGACGCTGAAGGAGATGGCCGTAAGCTTCCCATGGCCCACAAGGGAAATGGCGGGAGCTGAAGTCTTGCCCATCCGGTCCATGAAGGCTGAGGAGAAGCAGAAGTGGCTCAACAACCTCTGGGGCCTTCTGCGTGATGAAAGTAAAGAATCTCGCGCTCCTGCGCCTCAGGAACGAGATCGATCTCCTTCAGCAGCCAGATTCGAAGCTCCTAAGGGCGGTAAAGCCAGACCCGTATCTCTTATGCCGCCGAGTACGAATAATGTTCCCAATGGAGTTGGGACAGCAAGCCTGAGGAGGAGCAACGCCACCCAAAGTGTGAGACACAGCAGGAATCTTTCGGTGCCTGGAGAGGGAGCATCGAGAGCTCGATCACCATCGCCAGGAGGCGAAGTTAGCATCAGCAGGATGTTAACGGTTCATAAGAAGCCCCCGACTTCTGTTTTGGGGGATGCATTGTCTCTCGCTTTGTTCCGTGTGGAGGATTAGTAGGCAGCTTTCAAGTCTAGTGTCGATGTCTTGTAACTTTTTGTTTTTAGCGATTGCTTCATATACAAACGATGCCTTATACTTCAAGTTGTCGTACCAGTGAGTTATTTGAGGGCGCCTACCATCACCATTGGCATATAGCCCTCCAAGTCGCAAGTGAAGCCCCAATCCGTGGCGTCGAAGCAATTCCCGGAAGCCTCGGAGACACTGTTTATGCACGGATCGGCCCGGCCAACGTGTCAACCTGTAAACGAGAAGCTAATCTGGCATATCTGACGAGATCTCGCGGTGGCGCGATTTCGGCAATCTAGCTGCTAGGCTGCTTCAAAATCACATCATGTCCGCAAAAGTCAAGCGATTGGCAATTTTGACGCAGTTCTTGGCCCGCCGATGCTTCGTGCTGGGACGTAGGACCTATTAAGAACTTCTAACCGACATATACGCCCCAGCTCAACATTGCGCAGAGACACTATGCAGCTGTACGATCACGAGACTCGATCCTCGTCGTGGATGATGGCAGACAGGCCTTGTTGACGCATCGCCAGAAGATCGTGGGGTATTAGGCCATGTCACATCGCACCGAGGATATACCGTCACACCGATCTCGGATTTCATCAAAACTGCAAGCAGATAGTACAGCTACCCTCTCTATTTGAGATCTACATTATTTACTGGCCTTTAGACCCTTTGAGCTCCTCCTCATGGTATGTGGGGATGGAGTCAGACTTGCCCATGCCCAGCTGGTTGGTGTCCCAGCCGTGGCTCTCGAGATACTCGCGGAACCTGGCGTCCTCCTCGACAATGGTGTCCTGGCCAACGTTGGGGAGGCAGAAGAAGGCAATGGCAGCAGACAGCAGGCACAGCGAAGAGGCGACCCAGAAAGGGTACTGCGCAACCTTGGTGGGGTCGTCACCACCGGCCTTTTCGATGTAGGGGAAGACCCAGGTGCCGACGAAGGCACCAATCTTGCCAATGGCGGCGGCAATGCCGTAGTAGCGGCCACGGACACCAGTGGCGCAGGTCTTGGCGGCCAGGAGACCGATGTTGTTGCCAGGGCCGAGCTCACCAAGACTCAGGAAGATGCCGTAAACGACAGCGAAGGCGGCGATGTGGGTGGAAATCTTGGCGTAGACACCGGCCATAATGTAGCCGACAATGGCTTGCAGAGAGACACCGATGATGAGGGTGTACTTGGGGCCGATCAGGTCACTGACAAAGGCACCGATCATGGTGCCAGGAATGTAAAACAGGTTGATAACGGTATTCCAGCCAAAGATGGTGGTGAGAGGAGCGGAGTCGGAGTAGATGCCAGCCAGGATAGATGAAGAGTAGATGCCGAAAGCATACGTGGAGAACTGAGGGTACGTTAGGAATCAAAAATCGTGGGGATGAATGTTTGGGCAATACTGACATCGTACAGGAACCAGATGATGCTGACAGCGAGCAGCCGGAAGCCGTAGTAACGGAAGACGAGCAGATAGGGAGTCTTGCGTCGCATGGAGTTCTTGGAGAACTCCTCGGGCTCCTCGAGCCTGAGACGGAGAACAAAGAGAATCAGGGGGAAAACGACACCGATTCCGAGCGAGGTCCGCCAGATGGTGCTCAGGTGCCCATTGTGGGTGGCAGCGGCGACAACGTCTGGCGTGAAAGCGTGAGCAGCCAATATCAGTGACAGAAAACAACAGGAGACTTACAGGGAACAAAGGCGCCGATGACAAAACCCCAGTCAATCATCGTGTTCGTGAAGAGGATGAACCAGCGGTTGCGGGTGCCAGACTTGAGCTCGCTGCTCGTCTCGGCACAGCCAACACTACCAGCGGGATACTCGCCTGGAAGGAGTCAGTTATAGTGCACTTTTGGGAGGAGATTATAATTGATGCAGCGAACCTCCAATGCCGATACCGACAAAGAATCGCCAGGCGGTCAGCATATTGAACATGCCAACAGCATCGCCATGGTAGTAGGAGCCAGCGGCCAAGGCAGTAAAGACAACGAGGATAACGGTGGACACGAGCAGCGAGTTGTTGCGAGACCAGCGGTCGGCCAGGAAGCCAAACAGCAGCTGTCCAACCACGGTGCCAGCAAAGGCAATGTCGGACACGTACTTGCTGGCGTTGCTCGAGGTGTAGACGGTGCCGTACTGAAGCTTGAGGACCGTGTTGACCGAGCCGATGACGTTGTTGACGTAGCCGTCGGAGAAGAGACCGGCACCGCAGGCAAAGACGGGCAAAGCAGCCTGGAAGAAGCTCTTGCGGGGAGCGGCCATCTCAATGGCGGGCTCCATCGTGAATGGCAGAGGACTTCCGAGTCAACAGACAAGAGGAGGACGGTTGGCTGTTCACAACTCGGCTCGGCAACGGGGCGAGGACGAGGACGAAGACGAGGACGAAGACGTTGGCCGCTGGTGACGGAACAGAGGAGCACGTCGAAGGAAGGGGTAGCAGCGGCTATTCATATCGATTTGCTCACCGGGATTCGTGCCACAAGATTGTCCCTGCACTTGGTCGTACGCCAAGTCTCGGACTCCAGCCTTCTTCCACCCCCCAGCATGCGCTAGTCTGCAGCAACCTACGCAAAGTGGTATCGAAGCTGCTAGCACTCAAGCGCACTAAAACCAACAAAACCCATGGCGAAGAGGCCTGCCCGTCAACTCGAGCGGCAGGACGCTAACTGGTCATGGTAGCTGTGATCCGAACACTTTGGAGTCCCCATGCCCCCACCCGAGGATCAAAGGTCGACAAGGGCCAGGATAAACCCACCCGAACGGCCTCATTTGGCAATGCGAAGAAGAATGGCCGTGTAAAGGCAAGACCATGTGCGCAATGCTGGGATTCCCAGTGGCTGGGCTGGGGAAAAGAGGGCCGTGGGGATGGTGGGTTCATTCCATGTCTTTCTACACCGGGGGCTTCCGCGATATTGTCTCTTTTTCTCTGCCTCTGGGCGGTTTCGTCCTTCTTCTAGGCACGACGAGATGCGTCCCCAAGGCCCTTATTCAGATGGCCGGAGTTGGCAGTTGATCTCATGCCCATTCTGTCGGCTCGCGTTTGCCGGCCTTGGCGGCTTTGGGCTTCGGCGACATGTAGTACCTGCACCTACGCGGGCTAGCGCTGGTAGCAGCATGTACATGCCGTCCTTACCTATCAGCGGACGTACTATCAAAAGTACAGGCGAAGATCCTGGCCATCGCTGCCATCGAGTTAGTAGTAGTGCTCGTACATACATATTACGTTGCATGATCTTGAAAATCATGCACGTATTCCCGCCAAATGCAGACGCACTCCGTATGTACTGCATATGTGAAGCGTTAGACAGCGGCTTGGGCGGCCAACGAAAAGGTTTGTTCAGAAATTGTATGTGGCGCAAAGCCGAACGAAGGCGGCTGTCTGGAGCCAAACAAGAGTGCAAAACTTCTCATCAACACCCAGCCCCCGTCCTCGACCCGCACATCTCGACCACGTTGACGGCAGCATCCCACTCATTCTGCCCATCAGCCGCAGACTGCTTCAGATAAACGAGTTTCAACCGGCCTGATAGTGCCACAACTCATATCGATGGCGCTCCCGTTCCGGCGCCGTCACGCACACGGGTGGCCAGATCGTGGCGCCGGCTGAGAGGCTGTTTGCGGCTGAGGACTCGGACAGGCCGCCCGAAAGGACGCTGTCACGGTTGTCAAGGCGCCGAAAACGTCGACCGAGCGGCCGCAGGAGGGTGAAGCTGTAGACAGGCGCAATGCACGTGGAGGGACTGAGTCGCTGGTTGTTGAAGCAAGATGGGTCGGAGTGGCCGATGTCAGCGCTATCAGGACGCTCTTGGCCGGGCTTGACAGGGACCGTCACCACACCAACATGAAGCCAACCAGGCCTGAGGTAGAGCGCTACTTCGGTGGTTTATAGCGGCTGCTGGGCGCACTATCGCGAGCCCACTCACAGGCTCAGCGCCGGTGTGATGCTATGGAGCAATTGAAGGTAATGTGGAGGTAGCCCACCTTGCCACAAAGTCCCAACGGTCATGATCAGCATGTGACAGGCCGCCGGCATGTTGGTTCCGGAACTCTGCACCCGTGCTCGTAGGTGTAGGTGTTTTGCGGTGCGGTAGTCGTATAAAGAAGAAGGATCTTCCAATGAAAGACGGCGGATGCGAAACGTTGTCAGTCGAAGCAGACATGAGAAACAACAACAGGAAACACGAGCAGATTGCGGCAGGCCACCTTGAAGCTGAAAATGCATGCGACTCTGCAGCGAGACTTGGATGGACAGGGATGACGGCGCCGGTGGGTCGGAGAAACGTGCCACCGGGCTGCAGTGAGCCGTTATCGCGTCTTGGCCTTGTTGTACCCAAGTACCTTGAGCTGCCGAGGCGTTTTGATGAGTGACATCCTCTACTAGTAGTACCTTATGTCTCAAGGCTGCTTAACCAAGACTCGGTTAAGGTAGAGAGCAATTTGGGCCTTTATCTACTTCTTCGGCGAATAAAAGGAGGTAAAGACGCATATAGCGCGATCTTTCCAACGATGAGATTCCTGCGAAAAAGCCATGTCGAAGCCTCTGGGCTGCACATGGACAGCACATGGCGTGAGGATGGCCACAACAGCGAGCCATGTGCCAACGGTCAAGCCTGTGCCTGGCACGTTGTGGGTATCTGCTAACGAAGGACTTGTAGTCCCACCCGTTCTCAGTACATTACTCAAGTCCTTCTCAAACGCAGCCAAGGCACCACCATCAGCCGCGAGTTCCTTTCACGTTGAAGTGGACCAGCGGCCTTTGATGCTTCACTCGCTCTCCAACCAGCCGCCAGACCATTTCGTACCTTGTCCACTCCCTCCTCTACCTACAGTGCATACCATACGCATACCTATACCGACGACGCATCATTAGCTCATCCTGTCACCTCTCCGTTGATCCACACGCTGCCGCTCTAGCGCCTCGAAACCGAGAGCTATGAAGCTCACCTAGATCCGACGACGCTCCTCTGATCCTTCGCCATGCCTGGCGCATCATCACCAGCATCACCGAATCCTGCCTTGAGTGTTAGTATCTATTCCATCCAGCCTCGCCCTCTCCTCTCTTCCCGTCCTCGCGCTTGTCACGACGCACCAGGGCAGCACATACTGCTGCCTACTCGCCTCTTCGTTGTCTAGTCCAATCACGCGTCATGCTTCCCACGCACAGACTGGGCTGAGCTGACCTTGGTTTCCCTCTCCGATGCCGTTAGACCAACACCAACCCCAACACCAGCCATGACGCCGTGACATCGGGGTCGAGCCAAGAGCCAGGCAAGGGCGGCTGCTTGAACCGGTTCCTCGCCCTCCTCCACGCATCGCTCGGCCGCCGTCTCGACGCCATGAGTAGCTCTGCAAAGACCGACCTGCTGCGCTTTATCCGCTGGCTCGACTCGCCGCTGGGCCACGGCGTGCTGAAATGCACCCTCGCCTACACCATCGCCAGTCTCGCGACCTTCCTCACGCCGCTGTCCAACTTCCTTGGCACGCTCGACGGCAAGCATGTCGTCGCCACAATCACCGTCTACTTCCACCCGGCGCGGTCGACCGGGTCCATGATTGAGGCCGTGCTTATCGCCGTCGTCGCCATCGCCTACGCTGAGCTTGTGTCCATCCTCTCCATGGTCGTCTCGGTCATGGTTGGTTCTGTCCTGGGCCTCGTCACCTTGGCGCATGTGCTGGTCGTTGTCATCTTCATCGGCGGCGGCTTTGGCTTCATGGGATGGGTCAAGCAGAAGATGGCAAACCCCCTCGTCAACGTCGGCAGTACGCTGGCGTCGCTGGCCATCATCTCCGTAGTTACCAAGGAGAACGCCGTCATATCGAATGTCTTCTCCAATCAGAAGATTGTCCAAGTCTTCAAGATGCTCATCATGGGAATCACGTCCACGGCTGCCGTCAACGTGCTGGTCTGGAGAGTTTCGGCGCGCCATCTGCTGAGGACCTCCATGGCAAAAGCGACCGCGTCGCTTGGAGGCATGCTCTCCGCCATCTCGGCGAGTTTCCTCAAGGGTGTGGAGGAGGAGCAGATGTCAGCAGACTTCACCGCTTCTTCGGCCACTTACAATGTCACCTACCCGCAAATGCTCAAGAACTTGCGTGAGGCCAAGTTCGAAGACTATTTTCTTGGCAGAGAAAGGATTTACATGTTCGAGAGATCCACCGTCAAGGCGATTGAGACCCTCGCTCGCTCCATAGGTGGCTTGCGCAGCGCGGCTAATACCCAGCTGTCCCTCCTGAGGCTGGCTGAGTCTGACCGAGCACCAGCGGCCTTGACCCGATTTCTGACGATATCATCGCTTGGGGATTTTGAAGGCATATCGCCTGGCAGTTCGAGCCCGAGAAGACCTCTCCAGGTGGTGAGCAGACCCGGTTCTCCAGGACAGCCGCCTGATACATCGACCTCTGATGACGCAGATGGCGGTAGCGATGATTACGGTCCTACGCCCTCATCTCTCTTCAAGTTGTTTGTGGATTTGATGGGTCCGTCGATGGAGGCTCTCACGCAAAGCCTTGTCGCGATCCTCCGAGAGCCGCCATTGGGAACCGCCCCCAAGGATGAGGTTACCATCAGCGATGAGCTTCGCCAACCGCTCACCGAGGCTCTTTCCCAGTTTAACGAGGCAAGAGCCGACGCCCTGCAGAAGATGTACACGATGATTGAGCGAGAAAACTCCACGTCGAGGCGAATACAGGCCGGCTTGGAGGAGGTTGCCGCAGCGTGTGGGCACTTCAGCTTCAGCTTGCAGACATTCGGCGAGGAAATGCAAAAGTATCTCGATGTCCTTGACGACCTAAAGTATGTCAGCGACCATAGCAAGCGAAGCTGGCGCTGGGTCCTGTGGTGGAGGAAAGACGATGTCGCCGCGGAGGGCCGCAAGTTGTCTACGTTGCCCTTTGAATCGTCAGCCGAAGCCGAGAGCCTCATCAAGCCCATCAGAAAGCGTGATGTGCCCAGAGGTATCCCGGATTCCATGGTTCGTCGCAGGGATACATACAACTGGCAAGCAGCTCCCAACTCGAGCAAAATACTTTCCACAATCTCCCAGTCCATCCTGAAATTTGCCAGAAAGATTGCCCGAGACGACAGTAAGCAATCAATGATGATTTATATGCTGAGCTCTGTGCTGTAACCGAGACTGCTAACCACTTACTTCTATGTCTTGAATAGTACTCTTTGGAATCAAAGTAGGCATAGGCGCTTCTCTTTGGGCAATGCTTGCCTTTATAGAGGCGACGAGAGATTTTTACAACCACTACCGCGGCGAATGGGGGCTCTTGTCGTTCATGATTGTCTGCTCCATGACTGTTGGCGCTTCCAATACTACGGGTTGGGCCCGATTCATGGGCACATTTTTCGGTGCCGTCTTTTCCTTGTTCAACTGGACCGTGAGCCAGGGCAACGCCGTCGCGCTCATCTTCCTTGGCTGGCTGGTGAGCTTCTGGAACTTTTACCTCATTGTGGCCCGAGGCAAAGCACCTCTGGGTCGCATGACAATACTGGCGTACAATGTGTCGACGCTGTACGCATACAGCTTGAGCCAGCGCGTTGACGATGACGACGATGACGAGGGCGGGATACACCCCATCATGATGAAGATTGTAAAGCATCGAGTGATATCGGTCACGGCCGGTATTCTCTGGGGCCTGATTGTATGCCGGGTCATCTGGCCCATTTCGGCCCGCAGAAAGTTCAAGGAGGGCGTCTCGATGCTGTACCTTCAGATGGGCCTCATCTGGAGGCGAGGGCCTCTCGCCATCCTGCTTCGCAGCGACTGTTCCGAGAGCTACCTAAAATCCGGGGAGCAGGTTGCCATGCAGCGATATGCCAACCGCCTGGAGAGTCTCCGGCAGTCGGCTGCTTCCGAGTTTGAGCTGCGCGGTCCGTTCCCTATGGAGACGTACGGGCGCATCATGCAGAGTACAAACCGGATACTGGACAGTTTCTACGCCATGAGCCTCGTGGCACACCGGAACGGGAACCTCAGCCCGGGCGAGCGCGCTCTTTTGGAGTACACGGCAACGGAGCGGGCCGTCTTGTGCGACCGCATATGCCACGTCTTCCAGGTGCTCGCTAGCTCGTTGATGCTGGAGTACCCGCTGACCGATGCGGTCCCAAGTGTCACTGGCATTCGTGATCGGCTGCTTGCCAAGATCTTCCAGTTCCGCAAGGAGCATTCGGTTGAAGCCATGAGAAACCTTGGCTATACCGGAGGAGGGGATATTGAGAATGGTGAAAGCAGCCGTGGCGATGCTACTGCTGTTGCCCGCAGTAACGGTGACGCTCACGTAGGTGGAGTGGTGGCTGAAGAGAGGGATTATGCTTTGATCTACGCATATACGCTAGTGACGGGCCAGGTTGCGCAGGAGTTGAAGATTGCTGAGAAGGAAATAGAGAGTCTGTTTGGTGTTCTCAACGAAGAGTCACCGCTGCTTGTATAATATTGGGTTCGCATGGAGGATCAGGGGTGGCACGAGATTGGATACCCGCGTACTGACAGCACCTAGCTTTACATGCATAGCAACAGGAAGTCTTACATTGATTATAAGCATAAAGGGAGTATGATAATAATGTTACAAAAACCGGCTACGAAGAGAAATCGCGTGACTATGACTTATAATAAGCCATCCAATTCCAATATCAGCATCAAATTATCCTATACTCATTGAGTGATCTCTTCGGAATCATGTCTGACTGACGCTCCCGCAGCCGAAACCCCGGAGAACGGACACGTCCCTCGCCCTCTGGGCCTACCCTCCTCTCCATCTGGCGAGCCACTCCCATCTGCATTGTCCTTCATATCTTCGTCTTCCAGTATCTTCTTACCATGCAGGTAACCCTCGCGCTCAATCTCGATATCGGAGTCGGGGGCCTCGAACTCGGCGCCATCTTTGACGTGCCACTTTGCCATGAGGTCGTTTTGTACCCAGATGACCTTGTTGAGGGCCTTGACGAGGGCGATTTTTCGCTGGATGTGTAGGCGCGGGTGGGAGAGGATGGCTTCGTTCATAATGTCTTGGATGAAGCCTAAACAGGCGCCCAGGTGGACGTATTCGATGTGTAGAGGGTGTTTTCTGCCGAGCCCGACGTGCATCATTCTACATTTATGATCAGCATTGTCACAGGTGAAGTCATGTCCTTATAGCGCGCAGACTTACCCGACTTTGTCAAGATACTCCCAAAACTCCATCTTACTCGGGTCCGAACACAGTTTGTTCAGATACGCCCGCAGGAACATCTTGCGATGCAGGATCTGCGGGCTGTTTTCGTCGGGGATATCATCGAGAGGACCTTCGAAGGATGTACTTCTTGTGGTGAATGCGCGGGCAGTGATGTCGTACTGAAGGAGTTTCTTGTAGACAATGTTAACGACGGCGGGGATGAGGGCTTTGATGTATTTGGAGTCGCTAATGAGGGCGTCAATGTCACCTGTATGGGTTAGATGTAGGTACATAAGTGAGTTCGGTTGTTATTATTGGCTACGTACGGCTCGAGAAGTCGAGGAATGAGTGGAGGTATTGGATGCGGACTTCGAGGTTGGTGTAGAGGTCCTCGCGCTGGATGTGTTTTATCGGCCTTGAGTATGGGTTCATGGCGACTGTTGATGTAATTCTAGGTATGTATGAGGAATCTGTCTCTTTAATGCTCGATAGGCTCGACGCAATCGCTGAGTTGTATCGACAAATTGCCAAATTCACGGGCAAAGGCACCTCTTGTAGGGTAAGGCAGCGAGGAGACGCGAACGTGGTCAATGCGAGGAGACGCGTGAATGAGTTTTTTCTCTCTTGCTTCATCAAAACTGTTCTACGCCGCTATATTTATGAGACTGCTCAAGGTACTGACTTGGATATTAAGTTAGCAAAACAAAAATAGTCAATGCAAACCGAGCCATTTTCATCAGCTGCTGGGCTGAATATGCATGATCTCTCGGGTCAGGCCATATCGGAGATCGTGGCCTGGAGAAATATGGTCTGACGGGTGGGGGATAGGACGATGTGATGTAATTTGCTATGCCTCACCCATCATTGGTCGTTGGCAGTGTATTTCTTTCTTTGGAGGAGGAAGACATATGCTGGATTATTTCGGGCTGAAGATTTCGCGCATTGTTTGAGGTAAATTGCTGAGCTGATATTTTGCATACAACTATGACAGACGGTGACGGTGCCCAGTGGTCAGGACACATTGGACAGTGGTTGTACTACCAGAATGAGAACTGCCTTGACTGATCAACAGCCCGATGATGGCTTGATACGACTGCATGAGGAGGCTTATTTGGCAGTACTATCACCGTTTCCTTGATCTTTTACTTGGTTTGACAAGTCCCCATATTCTAGTCTAAGGCAGAGGTGCCATTTGAAGTCCAGATAAACTGGTGTCGTATTATTGTGCCGAAACTTTTAGTGACCTGATTGACACACGGGTGGCTGTCAAAGCTCGATCTTTAGCTACCGGGATATAAGCCGGGCACCTTCGCTGGCAAACGAAGGCGTCGCTCTATCTTTCCCGCGGTATGTTTACGCGACAGAGTTTGGATCCTCACATAATGTCTTGTGTAACTTTCCAACATCACCATTGATTCTTCTTTGACCGCTAATAATGCAGAGATAGGTCCTACCCGCTTCAAGGCGTTAGCTTACCCCATCACTATCATCCATATCGGCTTCTGCCGGCGATCGGCGAGCTCAATTTATCCAGCGTCATTCTTCTCCGCATCTCGAGCATGCATAGAGCCGATTTTGGACGTGGACGGGATTTCCATGAGCATGAATAAGTGCTACTCTTGGCACTCAAGGAAGAGGAAGACTGTGTACAGCCAACGATCGAGCTTAATGCGATTTCTCCGGACACACATTTGTTTGGCCTCCGTCGCTTCATCAGCCGAGAGCTCTGATTCAACTCAAGTCGGCTCCCAACGCGAGATATCGGACTGTCGATGAAACGTTACGCTGCTCCGCGCCAACACAACTCACACTAATAGAGCAGCCGCTGTACGACGTGAGCCCGGATCGGTGAAGCTGGGAAACGGCACTTATGTACTGATCTGCGTGGAGCTTTGGGTAACATACGGAGAGAATCCTACTGCACTGTATCTGCATCCCCAGGCACCCGGACCAGGACAAAGGACGACAGCACCGGAATCACTGTTGCAAGGGGCGGGAGACGACGTGTATTTAAATTACTTCCATGCGGCTGTCCCCGGATCTGTTGGCCTGGTTTGCACCCTCCGACTCGTGTGTGGCCTGATAACATACCTTAAACCACACGGTCAGCCCACCTTGGATCCTCCGCGATGATTTACAGGGCCATCGTCGCCGCACTGGCCCTCAGCAGCCCGGCCTCCGCTCTGTGGCCCGTGCCGAAACACTCATCGACCGGCAACGGCACGCTCTTCATTGACCAGACGGTCCAGGTCACGTACAATGGCGAACAGGTGCGGTGGACTCTTGATGATGATGACGCCGGACTCCGGGACTATGCTGAGACCAGGATCGATAACCAACAGGTGGCCTACACGGCCGGCTACGTGCCGCCCAGCGGGCCGCACTTCACCAGCCGCGACATCGTCCAGGGCGGGCTCTCGCGCACCTTTGGCGCCATCTTCCAGCAGGGCTTCGTGCCGTGGATGCTGCGGGAGCGAGACTCGGACTTTGAGCCGGACCTTGATGGGACGCGCATCCGGACACTGCAGATCATTCAGACGCAGCACGACAGCCCGGACACCTTCAAGCCCCTGAGCGGCTCCGTGAATGAGTCGTATGCGCTGGACGTCGATGCCAAGGGCCACGCCTCCCTCGTTGCGCCGTCGTCAACTGGTATTCTTCGCGGCCTGGAAACGTTTTCGCAGCTCTTTTTCAAGCATAGCTCTGGAACTGCCTGGTACACGCAGCTTGCGCCTGTCTCGATTCGTGATGAGCCCAAATACCCTCACCGAGGTCTTCTGCTGGATGTGGGCCGCCACTGGTTCGAAGTCTCTGACATCAAGCGCACGATCGATGCCTTGTCCATGAACAAGATGAACGTGTTGCATCTGCACGCAACTGATACGCAGTCTTGGCCACTGGAGATCCCCTCTCTGCCTTTGCTGGCCGAGAAGGGCGCCTATCACAAGGGCCTGACTTATTCTCCGAGTGATATCGCCAGCGTGCAGGAGTACGGTGTCCACCGAGGCGTCCAAGTGATCGTGGAGATTGACATGCCGGGCCACGTTGGAATCGACAAGGCGTATCCGGGTCTCAGCAACGCATATGGCGTGAATCCGTGGCAATGGTACTGCGCACAGCCTCCCTGTGGATCGTTCAAGCTGAACAACACCGACGTCGAGAAATTCATAGATAAGCTGTTTGACGATTTGCTTCCGCGCTTGTCGCCGTATTCGGCCTATTTCCACACCGGCGGTGACGAGTACAAGGCGAACAACTCGCTGCTTGATCCGGCACTTCGCACGAACGATGTTGAGATTCTGCAGCCGATGTTGCAGCGATTCTTGGATCACACACACAAGAAAGTGCGTGAGTTGGGACTGGTTCCCATGGTCTGGGAGGAGATGATTCTGGACTGGAACGCGACTCTGGGGAAGGATGTTGTTGCCCAGACGTGGCTCGGCCAAGGAGCGATTCAGAAGCTCGCCGAGGCCGGACACAAGGTAATTGACAGCAGCAACCAGTTCTACGTGAGTGCCCTCTTCTCCTCTCTAGTGGTATTAAATGCTTACTGTTCATTGCCAGTACCTTGATTGTGGTCGTGGAGAGTGGCTTGACTTTGCCAACGGCGCCCCCTTCAATAACAACTACCCTTTCCTCGATTGGTGCGACCCAACCAAAAACTGGAAGCTCATGTACTCTCACGATCCTACAGACGGTGTATCCGACGATCTCAAGAGCTTCGTCATCGGCGGCGAAGTGGCCGTCTGGACAGAGACCATTGACCCGACCAGCCTGGACACCATCATCTGGCCGCGAGCAGGAGCTGCAGCAGAGATCTGGTGGTCGGGCAAGACGGATGAGCACGGCGCAAATCGATCGCAGATTGACGCGCGGCCAAGACTGTCAGAACAGCGGGAGCGGATGCTGGCGAGGGGGGTGAGGGGGACGCCGATTACACAGTTGTGGTGTAGTCAAGTTGATGTTCACAACTGCGAGTCCGGGAATTACTGAGGGATGTTTTCCCGATGATATGAATCGTTTCCCGAGATAGGACTACGATGAGTAAAGGCCACAAGGTACTGTCTATATCAGTAAGACAGTGGTTTGGGTTCAACATGATACGATTTGTTGATAACGACCAGCTGCAGTTTGCAGTCGGCTACCCGGATGCGGTCATTGTATTCTTCTAGAGTCAAATATCCCATGCGGATAGAAAAGCCATATGAAATGCAGGGGATAATCCGCATTATGGGGCAGCGGCTTCAATTGCCGAATAATCTGTCATTCCCACGTCAACTATCCTTACTTTGCTCCCACCATACCCTCTGGTGCTGCGATTCCACCCGAAATGGCAACTCATCTTGATGCTCGTAAAAGGGGCAAGCTGGGACCTCGCCTTTTCCAAAGCTAAGCGAGTCGATTCTCTCCGAAATTCCCGATTCGTGGGTTTTGACTTACAACCTATCGTGTGGGACATCTGAGAAATGCCGTGGCGCGTACTCCGTACGTGTATCACCACCTGGTAGATGAATTCTCACCGCAGAACGACTGAATATTAATAGTATCGAACCTCGTATTCATTCTTGTTGATGCAATGGGCTCTCAGGGATTTACTGATCCCAGGCACCCGACGGCTATTAGCTGACCAAAACTCCTGCTCGCCTTACAAAGAGTGGGATATAAGAGCAAACGCCACCCACCTGACCTGGCACTTGAGTCGGTCAACATCAGGACAAAGCTCATCAGTTCAACTACGCATATCAACCAGACAAAAATGCATGCTCCGCTCGTGTCACTCTCCTTCGCGTCCCTCGCAGCAGCCGCTCTGCCTGAGGGCGTGATTGAGGTCCCGCTCCAGCGCATCAAGAATCAGACCGCATACGGTGTCGAATTCCAGGTCGGCAATCCGCCACAAAAGGCCGTCATTTCTGCCGATACGGGCAGCCCGACGTACTCCTTTGAGTCTCCACGTAAGTGTCCATCTCATTCTGTAGACATATATGCGTCTATGCTACAGTACCTCTGACCTTGGTCCGACACAGGCAACACCGTCTGCCAGCAAGGCTACTGCTCAGCTTATGGCACCTACGACAACACAACTTCCACCACGTCCAAATGGCTCAACGGTGACTACACCGACATGCTCATCGACCACGGCTTCGGCAGCTTCGTCAACGACACTCTCCAGTTTGGCGGCATCTCCCTCAATGACATGATGTTTGGCGTTGTGGAGGAGAACTTGGCCTCGTACACAATTAACACGCAGCAAACCGCTATCTTCGGCCTCGGAGCGTTCTGCCAGACGCCTGCTTGCGACACATATCCCACATTTCTCAACCAGCTATACGAGCACGGCGCAATTTCTCGGCGTGCCTTTAGTGTGTATCTGGGCCCGAATGATCCGGATGCCACAGGTACGCTGCTCTTCGGTGGCATCGATCTTGCGAAGCGTCAGGGTCCCGTTCACAAGTTGAAGGTTCTTGATCCGACAGCATCTGGGGCGAATCTCCAGCCCAACTGGGTCAGCCTATCCAGCGTCGAACTCCAGCTTTCCAATGGCACTACGACTACTTCCACCTATGACAACGGCACATATGCGCTGTGGGATACCGGATCTCCGGGCTGGTACTTCCAGCAGGACATGTTCGACGCTCTCACCAGCTACTGGGGCCTCACGAACCCCGACCCGTATAATCTTATCATTGACTGCAAGTTCCGTGAGCCGTCCAACGACTCGATCGCTGTGAATCTCGGCCAGGGAGTGACACTCAGCGTGCCGTTGAGTTCGCTGCCTATTGATAACGGGGACGGCACTTGCACTGCGCCTGTTGCGCCGTGGGGGACCTTGATGGGCGATGCGTTTCTCCGAAATGTCTACTTTACGTTCGATTATGAGGATCTGACGATTGAGTTTTCCCTGGTCAAATATACTAACGAGACGAACATTGTCAAGATTGAGTAGTCGCTCGTTAATGTGCGAGACAAACATGTACTTATGAATGAATAATGACATCAGAAACGAGATATATTTCAAGACATCATCTTATGCAACTTAGTGAGCCACTGGCAACTTTCCCCTTGGCTGCGCGTCTCCAAATAGAACGTCCACGGCCGCCGAGAAGGCTTCGACAGTGGGCTCATACACGGCGATGTACGTGCGGATTTCTGCATCATCCAGGAAATCGTAAGGAGCACACGTAGCAATCGAAATCAAGGGCCGCGACCCCCGTCTCTTGGCTATTTCAAGACCAAGCTCCTTCTGGTACTTTGACTCGCGAGCGTTGCGGGTAGCCAGAACAACGACGTCAGCCTCGTCGACTTGTTTCCACTGCTCTTCCGTCAGAGTAGAGCTGGTGAATCGCACGTCTGTAACCCTAACCCCTTTCATGCGAATCCGCTCTGCGAATGTGTCGGCGATCCAAGGCACACGCGTGGGCAAAGTTCCGCTGTCGACGGCTCCGCCGATGGGTACATCTGGCCCGGGAGAGACAAAGGCAATCTTGGTGGTCGATTTGAGAGGAATAAGACCCTCTTGTGCCCGGACAAGCGTCGTTGCGTCTGCATACACCTGGCGAGCGAGCTTCTCTCCCCTCTCATTGATTGCCGCCAGCGTCTCTGGTGGTTCCGCGTGGAGAGCAATATCCCAGTTCGTGTACCTCTCCTTGAGCTTCTGGAGGCGCTCCAGAGATTGGTCCACTCTCTCCTGAGACAGCTTCCCGCTTTCAATGGCGTCGCAGACGTAGTCGACAGCTGCCGCTTGCACATCAAACGTATGGCATATCATGACATTATCGACACCAGCCTGGAACGCCATCAATGAGCCCTCGACGGTGCCATAAGTCGCGCGGACGCCGTCCATCTCCAAGCAGTCCGTCATGATGACTCCTTCATACTTCCACTCATTTCGCAGAATTCCGATCGTATCTGGCGATAGCGTGGCGGGGAGACCGTTCTTTGCTAGCTGTGGCAAGGAGATGTGAGCCGTCATGACCATCTCGATGTTGTCAGCTACAGCGTCACGGAATGGAATCAGTTCCAGCTTCTCCATATCGGCTCTTGATTTGTCGATGACTGGCAATCCGTAATGAGAGTCGACGGCTGTATCTCCATGGCCGGGGAAATGCTTGATGCACGGCACGACCTTGTGTTCTCTCAAGCCCTTTGTGCAAGCCGCTGCAAATTTGGACACCGTCTCTGCCTGGTCACTGGGACTTCGAACGCCAATAACGGGATTAAGTGGCTCTGAGTTGATATCGCCAACAGGCGCATAGTTCATGTTGATGCCGAAATACCGCAGCATCTCCGCCGTGGCCTTTGCAACCTCATACGCATAACCCAGAGATCCAGCAGCGCCGAGAGTCATCGGCCCAGGCTGCTGAGAGGCGATGGGCGGCGAAATGCGAGTGACGAGGCCATTCTCCTGGTCGATGCCGATGAAGAGCGGCTGGCTGTGGCCTGCGTCTTTGGCGATCTTCTGTAGCCCCAAGCACAGCGCCTGGAGTTGAGCGGCGTCGAGCACGTTGCGCTTGAATAAAACGATTGCCCCGACGCCGTAGTCGCGGATCAGAGTGGTAATTTCCTTGTTGATTTCACGACCATGGAAGCCAACGGCAAAGAGCTGGCATCAGTTCGTCAGTCCGAGCTGTTCTACGGAAGCCTGTCTCCTCCAGAGGTCTCACCTGGCCGATTTTCTTGCGCTGCTCTGGCGACGGCATTCTGGCTTTCTTGGACTGGTGGTTGTATGAGCCGAGTTCTTTCCCGTGAGTCGGCTTAAGCTAATAATACTTTCTATCTCATATAACGTCTGGAGATATTTCGGGCTCAGCTTCCAGGTCAGTGATGATGACGGTTCAGCGTTGAAGCCCTTGAGCTGGATTCACCACATGCGGGGCCTGGCATCAACTTGGGCACCAGAACTATGTAACGTCTCGGATCCCGTTGCCGAAATTGCATGAAGCTTATCGTCTTGATTGAATCTAATTCCCCGGAAACTGCTGCTCGAGAGTTGCTCATTTGAGTTGGCCGATATAGACTATGCTGTCATCCTTCCCGGCAGTGGGGGTCAAGAAGCTCGGTTTACCAGCAATGGTAGCGGATTTGCTGAGAAAGTGGCTTCTAATGTAACGTGGAATCTTGACCCCCAACAATAGTGGTAAGGAGCTGGCGGGGGATGAGCACTTTGCTCTATCAGAATTGTCTCGAGGTAATGCTTCGATATCAGAATTTGCTATCAACTGCTTGATATCACGACTCTGGGATTGTTTCAGTGACAGACATGTCAAGACAACCCCAACCTCGCCAATTGGCGACAAACGGCCCCACGACGGAGATGTCTGTGTTTTTTTCGGGAGGGGTAATCGTCGCCATGCCGCCGTGTGGAATTGCTGAAGCTTTGGAGATGATCTTGGCCTGGCAGAGAGCTGCGGAACAGATGAACAGATTATTGTGAAGGAGTAATCTGTCGGTGATTTGGGTATCGTACATGCATATATCGACTTGTTTGCTAGCAAAACCAACTTGAGCTCATCTATTCTTGGGGGGATGGCTTCTCGCTCTGAGCTTTCTGTGGATGTTTGATGTATCAAAGCGACAGCGGCTAACACTTATTCATACCCAACAAGCATCGAAACGGACTTACATAGACATGGGCATATCGATCAAGGTAAGTTTACTCTGTCGGTCTTAATAGCTGTCATTCGCCTCAAACTTGTTGGTTCAAACACGATCACGATCCACGTGACCTCGGACTCCCTCTGACGAGCTCTCGGGCCCGAAGGCAACGCCGGAATTAGTTTCGGACAACCGAAGCAGCTCTCGGATTAATGCACCGTATGTTCATCGACTGCCATCGTGACTGAGCATTCTGGTGATATGATGTAGCAAGTCTTAGGATGAAAGGACTCATATGTTGTATTAGCAATCTAAAGTGTCGATAAATGCGCCTGTAAGCTGTAGCACAGTCCAGTATTCGCATAAATAAGATCGATGAGCTGAATCTTAAATAGCCGTTTCTCCTCCATCCACCACCAAAATGATCTCCAGTCGCCTCAGTCAACTTTCAAGAAGCCTCTTGAACAGAACAATGGCCACTCAAGCAACAAATCAAGGGAGAGCAGCAAGCACCAAAGACTGGTCAGCAGCGCAGTATCTCAAGTTCGCCGAGCAGCGCACTCGACCCTCACGCGACCTCATTGCCCAAGTCCCTCTGGCATCGCCAAAGCGCATCATCGATGTTGGATGCGGTCCTGGAAACTCGACAGAGGTGCTTGCAAAACAATGGCCAGACGCCCATATTCTGGGCATGGACTCGTCTCCCAACATGATTGAAACCGCACGCAAGGCGCTGCCCAACCTAGACTTCACTGTGGCTGACTTGCACACTTATACGCCAGAGGGGCCGGTCGACCTCATCTTTTCCAACGCCGTTTTCCAGTGGATAGACTATGAGCATCGGATTCCCATTCTCAGACGGCTGCTTGCATCTCTTCAGCCTGGAGGCGTCTTGGCATTCCAAGTCCCCGACAACCACACTGAGCAGTCTCACAAGGCTATGCGTGCGGTTGCTGAGAACGGCCCTTGGTCAGAGACACTTGGACGTCTGAAGCCTTCTCTCGGACCTTTCCAGACGCCATTTGAGCTCTACAACGGCTTAAAGCCTCTATGCTCGTCAGTTGATCTATGGCACACCTACTACCAGCATCCGCTGGGCGGTCACCAGGAAATCGTTGAATGGGTCAAGGGAACAGGATTGAGGCCGTTTATTGATCCCCTTGAACCGGAGCAGAAGGAGGGATTTCTGGCGGCGTACCTGGAGAAGCTGAAGGAACTTTATCCTCTTTGCGATGATGGCAGTGTTTTGTTGCGATATCCTCGCCTGTTCCTGGTTGCAGTTCGCGCCTGAGTTAGAGCGTTCTATTTACATGCTTTTACCCAACGGTAGCATAACTTCATTCCATATCACTTCAAACGTCCATATACACCACGTCAAACTTTTGCAATCAGCGAGCGATTCTTCCGCAATCGGGCAAATGCCACCAGACCCGTAGCTCCAAGGCCCATGCAGCCCGCATATGTGATGGCAGGCCTGTACGCCTGGAATCCGCTGCCTGTTCCGCCATAGGCGTCCAGCAGGTATCCAGCAATCGGAGACCCCTAGTATCTCAGAGTCAACTCTCCGCATAGATAGATCGATGAGTGTTTATAAGAAAAGACTGGTGAGCTTACCATCAGATACCCGCCGCCCCAGCCTGTGACAATCATGGCCATGGCCACAGACACTCTCTGAGATCCAAAGACATTGCCGACCACGGTGGGCATGGTGGAAAAGAAGCCTCCGTTCGCCGCACCGTTAAGAACGACGAAGACAGTCAAAGGAGCCAGAGTCGTGGAAGCAGGCCACAGTGCCAACATGGTGACGGCATTGATCAATAGGGAGCAGAATAAGACATTGAGCGCCCCGAACTTGTCACAGAAGAAACCGCAGAGAATCCTTCCTGCAGCCGATGAGAGGTTGAAGCCAGCCAGGAGACCAGCTCCGGTAGATGATGATAGCCCGACTGATCTGCTGTATAGAGGGATGAAGAAGGGAGGGACGAGGAGAGGAAACGTTGCAATCGCACCGGCAGCGAAGATGATGACGAATCCAAGATCACGGAAAAGGCGCCTGTATAGCGGTAAGCGCAAAGCGAACATCAAGAGATAAGAACAACTCACCATTCAACAAAGGACGCAGTCTTGACTGGCGATCGCTCCTTGACCAGCCACGCCGCAGGAAGACCAGTTGCCAGCGTTACGAATCCAAGAATGCGATACGCCCATGGTGTTCCAAGTCGCTGAATTACAGCATCAAGGAGGAAGCTCGTCGTCGCTCCACCCAGGCCTCCTCCTGCAAAAACAATGCCGTTTGCCAGCCCCCTCTTCTTGCTGAAATATTGTGCCGGTGTAGCAGACACAGCCATGAAGCAGAGGCTCATGCCCAGGCCTACGGTGACGCCGGAAGTGATGAATAAGCCCGCGAGGTTAGACACTGTGAAGCTGCTGATGATTTCGGATATGCCGAGGAGGAGGATTCCCAGCATGGCGGTTCGTTGGGCGCCAATGGCTCGGATGATGCGGGCGTTGAGGATGGCCATGCATGAGATGAGGGCGACGGCGAGGGAACCGACATATGACAAAGTTGCTGGTGTTGAAAGGCCCTTTTCCACGAGAGCTCCTTGAATCACTCCCCAGCTGTATCCCATCCCGACAAACTATAACATCATTAGTATTGTTTCTATACGTTCTTTTACCCGAGCGTCATGAAGATCTGAACATAGATTGTATGAACATTCTGGTACCTACCCACCACGAAATGATAGCACAAGAACCAACGACGACCCAACCATAGCCTCCATCCGGCACAACAGAGTCCGCTAAACGAGATGCCTCCAGCACATCATCAGACGTGGCATTCTGAGAATCATCGCTGTTGGCATTGTTATGAAACCGATTTGTCTGTACGGGAAGCTGGAGGAGCTCAACGGCGGTAGTTGTCGAGGTCGCCATATTAAAGTGATGAGGAAAAAGGACGATATCACATTCACAGCTTTGCCGCCGGTAGCCGGTCAATATATCTTGGGCCAACTGGCAACGGCTTTTCGTGACGGTACGCTATCTACTGTGAGACTTTCGATGCGCGCCCTCCAGTTGACATGATATGGGGAACAAAATTGGAGCTGAGCTGTTGGTAGCGCTGTATGGACGAGCCGAAGACGGAAGGGATGAGTAAGCCAAAAGACGGTTAAATTAATTGGAAGAGTTACTGAGCTCATGGTTTAATAGCTATTGGTTGGTATTCGCAGGTAGGTATATAGTTGATACATATCACTTGGTCTCATTGCATGGTGGTGAGCAAGACACGTCCAGTCGAGCATTTCATTCATCCGCATTCACTATTATTCAGTGTCTCTTTTGTACAAGGCTAATGTTTGCCCGTAAACAACAAGTCATATCGCTAATATGGTCACAAAATCACATTTATCCATAGTCCTTTCTTTCGCTTAGCCTTGGAAGGGAGTCTCGTAAGGCTCCTCAGCCTGGGGCGTGATGCGAGCAAGGTGTCGCCTCTGACCGTTGTCCCAGTCCACCAGAGCGCTGTGCTGAGTCACTCGGTTGTCCCAAACAACGACAGTCCGGTCCTCCCACCTAACGCGGGCCTGGAAGTCGGCTCCCTGGGCCAGATGAGTGTATAGGAAGTTGAGGATGGCGTCGGATTCCTCCTTCTTCAGGCCAACAATGTCACGAGTGACTAATGAAATGTTAGTTGGTCATCTATTCTGCTCCGTCTGTGTTCCATGACTTACACTGAGGGTTGACGTAAATGGCCTTCTCGCCCGTCGCAGGGTGAGTTCGGATAATGGGGTGAGCGTGAACAACGGGGTCTCGTCGCTTGATGCTGTTGCGAGCCGCAGCCGCATTGACCTGCTCGATGCCCGAGTGCGTCGCCTGGAGTCCGTGCAGACGCTCCTGGAACAGCGGACTCAATCGCTTGTACGCTTGAACGGCATCAACGAAGATGGTGTCGCCGCCGACCTCGGGCTTGTCCAGGATGTAGAGGAACGTCGTTCCGGGAGGCTGTCGCTCGTAAGAAACATCCGAGTGCCAGGCCACGGAGCTGGTCCTCGTCTTGAAGTAGTCCAGGTGGCCCTTGTCGTTGACGCCGCGGTGGACAAGGTGAACCTCGGGGTAGCCCTCGGGAGAGCCAGACGTGGGGTGGATGTGGTGTCGTCCAAAGTAGGAGCCGAACTTGAGGGCGTCGGCAATGGGCAGGTCGGCAAAGTCCTGGTCTCGGAAGGCCACGACCTTGCGCTTAGCAACGAAGTGGGCCAGTTCGTCCTTGCCGGCGTCGCTGAGAGAGGAGAGCTGGATGCCTCTCACTTCGGAGCCGATGTGGGGAGTAAGGTCGGTGACCTTGACTCCGCTAGGGAGGAGGTTGGGGTATGAGGTGTCGGCGTCCTTTCCATGCTCGTAGTGCTCAAAGGGCGTAAGGGGAGGGTACTTTTGAGCTGGGTTCCATGTTGGGAGATAGTGAGGGTACTATAGAATGGTGAGCTTGAGTACTTCATATAGAACAGAGCTTCACTCCGTTATATAGAGGCAAGCCGAGACTCACCTTGGCAGCAGGTCCGTCAGTCTTGCCCTCCTCGGCGTCCTTGTCAATGTACGTCAGGTCAATCTCCTTGTACTGTCCAAGGTCAAGCTTGTAGACGGAAGCCGGAACCGGTCCGTTGTTGGTGGTGGTAGTCGTCTCAACCAAAGCGGGAGCCATTGTGTCTTATATCACAAAGATCTTTTTTCTTGCAATCCCAGAATTATCTTGCTCAAATGCAAAAGCATCCTCAGTCCTCGTTGGGCTCTGCCCTGCCTTTTATACACTCTGCCCAACCTGCATCTTCTTCCCCTCTTCTTACACTCCTGCGGCCCATCGCTTCCCATTCCCATCGGCTCGGGCAACCCCACCCCCACATTTGATGGCATGCATCTTCAACTCTATGGCGAATTGGCGAATCGTCCAATCATCCAGTGTGAGGACCTGTCTGATCATCACTTTTGGCACGCGAATAGATGAATAATGTTAATCGGTACATGTATCATCTGCCGGATGGCGCTGTGCGCCGTAGTATCTCGCTACCACAGATGATCTGTAAGCTTGTTGATGCTATTGATAGTGCGGATCACGCCATCATCTTATACAGTGTAATCGCTGCGGAAGTTGTACGAGGATGAAGCACGCAATATGGCTGTTGATTCTTGGCTGATTACGTTTCCGTCTTAATTCCCTGGATGTCCAGTCGAATTGCAGATTGTCCGATTGCGGGCAGCGGGTCATCGCGAGGCCACACGGATCTCGTCATGCCCTGGGATTCTCATTGACCGGTGTTTTGCTATCAGATCCACCAACAGCTGGACCGTCGCTTGTACGGAAGTGATTCAAAAGGGAAAGTCGAATTGCGAATGCTCTTGGGCTCTGAATTCTTTTAGGGAGTAGATTGTGTTCCACCAGTCGATTCGCTTACGATTGCATTGGTTGATGAGAGTCGCACAAATGACAAGAGACGTGAAAGCTGAGGGCCATATCACGAGGACATGACGAAGGATGCCATCTGCCAAGACCGAGACATACAGACATACCGAGCAGCTCGATGACGAGATTGATCCTGATGCACAAGATGTAGCTTTCCCTATTGCCGAAGATGGGTTATCAGATCACTCAGCTGTTGATGAACACCTCGGATCATGTCAAGCTGCGAAAGCGGAGGCCTGCATTATCAAGCAGGACAACGGGAGTGATCCTTGCCGAGACGCGCGCCAAACGACGCACAGATATAGACATCTAATCTCGTCTTTGATTGGTCTCTCCATTGCCTCATTGACCCTTCAGATGGCGAGCTGTTCTCTTCTTTGCTGCCTGCCATCAGCTTGTTCGACAAGTGCTTGCTCGTCGATGCAAGCCTCAGCTGATGGAGCTGGAAGAGGCATAGATGGTCTTGATTGTATCATAATGACAATAGTCATCGCAAGCGGGTAGGACTTTCAAGCTCGTTCATTACAGATATTGACACTCTCGAGGGAAATTTTACCGCGGCCACAGATTGCAGCCGAGCTTAAAAGACATGCAGTCGGTGCCCTATCTATCAAGACCGCGCGCCGCTATGCCAAGCGGGAACATTGGCAAGTCATTTATGGCTTGTATAGAGCGGGATGTTGGACATAAAGTGTGGCAGAAGCCCAGGCGACCGGTTAATCATGCGCATTGCATCCATGTATGCATCATTCAACCACTCGGATGGTGATTGCAGCAAACTGGAATTACCCACTACGCACATACATCAGCCAATATCAGTCGCATTGATAGGTGTAGGCTGGCTATGGCTGCCTGATGCCCTCTTGTAGTTGCATGCATGTCACTGATCAAGATTCTCAGTCATTAGTAGACTTCATGGATACGATATCTTGGTGCATATTTCATGATGAACGAACCCTCTCCGAGGAGCAGTAACTGCCTACACTTTACAACGCTCACTTTGTGATTGGTTTTCCCCAACACCGTTGAGCTGCAGATCAAATCGCAAGGACAAGGAAGTCTATATAAGCAATTGACTAAAGGTTGAGCAGTGTATGCGTTGTAAGCCTCGCATGCATCATTAGCTTCACTGACCACACTTAATCTTGGGTAGAGTATCGACTAAGTTCTATCTGCCTCCCGCCATAACTGCCTTCCGCCATAACTGCCTTCATCATCACTGATACATAGTGGTTTCTCAACACCGACCCCATCATTTCCACCAAGCAACGCTGTACGTCTGAACAAGTCCAAGATAAAAACATTTGCATAGCTGTAGACTCAAACGGCGCCGGCAAATTTCAGATCGTAGGCTGGGCTGAGGTACATATGTGCGCAGACACAAGGCGCCAGACGGTGTCATGGCCGCCGTCTCAGTTCGCAGCATGTAGTATGAAGTTAGTGAAGGCGTATTATTTCGGGAGAATGAGCCCTATGATACAGATTCATGCTCTCAGAGCTGCGCGAACAAATTGGGGCGGAGCGCATTCCAAGCACTTTAAACAATCGTGAAACGTCTTCCCGCCTCTTACACTCAACAAAGAAATTCATACTGCGGCCAATAAAGACAGTGGGAAAGTTTAGGTAGGACGAACACCTTCGCAATGCAAATCGACTTATTGCACCAGAATGGAATTGCAAAAAAAAGAAAACCTCCCTGGCGGGAGAATCGCGTTGGACCCGAGGGGAATTGAACCCCTGACCTTTCACATGCGAAGCGAAAATCATACCCCTAGACCACGAGCCCAAT